TTATTTAACCATTGTTTCATCTTCCTAATATAATTTTTATCTAGATAGTTTTGTTAAAATTAATATAAAACGCTGGAAAATCAGCAAATAGACGGGATATTAGATCAAAAAAAGGTACTCTCTTAAAATGAATTAGTCAAAAATAACAAATTATAAGTCATATTTGACTAATTTTCATAGCAAAAAAGCATAATTAGTCAAATTCTACTGAATGAAATAGTCAAATTAGATTTGAATTTAAAAAACTTCTGACCCCGCCCGTCATAACCAATGAGCCATCAGTCACTCATAAAAATCAATTTTATTTGTCTATAAATATTGCTCATAATATTTTAAAGTTGAATATATTTTTTGTGTTGCTGTTTTGAGTTAAACTTTTTGCATCTTTGTTTGTTTTTATGGGCCATTTAACCATGGAGCGTATATGCATTTAACTCAAACAATAATCTGTTGTTGGCCGCAAACGATTAAAGAAATTAGTTACTTTTAACTCTCAGAAATAGTCAAAAATGATGACTAATCTGAAATTAGTCAAACTATAACTATTTAAGAAGTAAAAAATAACTATTTAAAAGTGAAAACGACTATTTATTAGTAAAAAATTCTGGTACTAATTCAAATAGTAGAATTTTGAATATTTTGAATCTTGAATATTTCAGAGTATGAATCAAACAAAAGTTGATAGAAGGTTAAAAAAGTTAAATCCGAATTTTGTTAAAAATTAAAAAACTATAACTTTTGAAAGTAATATAATTATGTTTTAAGATGATTTTTTCATGGAAAAGGAATCGAATTACTTAAACCAAAAGAAATTATTCATGGTTGCAAATCATTGTTATCGGCAAAAGAACCTCAACCAAAAATTCGCAAAAATTTTAATATTGATTTTTTAATTATTTACAAAATTAATCACCACTTTAATTTTCCAAAAAATTGATTTGGTATTGGTATTTTGGTTTAGAATTTTCAAAGTGTTTTCGGTATTTTTATTTTAAATTTATTTTAATATTTTTCTATAACTATGTTATCCTCTACTAGTACCTATAGGTATACCTTTACATTTTAGGCTCACGTCTCGTATAACAAAAGAAGTCTTATGGTGGAGTCTAGATAAATACGGCGTATCCGGTGTTAAAAACAATTGCTATTCAGCTGCACGGGAATATCCTTACATCCTGTTTAAAATGACATTTAGAGCCGCTTGCATGAACCTTGTCTGTGAGCATTGGTAAGGTTACGTCAGTGGAACTTTCAACGAAGAAAAATATTATGGTTTTTATGAAGTATGAATAAATTCATAAATATCTATAATAAATTGATAGCATGTCCACAAGCTTTTTACAAATATTGCTTTTAAATGATGGTTGCTCTTTATTTGTTTAGGAAGGTATGTTGTTTCTGAAGGTGCAGTTGGCATGCAATTTCCTATGAATATTGATTAACAGTAAGGGCTGTTTTTTATTCAAGCAATGGAATGCACCTGTCATTATAGTGGCCACCTGGCTTTCCGCATTTATGACGGCTTGAATTAATTGACTATAGCTGCATAGAGTGCAGCTGACGCGATACCAACCTTACAAACGAAACATATTACTACTTATCTATTAGACCGTTAATAAAGAGTTGATAAAACTTTTTTAATTCAAGGTTGGAATGTTATTTTAATTAAATTTTTGCCTAAATTTAAATGGTTTTTATGTATACGTCAAAACATATATATAATTTTGAAAATACGATAATTTTCGACCAAGTAAAGGTAAATAGAGGTTTAAAATTGACCAATCCCAGTGGCAGTTCAAATTTATAAAAATGATATAAACAAGCCTTAACATTTTGATTTGGCATCTCTATTGTTGCCATTAGCCTTTTTTCGGCGGGGCGCGAGTTGAGAAACACCCTGTATAGTGTTATAAATTATAACGGATAATATACAAAATGTAAAAATTGTCGAATTTAAAAAAAAAACCTTATTTTTTCAGTTATTTTTTTCAAATAACAATTTTTTATATTTTTAAAACATTAAAAACTAAATAAAAATATAATTTCTCGAGAACTAGAGCCAATACGGATTGGGTTACAAGAGGAAAATAGTTATTTGTGATACAAACTTGTGTTGAAAAGCGACTTTTTCATGCGAGTGTTTAAGTTGCTCACGAGGCCGTCAGGCCGAGTGTGCATTAACACGAGCTTGAAAAAAGCTTTTCTCACAAGTGAACCACAATGGTTTTTCTACGACCTTTTATGTTTTATTATATTTAAATACAAAACAAAACCTAAAAACGTGTTTGACAGCTGTTAAAATTACTTTCATCTTTCATCTAAATCAATAAACTTACCTTCTCAATTTAAATAAAGGCACTAAAATTGGAATTTATTATACAAACACAATTAATTGTGTTCTAAATGATATACAAATACAATCAGGCCCGTTCCTGGCGAGCGTGCAGTGCGTGCACGCACGCAGGCGCAACATTTCGGGGGCGCAAAATCAAAGACTCAATCAGTACTTTGTAACGATAAACTTTCTTGCATATGATACTTAAACATAAATTGGATAAAGGTTTCTGCCTTTTTTTCGTCGGCCGCTCTTTTTTTCTGTAGCTATAAAGCGCCTTTTGCCGCTTTGATATTGGCTGCTTATTTTGTTTTGGTCAAAATAAAAGGAGAGAAATGGTCATATTATCTTTAGTATTTGTTTGATAGTTGCAGTTGACGGTAGCAAAGTTTAACAGTAGTAAAGCTCATTCACATCCACTTAACTCTCTAAAATAGAATTAGTCAAAAATGACTAATTCAATTAGTCTAATTGCAATTGCAATAGCAAGCAGCAACTAATAATTATTGTCAATAGTAATTTGTATCCCGGATATTTAACAGTCAACTCCTATGTAAAATTGTCCGCTGAATCCGAAAATGTCGACAAAAGTTATAAAAGTAGAACGTTTTTGAGATTTAGTAAATTTTCCATATAATATGGTATTGACTATATCTTAAAACTGCTTTACTTTTATAATTTTTGACGGTATTTTCTGATTCAGGGGACAATTTTACATAATAATAAGCTGTTAAATGCCCGGAATACAAATAGCTGTGGACTAAAGTTATTAGTGACTGCTTTTTTACTTTGAAAACTAGTCATTTTTAGATAGTACGTCAACAAAAACCAGTTGTAGTTATTATATTGTTTAGATTGTTTTTTTTTCTTTAGAGTATTTTTATCACTGACTATTTTCCTCGTCTTAATTTCCACCAATCACAAACGCGCAATTTTGAACTACAAATGGTTTCTATGTGGAAAAACTGTATGACAGCACCTGTCAGCAGTTTTTTCGAGTTTACCCGCGGCAAAACTTGACAGCTGTTGTCACCAAAAATTACAATTTATATTTTAATTTTTAACTGTTACTCATAAAATAGTCTTGTCAAATACCATTCGGGCATCTAACTATGGAAAAAATCGTTAAAACACAATGCTAAGTAATATTTTTTAACAAAATGCATTCGTGCAGGTGCAAAAATCCTCGTCTTCGACTCGGATTTTTGTTGCCACCAGCACTCATGCTTCTTGTTAAAATATTACTTAGCAACGTGTTTTTTTGATTTTTTTCGAAAAAATAGATGCCCTTATGATATTACTTGTTTGTTTGGTAATTTAATAAATATTTTTTATACTTAATTTAAGCGGTTTTTTACATTTTCAATTACATATTGCCAGTTTGTCGCAAAATATATATTTTTTAAATTTTACGGCTTAAAATTCAAATATTTAATGTATTATATTTAAATATAAAAGGGGCGCACCAACGAATGCTGCACGCAGGCGCCAGACACCCCAGGAACGGGCCTGAATACAATACAAATTTTGAAACGAATGTCAAACGATGCTGTCAATTTCTTTTCACACAGACCTGTCACTTTTCACGCAGAAATATCACTTTACATTCGTGTTTTGCCTTGCCAATGAAAAGATTCATTTTCTAAGCAACGATGCCATTACGAAATGTGACTTTTAAATAGTGGTCGAAAAAAAATATTTTACATTTCTTAAAGAAAATCATTCTTCAGTCCAAAATTTTTAGAACAATCAAAATTGCAAATTAACAACTGAGAAAAAAATGTGTCGGGGTTTGAAATCAAAAACTTTTTATCAAGAATTCAATTTTCAAAAAATGAAAAGTATTTGGATAGGGTGGTATACGTGGACATACTATATTCATTTATCTACTCCTACATTGACGAGCTGTGACTTTATGGCGTTTTATTGACGGGCTGAAGTTAACAACAGTGGCTTTTCGACATTTTACGCCACAGGCTGAAGTCAGCTTTATTATAAATTGGGAAAAAGTGAGGTTAAATTCGTGTGACAGTTGACAGATGTCAAAATTTTAACAAATAAAATTGGCTTTAAATTCTGTTTTGTGTTCGTCGTAGATAAAGTATAGTATGCAACTCGTTTATAAACTTCTCTAGACACTCGTTTTTATTAAACACTCACTCGCAAGCTTCGCTCGTGCTTAATTAAACTCGTAACTAAAATGGCTTTTATAAAACTTGATACATAATATACTATTTTATACAACTCAGGCTAAGTTACTTAGCTATATTGTTTTGTTGTACATTCATATTAAAATGTTATTTATGCTAAATATTATTAGTATAAATTACTATTTTAAAACAAACAAAAACTTTTAAAAATAAATATAAATATTACCTGCTAGGTATAATAATTATTAAAATGGTTAATTGTAGTTTAAAGTGCAATAATTTAAATATGGATTTAAGCACACACTTTTTTAAAACAATTATTATTACCCATTACAATTATTTACCTAAAGCATTGTTGCAGTTTATGACACTGTTTACATTGACAACTTAAACACATGAATCGCAAATGAAAAAAAACGTCCTTGAATAATAACTATTTTTATACAACAATCCGCAACACCGCCAATGCTCGATGCTTAACAATTAAATCCTTAAAAGTAAACAATTAAACCTACCTTAAATTCCTTTCGTAATCACAAAATGTTAATCAAGCCACCTTAGCAAAAACAAAACACTGCGAAACAATCGACTTTCGCGAATTATTTAACGGCAAACTTTGAGAGTAAGTTTGTTGAAGCGCCACACTGTAAAAACAGTTGAAAACTAACCGATAAGTTTCTCACACAGTGCAGCGGCTACAGTCAGGTGAATGTAGCTTGCTGTCTCCCACTATTTCCTTCTTACCTGTTTAATTTTTATTCGCTAAAGGGGACCGAACACCAGCTGATCTTCGGCAAAGATTCGCCCAAATATTTACCTTCATTAATTTTAATTTATTTTAATAATAAAAAAATTAGGTTGAATTGTTTTCTAAGATGCCAAAAAAATGTGTGATGTAATGCAAAACTATCAAAAATTACATGTGTCAACCATGTAATTTTCTTAAAACATCGTAAAAAAATCTAAGTAAATTTAATTTTTTAAAATCATTTTTAAAGTTCAAATTAAATTTTTGTGAAAGATCATTTTATAGAATATGAACATTATATTTTATAAAATAGTTAAAATATTCCCACAAAAATTGTAATCGTTACATTACTACATAATAACTCAAAAAATACTTTTTTAAGGTTTTTTATGCTAATTCCGTAGTGTGGCGTTAGTGTGCCATTTTCGGGACAACTGTTTTTGTAAACAACGATTTTCTCAATTAAAATATCTGCAATTGCGACAATTTGTATAATAGATTTTTAGCTAATTTTGTACAATTTTGCATTTTATAACTTAACGTAAAAATACAATCAACAAGTGACATTTTTAAAACATTGAAACCTTAAAAAATATATAGTAAAAACTCACTTGCCAAAACCTAATTTAGATTGAAGAAAATGTAAAACTTGTTTAGTGTGTGGAGAGCTTAACTCGCACTTTTTAAATACCTCAGGAAAGATAATTATGTAAACAACAATAAGCTGTAAATTTACTTCTGAAGAATACTTTTTCAAGTACAATAAGGGTACCTACCTTATCAATAATTAATAATTATTAAGGTCAAATATAAACGAAATCTTTTTATATAGTATTCCCTTTATATTATTAAATTTTATTAACACAATTATTCAATTTAATTTTAAACAAATACAATTGTAATATTACAATAATTTAAATATATCTTTTTAATACCAAGCCTTATTAAGTACTTAAGTAATTTTATAAAAATTCGTTTTATACATTTTGTACATGAAAACCTTCAGACTTTAAAATCACAGATTTGTTAAAATCTTAATTTATTTACTTCTTTTGGTTTTGTTAAATAAATTTAAATATTTCCCTCTTGTAACTTCTTTGGATTCTTCCACTCCTAACCTGTAGGTTATATCATGGAGTTCTTTTACCTTTGATATCAAACCAGCAGTAGACAGTGATGCTAATTCTGAAGAATAATAATTTAGTATTAGTTTAGGCATTAATAATATTAGAGTAAGATCCCAGAGCTGCCAGACCTACGTCATTTTAATACTGCTGAGATTTTTTTAACAAATGTCTTAATATGTAGTTAAAAACGTATGGGTACTTGCTAGCTTGAAAGCGGGGCCCTTTTACAGATAACGGGCACTAAAGGTACATAAAAAAGGTACCTTTTTACGTTAAAGTAATACCGCTGGTTTTCATATATGTTTTACACATTGTTATTAAAAACCAACATTCATTATTGCCAGACGCATTCCAGGGGACCTAACTTCCGCCAGACGCTTTAAAGCTCAAGAAAAAAGGGCTGAACCTACGTTATAGTAGTACTCCTGAATTTTACATATATTTTTTGAGTGATTATTTTAAGACCTTTTGTAAGCAGCCAGACCAATCCGAGGGGCCCAAGCCCCCCCCAGACGCATTAAAGGTCAAGAAAAAAGGGGGGAACCTACGTTATAGTAGTACTCCTGAATTTTACATATTTTATTTGGTTGACTATTTTAAGACCTTTTATAAGCAGCCAGACCAATCCGAGGGGCCCAAGCCCCCCCAGACGCTTTAAAGGTCAAGGAAAAAGGGGGGAACATACGTTATAGTAGTACTCCTGCATTTTACATATTTTATTTGGGTGACTATTTTAAGACCTTTTATAAGCAGCCAGACCAATCCGAGGGGCCCAAGCCCCCCCCCAGACGCTTTAAAGGTCAAGAAAAAATGGGGGAACCTTCGTTATAGTAGTACTCCTAAATTTTATATATACTATTTAATTGGCTATTTTAAGATCTTTTGTAATCAGCCAGACCTATCCAAGGGCCTAAGCCCCCCAGACGCTTTAAAGCTCGAGAAAAAACAAAGGAACCTACGTTATAGTACTAATCCTGAATTTAACTTTTTTTATTTGGGTGACTATTTTAAGACTTTTTATAAGCAACCAGGCCAATCCGACGGGCCCAAGCCCCCCCAGACCTTTTAAAGGTCAAGAAAAAATGGGGGAACCTACGTTTTTGTAGTACTCCTGAATTTTACATAGTTTATTTTGTTGACTATTTTAAGACCTTTTATAAGCAGCCAGACTCATCCAAGGGGCCCAAGCCCCCCAGACGCTTTAAAGCTCAAGGAAAAAGGGGGAACCTACGTTATAGTAGTACTCCTGAATTTTACATATTTTATTTTGTTGACTATTTTAAGACCTTTTATAAGCAGCCAGACTCATCCGAGGGGCCCAAGCCCCCCAGACGCTTTAAAGGTCAAGGAAAAAGGGGGGAACCTACGTTATAGTGGTACTCCTGAATTTTATATATAAATTATTTGGGTGACTATTTTAGGACTTTTTATAAGCAGCCAGATTAATACGAAGGGCTTAACCCCCCTCAGACACGATAAAAAGTATACCTTATAAGATCATAGGCTGTAATATTGTATTATGTATATATATTATTTGGGTGGCTATTTTAACACCGTTAAGTGCCATTGTTTATCCTGGTTGGTACAAGTTTAGTGTGGGAATTATGAAAATTTTGGAAAATATTTAAAAAAAATTGAAATTTTCAAAATTTTGGATATCCTGAAAATTTTGAAAATCTTTGAAATTTTTTGAAATTTTGAATAATTTAATTAAAACTAATTTTATAACAAGAATTTAAATATTATTAAGTCATTATTAAAAAATTCCATAAAGACAAATACACAACTTAAATTTCATGAAGCTGTCTAATAAAGCCATCTAATACTATCACTCGCACTCACATGCATGCCTTGCTCTCGTACTCACAGCGTACCTTTTATCGTGTCTGGGCGTGGTTAGGCCCTTTGGAATGGTCTGGGTAGTTACAAAAAGTCTTAAAATATATAATAATAAATATATAATAATAATATATAAAATATTCAGGGGGCTTAGGCCCTTCGGATTGGTCTGGCTGCTTACAAAAGATCATAAAATAGTCCCTCAAATAATATATGTAAAATTTAGAAGTTTTACTATAACGTAGGTTCTCCCATTTTTTCTTGGCCTTTAAACCGCCAGGGGGGGCTTGGGCCCCTCGGATTGGTCTGGCTGCTTATAAAAGGTCTTAAAATAGTCAACCAAATAAAATATGTAAAATTCAGGAGTACTACTATAACGTAGGTTCCCCCCTTTTTCTTGACCTTTAAAGCGTCTGGGGGGGGCTTGGGCCCCTCGGATTGGTCTGGCTGCTTACAAAAGGTCCTAAAATAATCACTCAAAAAATATATGTAAAATTCAGGAGTACTACTATAACGTAGGTTCAGCCCTTTTTTCTTGAGCTTTAAAGCGTCTGGCGGAAGTTAGGTCCCCTGGAAAGCGTCTGGCAATAATGAATGTTGGTTTTTAATAACAATGTGTAAAACATATATGAAAACCAGCGGTATTACTTTAACGTAAAAAGGTACCTTTTTTATGTACCTTTAGTGCCCGTTATCTGTAAAAGGGCCCCGCTTTCAAGCTAGCAAGTACCCATACGTTTTTAACTACATATTAGGGCATTTATTAAAAAAATCTCAGCAGTATTAAAATGACGTAGGTCTGGCGGCCCTGGGATCTTGGACTATATTTATTGAAAATGAAATGAAACAGTAAAATATGATAATACGAGATCGAAAAAATGCGATATATCTAAATTTACTTCTATAGGTACAGGGTGATACCCTATAATGTCGCCCTCCTTTAGGGTGGGTTTATGCAGACTTAAGACTTAAAACTTAACATTTAAGACTTAAGAATAATTCTTAAGTCTTAAATGTTAAGTTTTAAGTCTTAAGTCTGCATAATTATTAAAAATTAAGCGAAAATTTTGTGGCGTTCATGCAGCATTTATCTTAAGACTTAAAACTTAAGGAGTAACCAATCAAAATCGATAAAAATATCACGTGGTATCAAGTTGGTACTACCAACATTAAAATGACAATTAACATTGAAATTTTACCGTTGTGTTTTGCGAATGCGTATATTTTTGTTTATCAACGTTTTTTATAATCTGTGTTTACTAGTTTAATGTAAAATGGATCCAAACGAAGAAGATATGATGATGCTAATTCTCTTTTTGACTGTAGTAGGTAAGATAAAATGATTCTATCTATGATTCTATGTATAATAATAATAATAATAATAATAATAATAATAATAATAATAATAATAAGATATAAAATGTTTGGTCCTGTAGGCACTAATATTGTATTATTTAAAAAAATAAGCTTTTTTGTGATAACTATAAATATTGAGTTAACACCTTCATACACTAATAGCTTCAAATATGAAGGTACCTATATAGTTAAGTTTTTAAATATTTTATTAACACGAATTTTTAAATTTTCAGTTACAACAACCATAGAAAAAGAAACAGTTTAATTTAAAATTCCCTAGTTAACGCTTGCGCAAATGCGATTTCATTTAAGAATTAAAAATTAAGACTTAAGAAAGATAAAAGTTTATTATCTTTCAAGGTCATTTTTCTTAGTTCTTAAATGTTAAGTCTTAAGTCTTAAATGGTGCATAAGCGACTTTAAAGGAAATCAATGAAATAACCTAACTTTTAACTTCTTAATTGTCTGCATAAGCCAGGCATAACTTTTTAATTTTAAGTGTCCCAAACAATTTAAAAGTGTGGTTATGTAGGTACTAAAAATACTTTTTATAAAATTGAAAAATTGATCAATGTACAGGGAAAAACAAAAAGTTTATTTTTTTACATTCACCCTATATACATATGTATTTATTTTTCGATACCTTGTAAAATTCTAAGCATATTTCATATAACATACCATATACCTAAATTCAACCGTTTCTGAAATATTTAAATTATTTTTAAGATTATTATTATTATTTTTAAGTTGAAATAGTTTGTCTTTCTCTGTCTGAGTATGCCATTTTTACATATTGACATATTGTCACTACAGGGTGTTATGTAATTAATGTTATATATTAAAATACTGAATACCTTTTGACATAAGGAATAAAGGAAAAATATTTAAAAAAACATTTTTCCAAAGATAAAGAAAAAATATGCATTAGAAGTTTTTTATATTTTTTGTGATACGCCACTGGTTACACACTTGTTTATCTTTGCACACCTGTATTTTGTGAGTACATAGATACCAACCAACAAAGTAGCTATGTATTGCCAGATGTAAAAAATTGTTACTAAAAATTTTTCTTGCAAAAAATAAATAAAAACTCAATAAATACAAAAGTTTTATGCCCTTAAAGCTCTAATACCCTTCTGTATTTATTTACTGATCCAGCTATTAGCTTAAGCAATGATTAGAAAATTTAGTAGGTACCTTTGAAATTTGAAATCCATAACCACAAAATTAATTTTTTCATCAGTTTTTTTCTGTTTACTCAGATGAAATTGGGACCAGTTTACAGGTTAAACTTTAAACATTTAATTTGTATAAATAAATCCAAAAGCACTTCCCTTAGTTAAGATATTTACAATTTGAAAACATAACCTAAAATTTAAAAGAAATGCACTAGATTCTGTCATAAAAGTTGGCAGATTTTGTTTGAATTTACCTTCAGTACAAAAATGAAATAACCAACAATTAATAAAAACGCCAAATTGACAATTTGCATTGTTAATTTTGTCATTTTTGTAATTAAGCTAAATTTAAACAATGTTTGTCAACTTTTTTGAGAGATTTTGGAAACACTGTTACCAACCATAACCTAATAAATCCACCAGATTAACCTAAAGTTCCTAGTCGATCAGTGGCGTACTTTTTGGTAGGATAAAGGTTATTATAAATTATTTTTAGACTTTGGAATTTAGAAAAAAAAAGTTTCAGGTGCTTCTTTATGGACCCTAAGGAACAACCCATTTTAATATATAACATTAATTACATAACACCCTGTATATAGTATGACTATAGTAATTTATTTTCAATAAAAATTTTGGTATACTGAGGCTTCTTGATTTCTAACAGTTTAAAAAAACATTTAATGATAACATTTTGAATGCGAATATTTCGGAAACGGTTGAATTTAGGTATATATAGGTACCTAAATTCAACCGTTTCCATATATGGTTTGTTATATGAATTATTCTCAGAATTTTACAAGGAATCGAAAAATAAATTCATATATAGGGTGATCCATTGAAAAAAAATAAACTTTTTGTTTTTCCCTGTATATTGGTCAATTTTCCATTTTTTTTATACATAGAAAAAAGTATTTTTTGGTACCTACATAACCACACTTTAAATTTTTTGGGACACTTAAAATAAAAAAGTTAAAGGGGGGGCGACATTATAGGGGATCACCCCTTTACTTTTGTCAAAAAAATTACAAAATGTACATATAATACAAATCGCATTTTTTTCAGTGATATGTTTAAATTATTTCTTAGACTGTACAAATTAACTATTTTAAAACAACAAAAAAAGGGACATACAATATTGGGTAAAACTCTAATTTTAATAAAAATTGATTTAGGTACTTTTTTATTAGGAAAATATTGGTAAATTTAGAAAAATTAACCTTTGAAAAAAATGACAAAAATACCATTGATTACATTTTACCATAAACTTGCTAATGTTGAATTAGAGAAAAAGTTACTGGAAAAAGGCAAAGGAGACATTTTGAGTTTTGCCAATTCATTTTCAATATGAAGTTTAGCAGATTACCTAATTTAACTTTAATTGATTGCACCAAACATATTGGCAACTTATATTATAATAAAATGCCCATTTACATAAATATAAGGAATGGTCCAAAAGTAATGGGACACAGCAACATTTAAATTAAAATCATGGGATTTATTTAAAGTTTAAATAAATCCCATGATTTTAATTTAAATGTTGCTGTGTCCCATTACTTTTAAACTAGAGTAATCACAAAGAAACATGGATAGCGTTTATCGAAATGGAACCAAGCGCCAAAAGTTTTTTGCTGTAAACAAAATTATTTGAAAAATAACTTATTTTTAATGCTGCTCAAAAAATTAATAATGATTTGGAAACCTTCTTAATCCTTTTGAGAAAAGTTACAAATGATAATTAACCTTTTGAACGTTATTAAATATAAGTTATTTTACAAATAATTTTACCAAGCCCAGAAAATGTTTATGGTGCTTGGTTCCTTTTCCATAAGCATTCAACTTTTTTAATCATAGTATAACAGTTTTAGAGGTAGAAAAATTCCATTTAAAAAAAAATTTCTCACTTTTTTAAACATTTCTTCAATACTAATTAGCCAATTTCAATTTTTTATACAAGATTAAAGCAAAATATCTTCTCTATCATTTATATAGGTACTTATTTTAGATTTCTTACCAGATTATCAGTTTACTGGGTATTTAAACATTATTGCCAATTTAGCTATTCTTATAAAAAAATATATAAAATTAATTTTTTCATGTATTAAGACCTCCTACATTAATTCCTTTCTTAAAAAACTATTTAATTTTATACAATAATTTGAAGTTAGACCTTTATTGTATCTGGTTTTTGTATTTTAATTAAATTATAATTATAACCTAAAAATTGCTACTTACGGTGAAGATAATTTTGATCTTCCAAAGTCAGTTCTCTGGAATAAGGTAATTTAGAAGCACTTTGTGGTGTACTTTGAAAATTATTGAGAAAATCTCTTATACCTGGAACTAAACATAAAAAAACATTAGTTGCGCACAAATACGAGGCATATTCAATTTACTCACTTTTTTCAGGCCATAATTCTGGAGAAGACCTATCCAAATTTTCCATACTCATGAGACTTTCGACAATATCTTCAGCCAAAATTTCTTGTTGCTCTGTAAGCATAAAATCGATTGTTACGTTTGACAGTTAGTTAATTATGTTGTAATAAAACTTTCCTGGTTGTTACCCTTATCATGTTAATAGTAAACATAAATAATATAATCCTAATTTGGACATTTTTAATTGTTTAATTGCGTTGGAAAACCATTTCAGATCATAATTTAAAAAATAATTTACCTTGTTCAACAATCCCGGGTTTCTCAGACGCCATCTTGCAATACTGCCAATTTTAACTAAAAAACTTAATGTCCCTGTAAATTCAAAATAAAAACGGTTATTCTTTGGATTTCAGCTTAAATTTGATAATATTAAACGAAAATTAAATAAAACACATAAATTAAAACTTTACGAACGATCTACTTTGAAGTCTGTGCACAGGGTATGTTAATATATTAATTTATGTAATATTTAAGAAAAATTAAAAAATAATAATAATAAAATTATTGAATATGTACCTCCTATTTTTGTATTAACAATAATAATAAATTTCAAAGTTTATTAAAAACCGTTTTAATTGATAAATTATTTTCTCATCAGGTTAAAAAACCCTGATTCTGATGCGATGAATTTGATGTTAAATTTTGAAGTGACCTCATTGGGAGACTTTACGTTTAGTGATTTATTTTTCTGAATGTTGGTATTTCTATCATACAAATAACCTATATAATAGTATTGCGTTTTTGTATCTCGTGACATTTAAATCATTATTTTTACGATACAAATAAAAAAATATGCACTCAAACTAGTGTGGATAAATATGTTAAAAATATACAAGAAAAATAGAGTTAAATTTTGATTTGCGTAAGTATCTAGGTAACAATATTGATGTTTAAAATTTGCAGTTGTATGTCAAAATGTTTACATTTCCTTTTATTACACACATTAATTTTTTAAAGTCGATATGTCCCAAGTAATTTCCCAGCTCTATATACAGCAATTATTAAAATGCAGTAATTATTGTAGAATTATGGGTCAGACACTTTCCGAACCTGTGACAGTAAAAGAAACCGCTTGTTGCCAAAATTCTTTGTTCAGAGTTGGTTCAAGTTGTATGCAAGGATGGAGAATACACATGGAAGATTCCCATTCACACATCCTATCATTACCTGATGATCCTAACACTGCATACTTTGCAGTTTACGATGGCCATGGTGGAGCCAAAATTGCCGACTATGCTGGCAAACATTTACACAAGTATATCATTAACCGAAGTGAGTACAAAGATGGCAATGTGGCAGATGCCATGAAACAAGCTTTCCTAGAACTGGACAGGGTTATGTTGGATGAAGAATCTCTTAAAAATGAACAATCAGGCACAACGGCTGTTACAATGATTATCAAAGATAACAAATTATTTTGTGCTAATGTTGGAGACTCCAGAGCTGTGGCAAGCATAAACGGCAAGGCAACACCACTCTCTAAGGATCATAAACCAAGCAATCCAGAGGAATTTGACAGGATTATGGCAGCCGGTGGATGGGTCAATAGTAATAGGGTTAATGGAAATTTAGCATTATCGAGGGCATTGGGTGATTTTATTTTTAAGAGGAATGCAGCCTTTACAGCTGAGCAACAAATTGTGACAGGTAAGAACCCTCAAATTATATCAAAACAAAAATTATTGTATATACAGTGTAGGTTTATTAAATAGCTATCTATAAGTTCTTGAGTAAGGTTTTAGTTTTGAATTTTTTTTATATTTTTCAGTTTAGACTATTATTTATAGTTTGTTAACTATTATAGTCTATTATTTTTTAAGCCATAAAGCATTACATTTATAACTGTAGTTATATTGCTATATTGTTGCAAGTTATGTCAAATAAGTAAAATAACCCCCTATAGCGTTCTTGAGACATCCTGTATAATATTTATGACTACACATAGTTTTTACACAACATTTTATAATTTTGCATATTTCCTTTTAAGTTTCCCAGCTTTTACCAAAGGAGTGATTCAACCTATGTATATATTATAATTAAATACCATGTGTTTACCATGATTCATTCTGACTAATTTTGGGCAGTGATTTCAATTGTTTTACTGCACAATTTTCTTTTTAATTATTAACTCCTTGAAACTTTTTATTATTATAAACTGTTTGCCAAAACAATTATTTTATATTATTAGTTATTATTAAATTATGTTTCATATAGGTAGGTATTCATTAATTAAACTTTTTTTATAAAGGGTGCCCCAAGTATCTTTTATTTATATCATTGCATATAAAACTGGTTCAGTCTTGTCCAAAAAGACGAATTCCACTAAAAACTACATTTTTGAGTTTAGTCTGTGTTTGAAAATTCGTCGTTTTGTCTCTAAATACTAATTTTCAGTGATTCAGTCATCAGGTAATTGGTAACCAGTGCCTATTATGTTGCTATGATTTTTGTAAATTTCCATTGATCCCCATATTAGTCTGGGCATTATCCTTGGTTCTATTAATCAACACATTTAGTTTTTTCTGTATACCCATATTATCATTGACTTAATTGAGAAACAAATTTTATCACACTATCAATATTTATTTAAGGCATATTAACTATTTTAATTATATTGATGTACTAAAATAAGAATAAACTTTTACTAGTGGTAAAAACCAAAGTTATTAAAAGCATAATAGTGAAAATTATCATAATTAGTTTTAAATAGACTCATTTTAATACTATTTGTCTCTAACAGAGAATCTCTATTTATAGTTATATATAACTAGGTATACATATATGTACCTGAAGCTTAAACATAAGCTGGAGTAAAAAAATAAGAATTAATGAATAAGAAATTTAATATGGGTATTAAATGAAACCTTAAGGAAGGGATATAATTTAAAAATACATATTCCAGCAAAATTAAAACCTCAAGTAAATAAAATATTGTAAAAAATATACTAGTTTATTAATTAAAAAATAATGTGCCTATAATAATATGAATATAATAAATTATATTATCATATTGCTAAGATTATTTACCAACATAAATAAAAAATACAAATTGAAATAATTATCAATGCACAGTGACAAACAACAACAATGTAAAACATACAGTATAATATAACTTAGGACGCAAACAACAATAATAAGTGGTAGTGGTAAATAAAATATATAAATAACAAGTGGTACAGTAGTGGACAACGGTAATGCAATTTAATTGTAGAGTCACAAATAACAAATACAATCAGGTATAAAAAACATGTCAGTGCAAATCAAATATATATAGCAAAATGACATGATTATCAATATTAATAAAATAAGACAGTGAAACAAAATCAATAGCCCTAGCTAACCATTCTTTGCCAATATAAATTGGTAAATTGGTAATTATTGGAAATTGGGTGCGCCTGTCAAAGCAAAGCTGTATCCACCGACATCACCAAAAAACCGCCAACAAAGTTCTCTAACTAAATAACTCATTTAATATGCAGAACTTGAAACAAAGTCTCAACATATTAAATATTGAATATAAATTTATCAAATATGTAAAATAAGATAAACTGTACAAAATAAAGTTTGTGAATGTTAAATAGAAATATGTAGTAAAATGGTACATTACATTACAATATAAATACCTATAATAATTATTAGAGTGGGTTGAAAACAAAATGTTTGTTTTTTTTTCTTAGCATGGGGGTAAAATTTGTACCTTATAAAAAAAGAAAATTAAAAAAAAAAAATTTTTTTACTCTTGAGGTGGTCCACTCGTTTTTTAAATAAATATTTAATCAAATGGGGTAGTTCCAACGGGAAATTCTTTTTCGTTCTAGAATCTGTAGGGTGTCCCCTTAAAAGCTAATTGGAAGTCAAAAGTTGAAAAAGTTTTTTCCCATTCTCCTAATAAAAAAATTAAATGCACTTTCTTTTGTATTAGAATGAAAGTTGAGTGAAAAAAATCACATTCTACAATTTTTACACGTTTTCCACGATTTTGGACCAAAAAAAGAATTTCCCGTTGGAACTACCCCATTTGATTAAATATTTATTTAAAAAACGAGTGTTGAGTAAAAAAAAAATATTTCTTTTGAAAAATTTTCTTTTTTTGTGAGGTACAAATTCTACCCCCATGCTAAGAAAAAAAACAAACATTTTGTTTTCAACCCACCCTAATAATTATAAACATAAAAAAATGATTATAATACATTTGTAATTTGGTTTGTCCATCACAACCATTAAGATACAAAATTCAGCTTATTCCTTCTTTTCAAGAACAAGATAAAATAATAGGAAAATATAGTTTAAATTAAGTATTAACTAATTAACTACTTACGAGGTGTGTTCAGAAAATATCGGGAATTTTCGTTTTTTGAAACAAATATTTATTTATTCGTCTACATAAATGTTGTCGCCTTCAAAATAGTCCCCATTGGATATTATGCACATGTGCCAGCTCTTCTTCCAATACTCTAAACACTAAAACTCGATCTTTGGGATAGCCTTTAGTTCTTTCAGCGATGCGCTTTTAATGTCATCTATGCTTGCAAAACGACGGCCCTTTAAAGTTCTCTTTATTTTTGGAAATAGGAAAAAGTCAGACAGAGGCATGTCTGGCAAATATGGAGGCTGGGGCATCATTACAGTATTGTTTTTGGCCAAAAATTTTGTTCAAAATTTAACAATTTTGGAACAAATTTTGCTGCCACACGTTTCATACCCAAAACATTCGAAAAAATTTCATGGAATGAGCCAATCGATATACCAACATCATCAGCGACTTCTCTTCGTCATCTTCAGCGTCTTTACGGCCATCGTGGAGACTCTTATACCACTTGTAAACTCTTGTTTTACTTATAGCAGACTCACTATAGGCCTTTGTTAACAGTTCACAGAATTTATTTCATTTTTTAAGCAAAATTGGATACAAATTCTTTGATCCATTTCTTTTAATGAACGAAAATCGCCGAGCTCATAAAACACGTCTAACCTTAGCGGCTGCCACAGACAAAGTAAACAATGAAAACAGCTAAAGTTTTTATCATACTTCGGGAGCATGTATACCAACATAATAAAGAAAATTTTATGACAACTGGACCCTCCGAACCCGCGAAATTTAACAATTCCCGTTATTTTCGAAACACCTCGTATTATGATATTTGCAGAGTTGCGAGATTTTTACTTAAAAAGTATTGCCATTAGAATATTTAAGTTACTTGAGAATGGAGAAAATAAAAATTATCAATACATTGTATTTTTTACTCTAAATTGATTTAAAGTAAAAATACAAAAATAATTGTACTTATTAATTTGAATAAATAATATTTTTTAGTACTTCGTAATGCAAAAAGTTTAAAGTCAAAGTAAAAAATTGATTGTACCTAAAATATAAATGAAAATACAAGTACGAAGTATTTTTTAACGGGACCGACTGAAAATAAAAAACAAAATCTAATTAATAATTATAAATTTATGTATATACGGGGTTGGTTGGGTTGGGTTGTTTGGTTTGGGTTGGTTTCGAAGCGGGCGGACTCGGGACGTTAGTTAAGGAAAAAATATCTGCTTCCCGTCCTAAGATTGCGTCATTGGATGACGTCACTCTGTTAACAGAAGCGCAATAGGGAACCGTCTGACGGGACTCTAGACACGGCGTTAATTTTATCATTATTATCAGGGTTGGGTATCTACCTACATTTTTGTTTTCGACATGTAGAAAACCTTTTTCGACGTTTTCGACGGTAGAAAACGTAAAAAAGTAGAATACTGTCAAATATCAAAAAATGTGAGGTTATGCAAGTTTGTTGTTTATTATGATTTGTTAAATGTTGTGAAAAATCAGACACCTACCATAAATTTAAAGTTATTTGGAGTTTTTTAACATTATTATGGTGGGAAAAAAAGGGCCACGTTTGGTTGGGTGTTCTTTGGTTGGGAGACCCCAACATAATTTTTGGCATGAGGGCAAATTTTTATCAATTATAGAGAAGTGGAAGGAGAAGATCAAATAAGGTAATTAACGTAGGTAGAAAACCCTATAGGTTTTCGACGCAAGTCGAAAACAAGTTTTCTACCCTTTTCTACCAAGGTAAATTACCTAAGGTTTTCTACTGACCCAACCCTGATTATTATGTTAACATAACCTTATAATAATTTTACATATTTTTGTAGTTTGCCTGAAGATGATCTAATATAGATCGAAACTAGTCGCAATAAAAACATAAACAAGCACGGAAGTATCCTTATTCATCATTCTATTCAAATCAAAAAAAAAAATATATATATATATATATATATATATATATATATATATATTTACTTCCAGCATACAAAGTGAGCCACTTTCGAAGGTAATTTACTATTAAAGTGAGGTCCATGGCAAAGTGAGTACCGTATATGGTCCTCACTTTGTCAAAGCAATAATTTTATGCCTGAACGCTTCTGTGTTACATAAAATGTTGTTTCAGTAAGACATAAAAAAAGCCTCACTTTGCATTTTAGTTTCTTAAACCGCTACTAGGTGGCGCTGCTACCGCAACTTGGTGGCGCTTCTTGATGAGTATATTTTCAAGACGTATATTTTTAGATGCTTATTAGCAACTTTCTACGCATTAAGTGAGGACCATAAAATTGACAACTGTAAACGGTCCTCACTAAATGCTAGAAATGGTTTGTTGACTATAATTTTAATTTTCTTTTGTCTGGTTTGATCTGTGCCAGGGTATTGAATCTTTAAGTAATCTGGCGGAAAACTGCTTTAACCTTTAACCGCTACTAAGTGGTTTGTTAGAGACCACTAGATATGTTTTTCTAAATATTATATTATTATAATAATACTTTATATCTATATATAGATATAAAGTAATTCGCTAGACCAAAATATAGCGATTAGGTTATATTAGCTTCCCTTGTAATAGTGTCCACAAGTCGATTTTAACCAACTTATACTTAACCGATTGAGCTGAAATTTTGCACATACTTTAGGTGCTGAAGACAGTACAATTTAGTATAGGATTACCTTTTTCTTTACAACCCCCTTGATTTGGGTATCAAATGAAAGGTTTTGACGATATATTATAAGGCGTTATACTAAATCCAATATGTCATCCGCTCCAAGATGGCGATTTATCTATTATTCACAACTTGATATGGGTATCAAATAAAAGGGCTTGACTAGTAGAAAACAATAAGGTGAGTGACGTCGAATCAAATCCAATATGGAGACTACCCCAAGGTGACAGAATAGGTACCTATTTCTTTACAACCTTCTTAAAATAAATTTTAAAACAAGTGGTGACTCGGGTATCCGGAAACCAAAATATTCTGAAGGCCCGTTAGGTCAAAAATTTTATCGAAATCGGATTTAGACACCTCAATTTACAATAAAAACAAGTGGTATCCGTAAACCAATATTTTTTCAAGATCCTTTAGGTTAAACGTTTTTTTTACTCCTATATCTGCTGGGTGCAGGGTGTAAGGTTAGGTAACCAAATTTTTAAGCATTTATTACATTATTTTTTTTCTATTTTGTCTAACTCCTAAGAATATTTTTTCTAAAATATATTAAAAACGAACGGACTGATTTAAAACACCGTACGACTTCAAAGACCTTTAAAATGATGTATTACTCGATACCTATTCAAATTTTTAAGGGCGCAGAGGGTAAGGGTGGGAAACCAATTTTTATCATGCAAAATTGTACCCCTCGATATTAAACTTTACATGTCTCGGCGTTTTTTCAGAAACCTTTCAGTTTAAGAGAAATTTACTTTGGGAAGTTTTAAAATTAATACCCTGTATAATAAATAACAAAATATCTAATAAATATTAATAAGTCTAATCATATGTTAACCCGTAAAGGTGGAGAGGCCTTTAGACCTGCGGTCCGTTCCTACCCCTAATCGCTCATGCCATTCAGTTGGCTTTTGGGACTTCTTAGGAAGTAAGGGTGGAACTAAAAGAGCACTTTTGTATATAACTTTTGTGTATTTGTCCAAGGATGTAATTTCTTTGTGGTATTGTCAACTGTTACACAGTTTTACAAAAGTACGATGGACCTCATAAAATGGGTAGCATAAAAAATTATAAACGGTCCTCACTTGAATAGACAGATATACGGTCCTCACTTTGTTCTGATATACTCGAAAATATTTAAATGAACATTTTACGTGTATATTCTTTACCCACCTGTTACTAATTTAATATTAAGCGTAACTTAATATTAATTGTGTTTCTATTTTGACTCCTTCTACCGGTCCTCATAATATCCGTGCTAAGACAAGTCCTCACTTTGTATGCTGGCCAAATATATATATATATATATATATATATATATATACGTATATATATGTATAATGTATTCTGTTCTTTATTATTTTTTAATTATAAAATAAAAAAATATTTAGAATCATTAAACATTTTAAGTTAAAATAAAAAGTACTTGATATTTTCTCTGATTATAATTACAAAATAAAAAAAAAATTGTAATTATAAAATTATCAAATAAAATAAAAAAATATTTAGAATCAGTAAACATTTTAAGTTAAAATAAAAAGTACTTGATATTTTCTCTGATTATAATTACAAAATAAAAAAAGAATTGTAATTATCAAATTGGAGTCATTCCAAATAAAAACACCAAATAGGGTGCGCTGCGTGATTTTTTATTTTGATGAAAAAATTTGAGGATGATCTTTTAGGTGTCAAATATGAAAATCCGTTGCCGTTTTAATTTTTTGTTGCTTTACTTTTATTTGGCACCCCTTAGAAGTCTGAAATAGTGTCAATTTCTTACTCTCTTATAGTGGGTCAGAACTTTTTTTCTGTGACAAATATTGAAATAATTTTAATTTTGTTTTACTGTCCAGTAAGTGTGTTTTCGATATAAATTATTATTATCCAATTAGTTAATCTCATAAAAGAATGGTAAACCACTAAAGATTCATGATAATTTGCCAATTTTTGTGATTTTTGTCTGGCTCCTGTGCCTATTCTACTGAATTTAGAAGGTTCATTTTTTTCAGGTATAAAGTACTTATACAATAGAAAACGTAACTATTATTTTAAGTTTCTAGACTATCAATTTCTTTATTAAAAAAATTATTGAAAATTGATAATTCTCAAAATTAGCCAATTTTGCCCTCAGAAATCATTATGTTGAGGAAAAAATAAAAATCTGAAACTTTCAGGAAATGTAGTCCCCACCTTCATCTTTTCAGTCCAGTTAGTCTTGTTTTGTTATTTTTATCCATGTAAAAGATATAATAATTTTTTTAATGCCAGTTAAGAAGCGATATTGTTAGTTTTATTTATAATCTAAAATTTAGATGGCTTTGACTTTGTCAATTCATGTTTGGTGGAGAAATGTCAGAACTGCGAAAAATGTTTCATAAATATTATTTGTGCGTATTTCTTTGGTAAATTTTGTATATAACATAATATGTCATATGTTATATACAAAACTTTTTAAAGTCACCAAAGGAATACCACAAATAATAATTATGAAATATTTTTGATAGTTCAGCCATTCCAAGCTACTCGGAAATTTTTGTAGCGTCCGTTACAATAAAAAATTGTGATTAAATGCTACCGTAATTAAATGAAATACCTTTACAATAGTTAATATTGCAAACATGTTTATTATGCTTGTAATAATTAGGCTTAAACTTATAAGCATAATAATTACGGTAGTTTTACTCACAATTTTTGATTGTAATGGACGCTACAAAAATTCCCGAGTAGCGTGGAATGGTTGAACTATCAAAAATATTTTATAATTATTATTTGTGGTATTCCTTTGGTGACTTTAAAAAGTTTTGTATATAACATAATATGACATTATTTTATATACAAAATTTACCAAAGAAATACGCACAAATAATATTTATGAAATATTTTTCGCATTCTGACATTTCTCCATCAAACATGAATTGACAAAGTCAAAGCCATCTAAATTTTAAATTATAAATAAAACTAACAATATCGCTTCTTAACTGGCATTAAAAAAATTATTATATCTTTTACATGGATAAAAATAACAAAACAAGACTAACTGGACTGAAAAGATGAAGGTGGGGACTACATTTCCTGAAAGTTTCAGATTTTTATTTTTTCCTCAACATAATGATTTCTGAGGGCAAAATTGGCTAATTTTGAGAATTATCAATTTTCAATAATTTTTTTAATAAAGAAATTGATAGTCTAGAAACTTAAAATAATAGTTACGTTTTCTATTGTATAAGTACTTTATACCTGAAAAAAATGAACCTTCTAAATTCAGTAGAATAGGCACAGGAGCCAGACAAAAATCACAAAAATTGGCAAATTATCATGAATCTTTAGTGGTTTACCATTCTTTTATGATATTAACTAATTGGATAATAATAATTTATATCGAAAACACACTTACTGGACAGTAAAACAAAATTAAAATTATTTCAATATTTGTCACAGAAAAAAAGTTCTGGCCCACTATAAGAGAGTAAGAAATTGACACTATTTCAGACTTCTAAGGGGTGCCAAATAAAAGTAAAGCAACAAAAAATTAAAACGGCAACGGATTTTCATATTTGACACCTAAAAGATCATCCTCAAATTTTTTCATTACAATAAAAAATCATGCAGCGCACTTTTAAATTCATTTTTGGTGTTTTCATTTGGATTGACTCATTGGTAAAGTAAAAATAAAAAGTACTCAATATTTTTCTCTCATTACAATTATAAAATCAAGTAATAATTAGTAATGATAGCATAATCCATTAAAAAAAATACTCAGTACTCCCAACTCTGGATATTTGTGACATTAGATTATGATAGTAATAATAAAATAAACAAACTTAGTTATTACAACAACACCAACTGATTTTATATCTAAGCATTAAACTTGATTATTTAAGACACTCCCTTACATCAATAATATAATTCAACTATTCTCTTCAAACAGCAAACCGTGACTGTCTAAAATCTTCTGTCTTATCCAAGTTTTCTACACGCTCTTTTTAATGTTTATTTTTAAGACTAGGAATTGTACCAAAACTTGCTTATTTGGTCTTTCTGTAACGACCCCGGCCAGATGAGAATCATAAATTACTATACCCTAATAAACAAAATAAAAAGTGTATCGAATTCTTAAGTAAAATCCTAACACTTAATACAATTTTAAAACAAATATTTAAAACTTAATCTCATATTTCGTAAAGCTTAAAAGTTTAAACTACCAAATGTTAAAAATTAACTGCCCCATAAAATATTATATCGTGCCCATTACAGTAAGTGGTCAAAATCGGTTGACGCATATAATTTTAGGAAAAAGAAGTATGTATTGTTTTCATCTTTTTAAGCATTTCCGGAGGTGGAGGAACGCGAACTGAACTCCGACTGGGAATTTCTAGTGCTGGCCTGCGACGGGATCTGGGACGTGATGAGCAACGAGGAAGTGGTGTCATATGTGCGCGACAACATCGCCATGGGCATGGAACCCAGCGAGATTTGCGAGAAACTGATGGACCGCTGCCTCGCGCCCGACTGCGAGCTGATGGGCCTCGGATGCGACAACATGACCGTCGTTATTGTCGGACTTTTGCACGGAGGTAACTATCTATTATGAAATTAATAACATAGAAATCTCAATCTGTACTTTTACGTCGAAAATATTCCGGACAGATACGCTAAAGAAGTATCGGGTTTTCGCAACGCGCGCGCCATCTGGTGGGCTTCGATAGCATTGCGTGAATTTAAGAATTGTCAACAATACATTTAAACCATACGAACTGTACATCATTTTTAAATAAATAGGTAGTTTTTTTTACAAAAGAGAAGAAGACATAAGTCTTACTCGACAAATTTTGTTCAATTGCACAGCTAAAACGCGCACGTTATTTGTGTTTTACGTTGCAAGGAAAAAATTTAAAAATTTGCTGCTTAAATGCTTATATAGTTACGTTAGTGTGTGTAGTTTATCTAAGGGATCATGGTGAATTATTGTGTTTTTAATTGTAAATAAAATTCAAGAACAAAATCGTTGCATTTTCATGTTTTGCCAAAGGATCCAATTCGGTAAGTACATTTGTTGGTGCAGAATTAACTAATGATAATTTTACCTAATATAATTTATATTTAAGTTTGGACATTTTTAAGAAATTAGTAAAAAATAGTATTTGCACAAACAACCTTAAAATCAACCTTTTTATATTTGAGTTCTCTAAAAAACGCCGACAACTGCATTTTAAACAAAAAATATATATATATTTAAGTTTGGACATTTTTAAGAAATTAGTAAAAAATAGTATTTGCACAAACAACCTTAAAATCAACCTTTTTATATTTGAGTTCTCTAAAAAACGCCGACAACTGCATTTTAAACAAAAAATATACCTACGAATTTATGGCAACATAATATTACATATAATACATAATATAATGGTGTTTTACCGGAGACGCTTTTAATATTGCTAAATGCTGTAAATTTAGACGACTTATTTGTTTGACGATATTTACTGAATTGAAATGTTTATCCTTTTCACGTTAATTACTATTAAAATGTGTAACTATTGTATCTAATAGGTACAATTTATATTTAGAGACTCTATGCAATTTATTTCTTCATTCAGATTAACACTGTTTATTGGAAAACCGGTAATATCTCAACCCATGATTTCCTCTCGAAATACACTCAACAACACAACAAATCGAGCCAAGGTTTTTTTTTTTCGATATTTTTTAACATTTTCCGGCTTTATTCTCAAAAACACTCGTTTGAAAAATAAGCGTTTGACAGCTGATTATTAAAAGTGCTGCTTTTGTTACGATGATAACAGCCGAGTGTTGGAGCTTCTAGCGATACTTCTTTAGCGTATTGGGTATGTTATTTCTGACCGACTATACCAGTTATGGTACAAAAAAACAAGGTATGTTCTTTAGTAGGACGAATTTTGGTTCACTTTGCGCACCACCCAGTTACCGCCATCTTAGTTCATTCCCGCTTTTAAATTTAAATATTATTCTCTTACGAAATTCATCCAAATTTCTATAAAATTTTTAAATTTTTAGATTAAATTGTCGAATAATTTAAAGATCACACGTAAAAAACTCAGTCACAATATTAACATTTCAAGAAAATATTATTAATAAAAAAAACTATTTTATATGGTTTTTCAATCAAATAAAACATATTGTTTTAAAGTAAATAATATTTACTAAATATCAACAAAAATATGTGGAAAAAGTGCTAAGAAAAATTTTAGTTTTTAGGTTAAATGTTCAAATAAAATATCTTGTTTTAAAGCAAATATAAAGAATTAAATGGAAAAGTGTTGAATGTAACAACATATTTTTTTCTAAATTTATTTATTACAAAATTTTATTTACAAATAATGGCAATTTAGGTTTAGTTGCCAAATAAAAACCCTAAATTGGCCACCATAGAGAAATGTTTTCAATAAAACAAAATATCCTGTTTTAAAGCAAATACAGGGTGTTATGTAATTAATGTTATATATTAAAATGGGTAGTTCCTTAGGGTCCATAAAGAAGCACCTGAAACTTTTTTTTTCTAAATTCCAAAGACTAAAAATAATTTATAATAACCTTTATCCTACCAAAAAGTACTCCACTGATCGACTAGGAACCGCAGATTAACCTAACCTATTACTTTTTAATGCAGTGTTGCCAAATGTAAAATTAAAAATTTATTACCTTATTCATATAAATGATTTCATTATTTAGAATGCAAGCTTAAACTCTGCGAAGCATGCTTTCGCGCACCCGCGTAAAAATGTCTGGACTATTTACAATTAAGTTCCTGAGTTGCTGCCCACATCCCGTCTCTCGTAAATGTGGCCTTATCGGTATACAAAACACTACGAGTCCAATCAGCATCTTCTTGATTTTTCTGTATATACCAATGGCAAAATTCCAACCGCAGTTCATAATCTCCATCCTGAAGAGCTTGAACTTTTTGTAGGTGATATGGGTACAAACTATTTTCGTGAATCGTGCGCCACGTAACAAAGTTGGACATTTGTCCAAGTTGCAACTGCCCATGGGCAGTTAATCGTCTTGTACTAATTCTCGGATTTGCTTCCACTTCGTCCAAAATTTATTCTTCAAGGGCCACAAATTCACGTCCCTGAGCCCGACCCCTATCACCAACAAATGCGCTAAATCTTCCGCGGTCCTTTAAACTTTGCACAGCACGTACAAAAACGCCATAGCATAAAATCTTTCGCACAAATTACTTATTATTATTACTAATAAAATACAACACAGATTATACAACTGAAATACAAATTTTCAAACTTTCAAATATTTATAAAAGAATAAAAACCTGCAAAAACTTGAAAAAAAATAAAAACCTGAAACCGCTAGATTTTAGAATTAGACCTTGTGTAAACTAATGATTTTTTAAAAATCGTTTTAACATTGTGATTTAAAAACATACTTATAAAAATATATTTAAATTTAGACACACCAGATTTAAACTTTAATCATAATTCGTAATGATTTACTTTGTCCAATTTATGTTGTTATGGTTGGTTACCAATCGTTGGTAACACTGTCAAATTGTAGGTTATGTGCGCAAATTGTAATATCTTAACTAAGGGAAGTGATTTTGGGAGTTTGGATTTATTTACACAAATTGAATGTTTAACGATTAACCTGTGAACTTGTCCTAATTTCATCTGAGTAAACAGAAAGAAAAAAAACGATGAAAAAATTAATTTTATGGAGTTTTTAAATAGGTAGGTACTAATTTTTCTTATCATTGCTTAAGTTAATAGCTGGATGAGTAAATAAATACAGAATGGTATTAGAGCTTTAAGGGCATAAAACTTTTGTATTTATTGAGTTTTTATTTATTTTTTGCAAGAAAATTTTTTAGTAACAATTTTTGTACAACTGGCAACGCCCAGCTACTTTGTTGGTTTGTATCTATGTACTGAGAGAACACAAGTGTGTAACCAGTGGCGTATCACAAAAAATATAAAAAACTTCTAATGCATATATTTTCTTTATCTTTGGGAAAATATCTTTTAAAATATTTTTCCATTACACCTTATGTCAAAAGGTATTCAGTATTTTAATATATAACATTAATTACATAACACCCTGTATAAAGAATTAAATGGAAAAGTTACAACATTAAAATTGCTAACAACATATTTTTTTTTAATTTATTTATTACAAAATGGTATTTACAAATAATGGCCAAATAAAATCCCTAAATTCGCCACCATGGAGCCAACATTAAATAAAACAAACTAAACTTGTAAAAAATATTATTTTATGCTTTTGGGATGTTTCAATCCTGGGCCATTTTATTATCAGTTTATGTTATGGACGCATTAATGCAAAAAGAAAGATTTAATTTTGATTATTTCCCTCATTATAATAATATTATGAACCAATCAAAAGCCTTGAATTTTCGAATAAATTTCGTTTAAATAAGCGATTAAATCACTAGAACTATTTAACAGCGATTAAATTTTAGCCTCCATATTGGATTTTTGTTTACGATTTTATGGTGTTTTTTTAAAAAACAATAAAAAATAAGTTATCTAGTTTACGAAATATCAATTATTACTTATTACATACCTTAAATTAATGGAATTTTCTTTAAAAAAAATATTTATAAATTTTGACACATACCGTATGTGACATATGTCAGATTTTATGAATTGTCAAATAGTTTCCTTTAATTCGAGAAATAATCTAGACGTATATCACTCAACCTATAAATTTAATCTGTCAAACTATGCTCAGAAGTTTTTTATTTGATTTTTCTTTTTGGAAAATAGTTTCATGCAAAATAATTAAAAATAAAACCCCTCGACCGCTACGCGGTCTTCTGATTTTATTAAATTATTTTGCATTCAACATTTTCCAACAAAAACCAAACAAAAAACTACTGAGCCTAGTTTAACCGATTAAATTCATAGTTCTCGTGATACATATAATACGAGCCCTAACCACATAATGTTCGGACACTTCATAATTTATACAGTAATTTTTTTCGTGAATACTATCTCAAAATTATTAGAAGTTATGAAAAATTCAGCTTATTTTGGCATATACCCCTCGAAGCGATTTTTATTTTTAAAAAGTTTACCTTTTATTTTTAGCTTTTAAAAAAAGGCTAACTTTTTAACTTTTTTTTGTATGAGTAAAAAAAGTTATAAATGGACCCATTAAAAAGAGCATAAAATATTATACAAACCCTGAAAATTTGGTAAAAAATAAATAAGTTATAAAAAAGTATAAGTAATTTAAAAATGCTATTTTTAAAGAGTTTTTGCAATTTTCTTAGGAAACGGGAGATTTTGCAGATATATATATCGCTATAACTTTCTTATTATTTATACAATTTTTACCAAATTTTCAGGGTTTGTATAATATTTTATGTTCTTTTTAATGGGCCCATTTATAACTTTTTTTACTCATGCAAAAAAAAGTTAAAAAGTTAGCCTTTTTTTAAAAGCTAAAAATAAAAGGTAAACTTTTTAAAAATAAAAATCGCTTCGAGGGGTATATGCCAAAATAAGCTGAATTTTTCATAACTTCTAATAATTTTGAGATAGTATTCACGAAAAAAATTTCTGTATAAATTATGAAGTGTCCGAACATTATGTGGTTAGGGCTCGAATATGATTAATTTTTTTTTCAAATTATATTTTAATTTCTTACACTACATTACTTGATTTCTTGAGTTTGAGTTTTTGTTACGAACTGTCTTCAAAGATCATATTATGCTTCCTAGCTTTGTCCTATTTCTTGTACACTGTAAAACAAACTATAATTTAAATTGTTTTTTCCAATTTTATTTTAAGTTCTTACAAAGTAACTAATTTCTCTTTTGATAGATCAGCTGTTAGGTAAGTGTAAAGTTGGAACTGTATCAACTTTTAAAGACTTTTATGAGAATGTAATTTGTATGTTTGTTTGATCCAATTTTCCTTCTTATAGCAAATACCTTAAAAGTAAATGGAACAAATACAAGCTACAAAATAAAAAAAAATATTAAACTAAGTTTACACTAGTTTTAAATAAAAGTACCTCTATAATTTTAAAATAAATCTACTTAGTATCCTAAACATGAATTTTTTCAAGAAAATGTATTGGGATTTTCAAGTTTTTTTCTTTTGGCATTGTTTTTACAGATTTTCACTTGACAGGTAAACATTTTTACACTCACAAAACTTTAAAATAGCTTAAGAAAACAGTTGTTTAACAACTCACAACAAAATTTAAATAGTCAATATGGCGACCACTGGTTGCTCCCACCTCATCGCCAATCTAATGGAGTGGTGGAAACAGGTGCACAATAACATACCTTGTTTTATTGAAAGTGATGTAACGAATGTCAATTTTCACACATTCGCGCTCAACTTTTTAAACTTTCAGCCATTGTCTGCGTTCATTTTTGCGAATACGAATCTCAAAAATCGTGCGAATATTTTCAAATACGAATATTCGTTACATCACTAAAGACTCTATATGCTGAATTTCAAATTCCCGTATCTCCCCTTAGGCGCTCCCCCCCTTTTATAAAACAAATCATTTTCTCTATTCTTGTGTAAAAATATTGATTACACTGGTCAACAGCCATTTTGCCACATGGTGCCAACATCTTTTCTACGTTAATGTGTGTGCGCTAATTTCAAAAATAACCATAATTTTGCTCAAAGCCCTTGTTTAAAGAAGATATTGTTAAAAACAAATATGCAAACATTCAAATTTGTAGATATAGTTTCTCGAAAACCAACTCTAATTGAGCAAAATGGTTTTGTCGACCAGTGTAATTTAAAGACTGTTATTTATTCTTATAAAATATAATAGGTACTTACGAGGAATTGCAACGTAGATGTTTGAAGAAATTCAGCAGTGACGAGGAGAAAGAAGATACAGAGGAGATAAAAGATCCGATTGAATAAATACCGCGAATCTCTCTTTTTGTACATATATACCCAGTGTTCTAATATTGTAAATAAAATGTATATAATACTTTATACCTATACAATGTTATTGTTTCGAAATAATCTGCCGCCAGTAAGGGAATTAGATGAGAAATTTGCAACTACAAAATGATATTTTTTACTATAATGAACAGCTTGCAAATCTATAAACACACTAAGTTCTGGCACCAAATATAAATTGTTAGTTGCGTTAATTTTATCTCGTTTATGGACTTTGTTAATCTTTAAACATGATTATTTGTAAGAAATTTGTGTCATATTAAAAATGCTTATTTAATATTTGATTTCACAAAAAAATATGTTGTTAATGGTAGTGGTAGTTTTAATTTTTTATGAAGTTACTAGGCCTGAGTGTTAAAATAGTTTATGGGCTGAAAATATTTTTATAAAACATGTTAAGATAAAAACTTCTAATAAAACTAAATAAAATATCAATTTGTAGTGTAGGCTTTATATTTTTAAGCTAAAAATTAATTTTGGACGGTTGTTTTAATGTTTTTGTGTAAGGATTTGATAATTTCATTTAAAATTTAATTCTTAATAATTAACTCAGCTGATGTAGTGTTTATTAATTAAGTATGATTTGCCAAAGTTTATTGATTAATCAAATTTCAGCATTTATGCGATTTTTTATGTAGTCCTATGATTTCCTGTGTGCCCAATATTATTATTAATAATTACTATTATTATACTTAGTTCTGTGTATTCTGTAGTTTATTAAATTTATTCATTAAATCTTTCATATAATTTCCTGTTTAACTTTGGTATGTCAAAATTTTGTTTTGTATCGTGTTTAGGTCATTTAGAATTGTATGATTTTTTGTGTAGACAATTTATTAGAAATACAAGTGGCTGTTAAGATGTTTTTATTGTGAAAGTAAAATTACTATTTTAATTTGTTGATTATTTGTAATCCTTCATAAAATACTGTGGACTACAATTTTCAAAATGTTTGAATTTAATATTTGATAAGGAATTATAAATATTTTTCTTTTTCATAATCAAAAATAGAATCTGTGTGACCCTAAAAACAGGTCATTAAAGGAATTTTGCAAGTTTAGCTTGTAAAACGAAGCTAGAAACAAATAAAGGTTTGTAAAAATAAATTTTCTAAAACGCAATTCTCATCCGATTGTGCGATTGGCAATGTATTTGTTGCAAATGTTGGAAGAAAACTTTAAAAAGCAAAAAACGTTAAACTGGCAAGAAGCCCTTTAACTTCAGTGGCCATATAAACTTTGCGGCTTAAGGTGAAATCTTTACTTAATTTTTTTATTCACTTTTCTTAAAGCAAGTTTTTAAAGAAGATTTACAATTTATTTATATGGGTTGATGCTCTAGGACGACAAATTCACAAAGTAGGTACCCAATTTTTTTAAATTCTTAATTGAGAAAGTTGTTTATCTGGAAAAAATCAACAAAATTCATATTAACTTTTTTTACGATTAACCGTTTCAGAGTTATATTACTTCAGCTTTGTACAATGTTCAATACATTACTCGAAATTTCGCACAAACTTTTGAACGGTCCATCGTAGGAAAAAAACTAGAACGAATTTCGCAGGGGGTTGGATCACGCCTTAAGGCTATTTAAATAGCCTTTTTTCCGACCAAATGGAAAAAATCTAGATCTAGCTACCATTCTGATTGCTCCGCAGTGAATAGCGATAGTTTGTCTAAAGTGTATTCAAATCCAAACTGGACTAAACAAAAACGCCCAGACGCATGATAACTTCTTCTTATTGGTCGATTCTGATGGTGTGACTCGGATTGTGAGTTCTTATTGGTCGATTCGGAGGATTGTGTTTACTATCGCTAACAAAAAAAACTCATACAGCTTAAAAATCTAGTGTTCCTGATTTTCTATCATTTCGTTGGAGTAATTATGGCTTTTAACATGATACGTCACATTTGAAAGGTCTAAAATTAAATAAAAAGTTAGGTTGAAGTTTGAAAAAAAATAATATTTCGTCATCCCTCTGTTTTTGTCAATTACTGTCCGCAAACGGCAAAGCATGGAAGTCGCCGTCTTGCTTTATCTCGTTCCAAATGGCTTCAATGGCTTGCCAGAGTTCATCTGCATTGTTTGGTTAAAAATTTTAAAAAGTCATAATGGATGTGACAAAGCTGGATGTCAGCTTGACATTGACGGAAAAGTTTTATTCACACAGCCACAATATAGCTGTATGAGTTTTTTTTGTTAGCGATAGTACATTTAGTCCAGCTTGGATTTGAATAGACTTTAGATAGGGTCAAAATCGGGTACGCTTTGTGTCTTTGTGTATTTTTTCTATTTTCTAAATAAAAACGTTATAATTAGCACAGCAACACATGAAGATAATTTCGACCTTATCTAGACAAAACGTATAAATTGGACATCGGTCAGACGGTTCTAACTTTGATTTCTCCGATAGAATGTCGAATGTTATGTTAGTAAAAGAGGGGCGACTAAAATCATCTATAATTTGGAGAAAGTGAGGTTAGAACCGTCTGACATGTTGAATTTTTCGTAAAATTATAATTTTACGAAAAATATTTTTCGTATATATACCTAGCTATGTTATAGGTATGTTCTGATTTCACACAAAATCATTTTTTTATTGCTTATTTCTTTTTCAATGTTAATAAATAAATAAAAACGCACTATAGTACACTATATTATGCGTTTTAGGGTTGAATTTTGTTTTATTTATATATATATATATATATATATATATATTATAATAGTCTATAGACTGGTTCAAAAAAATCGAATATTTTTTTTCTTCAAAGCCCGCATTGAAATATCTTCCTAGTAGTGAAAAAAGAAGCCTGTGAAAATTGTAGCTCTTAATATTAATATTTAGAGGTCGCTTATCGTGAATTTCTATTTTACGTTTAAATAACACAGGAATTCTTTTTTCTTAACTTTGAAATTTTATAACTCGTTTTTGAGTGAACATATTGGAATGAACTCTATATATTTTTGAAGAAAACTGAACGTTCTACAAAAAATGTCTCTTATAATTTTTTCGTAAATTCACTCCTTTAATAGTTATTCAAGGTTGAAATTAGACATATAATAAATGTAACGTTTAAATAACACAGGAATTATTTTTAACTTTTAATTTTTTTTTGAGTGGACATATTGGAATAATTTCAACCTTGAATAACTATTAAAGGAGTGAATTTACGAAAAAATTATAAGAGACATTTTTTGTAGAACGTTCAATTTTCTTCAAAAATATATAGAGTTCATTCCAATACGTTCACTCAAAAACGAGTTATAAAATTTCAAAGTTAAGAAAAAACAATTCCTGTGTTATTTAAACGTAAAATAGAAATTCACGATGAGCGACCTCTAAATAAACTCCTGGACAAAATTAACGCAACATCAAAAAATTTGCCACATTTTTTATGCTATTTTTTTGTTGAATTTATTATCCGATTTGAATGATTTTTTTTTTGCATTGTAGGTTGGTTCCTTGACAATGTCATAATTTTCGCTGTTTATGATAAAAAGTTTATTTTCGATTTATACCGGGTGTAATAAAAATGTAATGTTTTTTTCCGAAAATTCGTATCACCCTGTGGAGTATACTAGCAACCGAAACAAATAGCAGTTGACATTAGACGGTAGGTTCATCTTTCGCCAACATTTTCTTTTTTGGTTTACTTCATTATCTCTGTTATTAAAGGAGATACGCCGTTTTATACCGTAACATGTTTTTATAGACTTTATTATTTAAAACAATCATTGTTAAATGTTTTCAAGTAGGCTATGGACCTTTTCTGACATTTCAAGAGATGTTTAGAGTATTTGTATAATTGTATAATTTCTGCTCGCTTTGATAAATGCATAATCCTGCATAAATAAACTATTAGGTCCCAAAAAAGGAACAAATGGCATTACATGTTTTCTAGATTATAATCGGCGTTCATTGATCTTACACGTATAGGGACTAACTCTGTGCGTCCGTTGAAGCATATTCCTCCCCAAATCATTACTGAGTCTTCACCAAACGGGATTTTAGGAGAGATATTGCCACTTGCAAATCTCTCTCCTGACCTTCGCCAAACACGTTCACACCATCAGGAGAATTAAGAGTAACTCTCGTTTCATCAGAAAATAAAACCTTCTTCCAATCATTAACAGTCCAATGTTGATAATTTCTGGCAAAACGCAATCTTGAAACTCTGTGCTCTCTGGTAAGTAATTGTTTCTTTAATTTAAACGTCTCCTGATTGTTCGAGACGATATTGTATTATGGCGAGCAGTTCTAAGCTCACTTTTTAGCCTTGTACTAGTAATCTTCCTGTTTCTAGAGCAGTTTGCCTAATAAAACGCTCATCCCTTGGATCGGTACATCGTTTTCGCCCTTGTCCTGACCTTGAAGAGTAAGATCCTGTCTCGTTAAATCGTTTAACCATACGACTTATAGTCGAACGATGTCTTCCTATCACATTAGCAACATGACATCGAATAGCCCTCATTCACCAAAGTTAAGTCTCTTACTGCTTCTTCTGTCGAAAAATTTTTTGGACGATTCATTTTTCAAGATTAAAATACGAAACGAACATTTAATAAGCAGTTTTCGAACAGTTGTTATAAGTATGGCGAATTTTCCATAGCCTACTTGAAAACATTTAACAATTAATGTTTTGAATAATAAAATCTATAAAAACATGTTACGCTATGAAACAGCGTATCTCCTTTAATAACAGAGATAATGAAGTAAACCAAAAAAGAATATGTTGGCGAAATATGGACCTACCGTCTAATGTTAACTGCTATAGGTTTTGGTTGCTAGTATACTCCACAGGGTGATACGAATTTTCGGGAAAAAACAGTACATTTTTATTACACCCGGTATAAATCCAAAATAAACTTTTTATCATAAACAGCGAAAATTATGACATTGTCAAGGAACCAACCTACAATGCAAAACAAAAATCATTTAAATCGGATCATAAATTCAACAAAAAAATAGCATAAAAAATGTGGCAAATTTTTTGATGTTGCGTTAATTTTGTCCAGGAGTTTATTAATATTAAGAGCTACAATTTTCACAGGCTTCTTTTTTTTCTACTAGGAAGATATTTTAATGCGGGCTTTGAAGAAAAAAAAATATTCGATTTTTTTGAACCAGTCTAATATATATATATATATTTTTTTTTAATTTATGGATTTTTTTTCAACCTTTATTTTTCAAATGTACCTATACATTAATTTTTTCTCAAATTCGGTAATTTTGTGGGCAGATAGGTACGGTAATTCTAAAGCCTGATTTATAGATTGTCTTCCTCCCGTAAAAGATAAAATTCGAATACCGTATTGTTCATCTTCTACGGGAGGAAGGACGGCAATCTATAAATCAGCCTTAAGGTGTATATATCTTGGGTTATTTTATTTACACCGTGTGGCAACACTGGCACACAACTAGAATATAAAGAAATTTCTAGACCTTGCTATAATATTTGTGTTTGTTTTGCTTTTTTATCAATATTTTGCGTAAATTTACAATTTGAAAAAGTGAAAGTACCTGGAACGACCCGGGATTAGTTGTCAGTGACAACTTGTCACTTGATCTGTCAAAATTGAGGTTAGATTTTATATTTGCAATTAATCGAAATTAAAAAATGAGTGATTTCGAGCCTTTAGAGCCTTCGTTAAGAAACGTAATCGAACAAACAACTCTCAAATGGATTTTCGTGGGTGGAAAAGGCGGTGTAGGGAAAACAACGTGCAGGTATGGCCTTTGAATTAGTTAAATGGCCATAAGATTTTATATTTTTTCTTTTTTAGTTGTAGTTTAGCCATACAACTGTCAAAAGTAAGAGAATCTGTGTTAATTATATCGACTGACCCCGCACACAACATATCAGACGCCTTTGATCAAAAATTTAATAAAGTTCCGAACTTGGTTAAGGGTTTCAAAAACTTGTACGCCATGGAAATTGACCCCAACATTGGACTGAACGAACTTCCCGAAGAGTATTTTGATGGCGAAGAAGATGCTATTAAATTAAGCAAAGGCAAGATATCAACAAGATACAAAATCCCCTCATGTAATAAATTTTGCATTTTCAGGCTTTATCCAAGAAATAATTGGCTCGATTCCGGGTATAGATGAGGCAATGAGCTACGCGGAAGTGATGCGTTTAATAAAAAGCATGAATTTTTCAACTGTGGTCTTTGATACAGCCCCAACAGGTCACACATTACGGTTACTCTCATTTCCACAAGTGGTAGAAAAGGGTTTGGGTAAATTATTGCGCTTGAAAATGAAGCTGACACCCTTGATGTCACAGTGCAGCACTTTATTTGGGATGCCTGATTTAAGTGCCGATAATTTTACCTCAAAACTAGAGGATATGTTGAGTATTATTAAGACAATGAATGAACAGTTTCAAAACCCAGATCAAACAACTTTTGTATGTGTTTGCATAGCTGAGTTTCTGTCTTTATATGAAACCGAGCGTTTAGTGCAAGAACTGACTAAATGCAAAATTGACACACATAACATCATTGTTAATCAATTGCTGTTCAAAAAACCCAATGAGTTGCCTTGCAAAATGTGTTCCGCTCGATACAAAATCCAAGAAAAGTACCTCGATCAAATCAACGATTTGTATGAAGATTTTCATGTAACAAAACTACCGTTGTTGGAAAAAGAGGTTAGAGGGGCCGATAGCGTTAAATCTTTCTCGGAAAATTTAGTAAAGCCTTACACAATCTAGTACATGTCTAATTATTATACATTTAAATATTTTATATTGCCTGGAGCTACTCTATTAACTTATTTCTAAGTTTGAAACTGTTAAAGTGACAGTTAAACAGTGTTGTTCCAGGCTCCTTTTTAAGTATGTTTATATTTATTGTTGTATTTTTTTTAAGTTGTATTGTGCTAGAAATTCTTGTAAAAGAATGTTATTGAATTGTTTATACTTTTTATTGTTTATTGTAGCGAAAACGATTTGTTTATATATATTTTTTTAATCAAGATTCCATATCAAATTAATTATTTTATTGTGTGTACTGTTTATTTGAATTTTGCCCTACAATTATTGTAATAAAAAGGCTGTGCAATATTCTTCATTTTTTGCTGTACTGTAACAATTAGTATCGATATTATTAAATACACATTTTTTTGTAAATGACAAAAAAATTATATTGGGTGGTCCATAGTGTTAAGCCGTTTTGAACAAAAAAGCTAAATCTTATTGAATTAAAAAAAAATTATGTTATAGTAAAAATTCAAAACTGCTTAACATTATGGACCACTCATTACCTATAGCATATAAATCTTCCCCACAAATTCTGGCAATTAATTGGGTTAATTATAATTACTAATCTAATTATTATTTATGTAGATATATGGTGTAGTTTCCCTAGTGTATATAAGTTTTTTAATAAAACAGCCTAAATTCTTTAAATTTATTTCTTAACACTGTCTATGATGTCCACCAACGATGCTATGCTGTCTAAATAATAGTCCGGTTTTTGCTCGTCAGCAAAGTCGTTTTTCTCCAATTTTTCTTTTCTCGTGGTGCCTGTCAAGACGAGTAATTTTTGAAAACCGTTCGCCTCGGCGAATTTTATGTCTTGCTCGAGTTGGTCGCCAATAAAAAGAACTCGTTTCGGGTTATTAATTTGGTATTTTTTGTTTATGAAATCTGACATAAGATGGCCTGGTTTGGCAAAGTATAGGGGTTCCACATTTGTTATATCGGCGATCATTTTTTGGAAGTAATATGGACCTAAAAGAAAATGATGATAATTTTGTGAAAAATACACACTATATATATGACTTATCACCTATGACTCGAGTTTCCTCCGAAAATGGCAATATTTTATCTTCTGCTCCCATTAAAAGTAAAACATCGTTTCTTTTTAAATATAATGCAGCTAACATTATATTTATATAGTTAACATTTACGTCTATATCAACTATAACAGCACCTACATTAGAATTGTCCTTTAGCTCTGCTTTTAGACCTGATACAGTGGCTGTGATTTTATCAGGCTAAAAAAAATTTAGGTATGTTTTTAATTGCCTAGGCACTTTAAAATAATTTAGACCAATCGGGTTGGGTAATTTAGAATTTAGGCCGTAAAATTTCATTATTTACTATTTTGGACTGGGATTTTAAAGTGTCGGAAAAAAACCGGAAAATTTAGGGAAAAAATCAGTTTTTTTTCGTTTTTCCCAGGCTTTGGAAAAATTGGGTTTTTAGGTAAAAATTTTTGTTTTTTTTTGGAAAATATACTCATTTGAAAAAAGTAGCAATCAAAACTCAACATTTTAATTTAAAAAAATATCCTTACAGAAAAAAACTAAACATTGAATTAAATTAAATTAAATTTTTTGCAAAAAGGAGCCTATCGAAAATATCCAATTACAAAATAATGAATGGTTTATAAAGTTAAATTAAGTGTCAAATAAAACGAAAGTTATGTTAATACATCATCGAATAAGTTTTTGCGACCCGGTAGAATATTCTTACTGAATTAAAATGCATGATTATATTCAGCGTCGGAAATTCACTTTTTTCTCGATATCAGTGTACAGATAGTATTCGTAAAAATTTGAAAATTTTCAGAAAAATTTATTTTTCCATTTTTTCCTTTGAATAAAACGAAAAAAATGCAAAAGTAAATTTTTCTGAAAATTTCACAATTTTTCCGGTTTTTTTTTCGAAAAAAATAGTTATTTATGTATCAAGGCAGTAAAGTCGTATTTTTTATAACCACGTGAGTGATAAAAAATTACTTTAATGCCGAGGCATATTAAATTTTATCCGAAATCACATTCAGAGCTGCAACAAGTCAGTTTTAAAAAGAATGATTTAAATCTTAAGTCAATTCTAAGATAAAGTTCAAATGATTTAAGTATTAAGTCTTTGAATTAAATCATTTTCTTTCAAGTCAAGTCATTTCCGCTAATTCTTAAATCAATATAAAGTGATTTAAGTCATCTTATGACTTAATTTCTTTAGTAAGTCGTTTTTATGACTTAAGTCTATATTTTTTATTTAAATCGTGATCTAAGAGTTAAGTCAATAAAATGACTTGAATCAAAAATTGTGATTTAAATCAAAATAATTACCCTTAAGTCAATATGGTATTAATGACACTGATATTATTAATCTATAGATTAATAATATCAATATCAATATATTGTATACAGATGATAATAAACCACTGGTTAAGAATTTAAAACGATTTATTTTCAGAACACTTGGAAACAAAATAAAAACTTAAACCACCTTTTTTAGTAGAGTACATACAGGGAGGCTACTTTTTTATATAAATAAATGGGTAACTTCTAAACGGTAATAGATTCAAACTCAGTTAAAATAGATAAAAGTTACAAATTAGACCTAACGCACGCATAACACGACGAATGTTGGCAAACAAAATAACAAAATTATAAATCCGCATTTTTTTTAATTTATTTTAGACTGGACATTTTTTAATGTAGCCGTCAAACGGTTCCAAAAAGCTAACTTTACCGCGGCGGTTTTTTTATTCACTAGCGGTAGCAATTGTAGGTAGTAGTGATGTCGTATTTCGAATTAAAATATTCGTTTAATCCGAGTTTTGAGATATTCGGATGCATCCGAATAATGAAATATTTTATGGAATAGGAATCGGATTCGGAATAATTTCGTATCCTCCTATGAAAAATCCGGTTTCGGAATCCGAAATTCGGATGAATTGCATTCGGTATCAAAATTTATTGTTTATACCGTAGCCCTCTAGTTTTTACCAACCGAACTCGATGACGACTCATACGTTAAAAAAAATGAAAACTAAATAGTTTAATGTCAATTACCAATACGGAACACCATTTAAAATTATATTAGATATGAAATATATTTATTGCCTAATATTATTTACTTAATTTTTGATATAGTTATAATAAAATGAAAGTTTTAATTTAAAATTAGTTAATTAAATCAAATCGGTTTCAAGTTTAAAGGTATTAGCGCCCTCTTTGTTGAAATGCCGCGATTGTCACTGCTACTGGCTTACTCGGAATTAAAAAATGTGAATTCGGAATAGGATGATTAATCCGAATATTGAAATATTCCGATTCAGGATAATCCGAATATCTAAATCATCCAAATATCTGCATCACTAGTAGGTAGGAAATTAAAGGAGTTTTTGATCTGCTGCCGCGTGAACCCCTAGCAGTTCAAAAGAAAATGCCGCTGTTAAAAATTTATAAAAAAATATATGAAAAATCTGACTTAAATATTTTCTAAAGAGACTTAAATATTTTCTAAAAAGACTTAAATCTTTTTCAAAAAGACTTAAATCTTTTTAAATTACTTAAATAATTTACCGACTTTTTTAAAGACTTAAATCTTTTTTTGACTTAAATCGTTTCTATATTACTTAAATCGTATGTACTGATTTAAGCCTTTTATTAATGACTTAAGTTTTTTCTATTTTGAAAAAAATATTTAAGTCACAAATCATTTTGAAAATTACTTAAATTTTAAGTCTTAAGTCAGTTTTAGAAAAATGACTTATTACCATGGTAATAAGTCATTTTTCTAAAACTGACTTAAGACTTAAAATTTGCAAATGACTTAAGTCATTAAAACGATTTAAATCAAAAAAACGATTTAAGTTTTCTGAGAGCTTGCAGCTCTGATCACATTTAATAATACTAATAATTAATATTGATGATTAAATCAAATGTCATTTGATGATCAATTCAATTTTCATTTGAATGTAGGAAGTGTCTACGTATACTGTTTGTTGCGACGGTTATTATATATTTGCCCGTCGCGGCGATTTTTTAATCTAATAAATAAAATTAACTTATTATTTTTATTAAACAACATTTTATGAAAGGGTCCAATCGACCTTCGCGACGGTGTTTTTTTTAAATATTATTTAGTTGCTGCTAAGGAGCAGTAGACACATCTTAAAATGTATAATGGGTTGCATACAATACTTACTGCCGATTCCTTTTACTTTATTGTTGACTACTTTACTGCCGATTTCGGATAAAAACGGTTTTTTTCCGCCGGCTTAATTTTTCCGAAAATTTTAAAACCCTACTTTGGACCAATAAAAAAAATTCGGTCAAATATATATTTGACAGAAATTTTTTACATACATAGGTAACCTTACTTTCTACTTCTAATAATTGGAGATATGTTTTATGTATCGTTAAACAAATAAAATTGTGCCTTGATAATAAAATGTTTTATGCCATTCGGCCAAGACGTGTCTTTTTGTGCTTCGCTCAAAATTTGAGCTCAGCAGACATGACCCACTTCTTGGCCTAATGAAATAAATGACAATTCCGTGAGCGTTTTATATTATATCCGTCGCCTGCTAAAATGTTACTGTCAACTTCAAAAACATTTTCTCTTACCCCATTGGCAGCCAATTTGAATCCAGCCCTCTTAATCTCTGATCTCATCGATAGACTGGCCAACATAAAAATTTCTTTGTTGAAATTCACACTTTTCAAGTAGTCTATCATAGCCATAGTTGGGAAAACGAAACTGTCTTTTTCGCTTCCAAATTTGCATTTCTCCAGTCTTTCGTGGAATAATTCGTACGTGTAGATGCAATTGTTCGAAATAAAGCGCACTTTTTTTCCTGCGTCGCGCAGTTTTTGAACTGCGTGAGCTGCGCCCTTTATAACATCAGTGGTGTACCAAATCACGCCTGAAATTTAGTAAATGAACTTTTGTTTGCTTTTGCAGTAGGTTAGCCAATTTGTGCTCAATTAAAGAAGCACCCACTGGTATAATGCTTCTCGAAATTTAAAAATTAAATTTTATCATTTATTTGGTAAATCTTCAAAACTCTGTTTTAAAAAATCTTCACTTTTCCATAAAATTAAGTGAAATTTAGATAACTTAGGCATACCTACGATTAGTTTTCCTTTTTTTATTCGTAAAAAAAATGTTAAATAATATAATTTAAAAATTCTTTTGCCGTAACAATTGCTTTGTGTAATATTAAAATGTTTTTTTGCAACGAAAGATTTTTCAAAATAGGATTTAATTATTGTAAAAGTTCATCTTTTTTGTTAAAAAATATGCCAATAAAACCAATATATGTTTATGCAAAATTATGTTGTTTTATACATACCTTCATACGTAGGTAGGTATTTATAATATATATTATATGAATAAAACAATTATTTTTATCAATAACCTCTTTTAAATCAATACAATATTTTAAATTACATTCAAAATTTAAATAAAAATTAATTACATACCATCGCAATCACAAAAAACTTCATCAAAAGAATCCAAAAAATTCCTTCTTTCATCCACACTTAAATTCTTTAAGTTTTTGACAAAATCCATTTTTAATTTTTACTTCTTACTTGAACCCTTTCAACTAACTGACTGACTTGTTGGTCGAACCCAACACAATAAACAATTAACATTACAAACGTCTTATCAATTTAAACTGTTGTCAGTCCCGATTGGTTTAATATACATAATTTTGCTTATCTTGATTTTAAACCGCATTTTGTGTAAAGAAATGACGAAACCTATATATCTTGACAATTTCCAGTAAAATTGTGAATCTTTAAACAAAGAATATTTTAATAGTTATCCAAAATCGTTTTACCTAAACATAAAAAATGATACGGGGAAGTTGTATCCTATTATTAATAATATTTTTAAAACTAAATATAAACTCTATAATAAAGGCAAAAGACAAATTTTATAGACTTTTACCGAAACGTAGACGAACGTTTGGAAAGTTTGTCAAACATGGTTCCAATCGCACTATTTGTCGAACTTTGCGAACATTTGACATTCGTCTAGTTCGCCGCATATTGTGGAGCAAGCTTAAAACCAGTAGCGCAATAGCGAGCAGGTATAAAAATAAATCAATATATTTAGGTTAAACAGCAGTCTCTAAACAACACTCTCTGGGTTAATAGAACTCGAGACCATTAATGCTTTTGGCCACCAAAAAGGCAGACAAAGACTCTGTGTATAAATATAAATATATTCTTCTACTCCCACCTTTAAAACGCCCAATATCGTTCATGTTTAATGACACTATAAGTGATCTTAAATACTCATTGACAAGTTGCGGTTTTATGGCGTTTTATTTTGCCGCCAGTAAACTAGATTTAACTAAAAGCATTAAAAATTTCGTGCCCATAAACATTCTCTTCACGTTCACTGTAAAAAGCTGCCTTTATATCATCATTTAAACGGTTGTTAGTCCATTTTCATGGGATAAATTTTCACATAAATTTGACATCTTGACGGTATATACAGGGTGAGTCATTTAGCTTGAAACTTTGAAATATATCAGTTAATATGTATATTAGGGTGTCCCCTATTTTTATTTTTTTTACGCATACCCTCTAATTATATTTATTAGGTGTTTATATACTCCTAGTAAAAATATCAGCTCATTCTATAAACGGCAACCCGTGCCGACTTGCATCTGAATCCTCCGTTAGCCAATGTTAGGCGCGCGGTATTTTGTAACACGGTTGGTCGCGAGGTCTTCGATCGTAAGTCATTTTGTGTTTGTTATTATGTGACCCTTATATTATAAATTATTGACAAATGTTAATATATAGTTTTATTTATGTGTATACTTTGATAAAAATGTATATTTTCACAGGGAGTGGCTAGTTACCCGGAAGGGTCTGGTGAATAGGCCGTAAACTCTGAAATTGATAAACTTAATGGGTTTTACTCTAAATAACTAAAAGAGTCTATTGTGAGAGATGACTACCGAAAACTTATTGAACTGTCTGAAATATTTTTGGGAGGACATCAAGAAAAGAAATGCTTATAAAAAGCTGAAATTTCATATAACAGTATATTTTAGCAATCGGCCATTCCAAGCCCATGGACAGGACACATCAGAAACATGTCTAAATATATTCTTATTACTTCCTTAAGTTTACTTATTTTTTCTACCAGTATTTATGAGAAGTATTAGCCAAATTTGGGTAATACTTCTCATAAATACTCGTAGAAAAAAATAAGTAAACTTAAGGAAGTAACAAGAATATATTTAGACATGTTTCTGATGTGTCCTGTCCATGGGCTTGGAATGGCCGCAATACTAATTAGTATATTAATATATTTAAGGGATAAAATCAACTAAATTAGTGAAACAAATGATAGAAACAAAAGCAATAATATTAATTAGTAATCATATTTAATAAAATCATTAGAAAAAGTCATGATGTATATCTTCTTTTTAAAGTGTTTCGTGTTACAAAATACCGCGCGCGCCTAACGTTGTCTAACGGAGGGTTTAGATGCAAGTCGGCACGGGTTCCCGTTTATAGAATGGGCTAAAATTTTTACTGGGAGTATATGATAAATATAATTAGAGGGTATGCGTAAAAAAAATAAAAATAAGGGACACCCTAATGTATATATACGATTCACTTTTTTGGTAATAATTATCTTATTAAATTAAATCTGATTTTTTAACTAATATTTAAGTTTCCTTTGGTTTCAGTTTTATACATTATTTCATTCGGTGATAATTGCCAGCATTAAATCCTTTAATTTAAAGGATTATTGTACTATTTTTAATAAAAATACCTCATTTTAGGTAAAAAAACATTATTTTGCCAATTAATTAATTTAATCCTAATTGAGGTATAAAAAAAGGGTAGGTATTATAAATACTAAAAGTCGCATTTTTTTAAATAAAACCAAAATATATTTTTTATAGGGTAAAAAAACCCGACCGCTCTAATTTAAAATCCATTTTAACCAATAAGATTGGCAATTTTGCCGTTTTCCCCGTTATTCGTATTCGTATTATAATAATAGTAGTTTGTTTTTCAATAAAAATTGACTAACTTAAGTATCTGCTTTAAAACCTGAGTCTTTTGTAGCAACTGCGACCAAAGTTAATTAAGATTAATATATTTATTTATTATGCAGATAAAAAATTAATAACAACAATTATTATTTTTTACGTTTTTGCAATATTTTGCATATTTTTGAATACTACTTTCTGTCGGTTTTTGAACTCATTTTAACCCGGACCATTATAAATAAAAACAAATGAAACTGCCATACAATTATTATACGCTACGGTTTATCAAAATATCCTTTTGTATATATAGAAAATTATAATTTTTAATGCACGTACTTAATTAAAATTTAATGTAAAGCTGGTTCACTATATTTGTACTGTGGATTAAACAAACTGCGATAAAGAACCTTGACTGACTTGTTTGTTGAACAAAAAATATGAACACAATCATGTGTTTTAAAAAGGTTTGAACGTCTAGTTTAGAATCTCCCAAATTTTCGCCCAAAAAGTAAGTCAAACTTTCATTACATTAATTATTTTACCTAAAGGTTTTATTGCAAGATATTTAGTTTTTTATTTAACAATCTTTACTTATAAATACTAATTTAATGGTGAATATTGAAATAATTTAAAAATTAAACAGTTAAATAGATATAAGTATGCTAGGTATTGTAATTTTTAATTTTAATGGGGTATAATACCCATAAATACAATTTAAAAAAAAATTACGTACTTTTTTTAATTTAGAATTAATAATTGTAAAAATGGGCGTAATTGCAAAAACCTCTCTTGCCTTCTCATTGGCCACAATCTCTGCTGGCATAGCCTACTACTTCCTAAAGCAAGACAAAAAAGAAAAAATCCCGAAAAAATGGCAAGAAGTGGGCATAGTGAAAAAACTCTGCATCTACCCTTTAAAATCTGGAAATCGCATAGAACTAAGCAAAGCTGAATGCACAGAAGTAGGTCTGAAACAGTCCGAGCAAGATGAGCCCGTTTATCAGTTGAAAGATAGGTGAGTGAATAGATTCTATTCAATAGAGTTATAGTTCAGAAAGGTCGAATATTAGTTTGTTGAACTTTCAGAGGCCTTATTGTCTATGGAGAGAAAGATTGTGAGTTTAGAACTGGTAGGACCTATCCCAAAATGGTTTTAATCGATGTCGGAGTGCATGATGTTGATCATCTGTCAATTGATGCACATACCATGAGGACTCTATATGTTAAAGTGCCCAAAAAGGATGAAAATAAAGAAACTAAGATAACGTATAAAAAATAATTTTTAAATTATTATTATAATAAATATTTTTGTATTGAAGTGTTCACAGGGGGGAACAAATCGTTGGTGTTGATTGCGGCGATGAAGCAGCAAGTTGGTTTTCAAGGTACATTCTAGAAAAACCATCTGGTTTACGCTTGGCCTACCATGATGGTGGCGAAAGAAGAAACATTACGAAAACCCACAAGCCCTTACTAGATTACTACTTAAATTTAGGAAACGAATCAACAGTAAGTAAGGTTTTTCATCCTACTGTGCGATATACAGGGTGTCCCAAAAGTCAACGATATCCTTTAAAGGACCAATAGGTCAGCTCATGACTATCAGAATATCAAAACATGACCTTAGTAAAAAATCATTAGTTTTTATGAATTTTGTGAAACTTGACACATAAAATCAGTTTTTTGAGTGCCACAACTACAACATTCTATTACAAAAAAAAAAATCAAAATTAAAGTAATAGTAAATTTTGTAGCTGTGGCACTCGTAAAACTGATCTAAGGTGCCAAGTTTTACAAAATTCATAAAAATGACTATATCTCAAAAACTAACGATTTTTTACTAAGGTCATATTTTGATTTTCTGCTTAGTCATGAGTTGATCTATCAGCCCTCCAAAGGATATCGTTGACTTTTGGTACACCCTGTATAACATTAACCTAGAATTCTAGGGTTCTAAGTGAATCCCACAAATTTAATGGTCATCTCAGTTGTTCAAATCAAGTCCCCAGGATTCCCCTTATTCCTATTACTTTTATAAGTCTTATTTAGTTTATTGTATATGGGCGTTTCTATCTCAAATTTACCAGGCAAAAAGTGGTAGGTCGTTATTATTTAACAATTTTTTTCTCTACCGAAATCAATTTTTTCTTTTTGCTTAAATTTGTTTTGTTCACCATTAGGAAATTTTTGAAAATTGTAGGTAAATGTTTACTACATACAAAAAATATATAAAAAATTAAGTGAATTCACTCATTTTTTTTAAATTGTATTTTCTAAAAAAGGCATAAAAAACTTAGGTCAAAATTTTTACATTGCCACATTTTTTTTACTTTATATTTTTTTCGTTTTAAGTTTCTGTTTTGGAATTATTATTTTTTTAATAAAAATGCGATTTTCTAGTAAATTGGTGGTTTATCGCAAAAATTTGGTATTTTATTTAGGATTATAAAACTGGGGTGACCTTTATAAAGTGTAATTTATAACTTTTTGACATATTTAACATATTTTTATCACTTTCGGTTTCACCGGAAATGCTAAAAAAGTAAATAAATTAAATTATTAAAGATTTTAGAGTAAAATGTAAATTCTTAATATTTTGCATATGTTACTTTTAATATATTAAATATCTATAGAGGTAAAAAGTATACGTAAGTTAATTTTGGTTAAAATAATAAAAAGTAAGTATTATATACCTAAAAGTAATGAATTGAATGCATAAGAAACTTTGGCAAACAAAAGAATAAAATTGTATTTTTTCTTGGCCAAACATGAAGCAGAAAAGCCAATTCAAGCCACTCTAGATATAGAAATAAAATATAATCAAAAATAATTTAACCTGTCAAAAATTGAGAGGTGTATGTATTCAGAATTTTTCTTTGAATCGAAATATGTAAAAATGCATAGAGTTTTTCATTAAAAAAATAAAAAGTTAAGACCAAGTGACAAAAATAGGTTAAATATGTCAAAAAGTTCTAAATTACACTTTATAAAGGTCACCCCAGTTTTATGAATTTTGGTGAAAGTTATTTATATTATCAACTTTAAACGCAAAAAATATAAAAATAAAAGAAAAATGTGGCAATGAAAAAATTTTACGCTCAATATTTTTTGCTTTTTTTTAGAAAAAACAATTTAAAAAAATTGAATCTATTCACTTAATTTTTTATATATTTTTTTGTATGTAGTATACATTTACCTACAATTTAAAAAAAATTGTAACGATCGAAACATTTTTGGGCAAGTTATCGCATTTTCAATAAAAAATGTTTTTGTCTATTTCTCAAAAATTTCCTACGGGTGAACAAAACAAATTTAAGCAAAAAAAAAATTTCGGTGAAGAAACTGAAAAAAAAAATGTGTTGAAAAATAACGACCTTTCACTTTTGGCCTGGCTGATTTAGATGGAAAGACCCATATATGTAACTTGTACACCAAAAACACTAAAAACCCTTTTTTAGGGTTTATATTCCGACCTTTCAAGCATCATGATAGTAAACCAACAATCAATAAACGACCTAAACAAAAGAATCGGCTCTGGAACACACGCTTCAGTCGATAACTTCAGATCCAACATTGTCGTTGATGGTCCTAAACTCGCCCCATATGCTGAGGACGACTGGGATTGGGTGAAAATTGGCGACGTGGTGTTGAGAAACGTAAAAGAGTGCACGAGGTGCATATTTACCACAGTCAACCCTGATACTGCTCAAAGAAGCTCTGATAGAGAACCACTGAAGACTCTGGAAACGTAAGAGACCTATCATCACTAAAACCTGCATTAATCATTACGTTCAATGATTGGGATAAAATGCGGGTTTTTGTGAAAATCGCCAAAGAATGTGTATTGACTAATATTTTTTCAACAGGTATAGGTTGAGCGAAGGTCCATATAAAACTCCAGTAATGGGAATTAACGCCGGTGTAAGAAGAACTGGTTTAATACATGTTGGAGATACAGTTTATTTCGCAAAAAATGAAGTACAATAAAAATCTCGAATTTTAATGTAAATAGTATTAATTTTAAATGTATTTATAACACTAGTTAACTAGTTTCAAAATCAGCAAATTTTGCAAAAATGGCGAATGCACCAAAATTAATTTTTGTCAAATTTCCCAAAAGTTGTTATCTAGTATAGTTAGCAAAAATAAACACAATTAGCACAATCTATTTGAGTTATTTCCAAACCAAACCAATAAATATAGTCAATATTAGCTGTCCAAACAGTTGCCTACAGACAAAACAAAACAAACATATTTATTATTTATTATTATTTATTTATTTACAGTAGCCCTGTACTTTGTATCTCGATACTAATTATCTTTTAACGTTCTTTAAAGTTGTAAACAGATTTATTAAGAGTATCACCAAAAATGCATAATTTTTTGCGCGTACAAACTACCTATATAGTGGGTGTCGCGACGGCTAGCGCCTTTGTGGTGGGTGCGTATATTTTATCAAGAAGCAAGAAGGAAAAAATACCCATCAAATGGAAGGAGGTGGCTTTTTTGGAACAATTACACTTGTATCCTTTAAAAAGTGGCAGAAAAATTGATTTGGAAACAGCAGATTGCACTGATGTTGGCATAATGGAATCCATTAAGTTTGATAAATCTTTCAGGCTAAAAGATAGGTATAAACAATTTATATTATCTGTTGTAAAGCAAAAATTTTGTAAATGAACCTACGACTTTTGACGTTGATACACTGTTTAAAATATCTGTGGTGTAAAGAGTAATCTTAAAATGGTGTCAAAATCCAACACCAAGTGGTGTTAATATAACACCATGAATTATGGTTGAAAATGTTATATACAGCAAACAACAAAACGGTGTTTATCTAAAAATATTTGAGAAGTGCATCTACACAGAAAAAAAGGAATAGTTCATTTAACTATATTAATTTAGTTGACCCATAAGTATTTATTTAAATCAACTGTGGGAAGGTTAATATAAACAAAGATTAGTCTGACGGTACTAAACCAGATAGTTATTTTATTTTTTTTAAATTGGTTAAATTAACCCAGAAAACTTTAGTGAAACCAACCCGCTCGCTGTTTGGTTCAGTTTACTAAATATATTGTTTGTAAAATAAGAGTTACTTCAACCTAAAGCACTCTGTTAAAACGATTAAAACAATTTGCCGTGCATTCCCGGTTGCATAGTGTGTACCGATCGCGGCAAAGGCGGTATGGATCACGTGATGTTCTTAAATCTCGCCTCTGTTGACTTATATGAAGAGTATATAAGCTCAGGTAGTCCTTTGTTTTGGTGTGACACTACAAGTTGTTCGATACTAAAGAGACCTTAAATAGGTGAAAACTGCTGTCAATACTTGAAGTATTGTAAGTTAGTGGAACGAACTAAAAACTTTATCTCTAGTGAGTTGAAGGTTCAATTTTCTGGAATAAAACTACCACTGGTAAAATACTAGTAATGCGTCAAGGAACTTCCTGTTTCCTTTTTTTTCCCTTTTTCTGTGAAGTATGATTTAATTTGAACAAAAACACATAATATTTAACACTGAAAAGGAGTTCAATTTACACCAGGTAAAATTTATTTTAATACTGTGTGAAAGTTAAATTAACACTATTTTAGTATTTGAATTTACACCGGACCAACAAACCATGGTTGCATATTGAACACCATTTTGGTTTGTATCGATATATACCATGTAAAATGGTCATGAAATTTTGAACAGTGTAGAAAATTATAACTAAGTATTGGAATATATATATATATATATATATATGTATTAGTGGTTTTTCGGGATCTGCTCCGTGTTGTCGGTTTTTGGTTCTTAAGAGACGTTTCGGTACAATCTCATGTACCATCTTCAGGTCTTATAAGATGCTTTGCCCCCATGTTTCTGATTTAATGAAAGTATCCTGAAGATCTTAAAAAATTCCTAGATTTGGGAATTTTCAAAAAAATTACAACTCTTTCAAATTTAGCGACACATCTACATAGTTTAAGATGATTTACTGAAGATATACAGATGATTTTTTAAAATTAACAGATTCTTTTTGAAAATTAGGCAAAAAAACTTCCAATTTCTTGGACTTTTGGAAATTTTGCAACCTCGCAAAAATATAAGTAGGCAAGACATTTTACTGATAATTAGGACCCCCCCCTCCTCCTTGGTGAGATTTGGCGAGATGTAGTAGCCCCCCTATCACTCAGGTGAGATTCTAAATGACCCCCCTCCCTTAAAATGAGATTTGATGAGAATTTGCTAGACCCCTCCCCATATTTTTATCTCACGTAATTAATGGATCTCCCCTAAGTATAGAAATTAAATTTAAATTTTTTTAAACTTACTAAGGGGTGAAATTTAAAAAAATCCTTTCTTAGCGGTTATCCATCATTTTAAAAATGCACTGTCACAATTTCAGCCTGGGCCTGGGCGTTGTATGTTACCATACTATTAATATGTTTAGATAATGTTTATTTTTATTTTAGATCTTTGGTTGTATATTCTTCCAAAGATAAGGAAGCTAAAACAGCTAGAACCCACCCAAAATTATTATTAATAGAAATAGAAACTACCGATATGAACTATATTACCATAAATGCCCCTAATATGCGTACACTATTCGTTAAAATACCAAATAGGGAAGAAAACGAAGTGGTTAATATAATGTAAGACCATTAAACAAAAAAACCCTATATAATATAGCATTTTTAGTCAATTTAATGGAGAACCCATTAACTCTATAGATTGTGGCGATGAAGCCGGTCATTGGTTTTCACAATACTTGATAGAAAAAGACGAAGGCATGAGATTGGCTTACAATGATGGTAAAAAACGAAGAAACGTGGAAAAATACTACCCCAAGTTGCCAAAGTATTACAAGAACTTTGGCAACGAAACCACAGTACGATATTACAACAAAGTCACCACGAAATAAACTTTATTTTTCCTCAATAGGGTCTACATCACGACATAGGAACTTTAATGCTTATGAACCAAGTATCTGTCGATGACCTGAATCAAAAACTTGATTACGATAAGCAGATATCAACAACACAATTCAGGCCAAATTTTATAATCAACGGTAAGGATTTAAAACCGTTTGTTGAAGACGATTGGGACTGGATAAAAATTGGCGATGTAATCGTACGAAGCGTAATGGAATGTACGAGATGCATGATGACAACTATAAACCAAGAAACTACTGAAAGGAATAAGGATATGGAGCCACTGAAAACACTCAATACGTAAGAAGAAATACCCAAAATAGTACTAATTTAAATGTAATATTTTTGTAGATTCAGAAAGACTTCTGGACCCCAGAGAGGCCCTCCAATGGGCATCTACCTAAAACTAATCAAGGGAGGCGAAATAAAAAGAGGGGACAAAATATACGTAGGCACTGACTAATAAAAATATATCAACGTTTATTGTATTTTTATTGTTTGCATTTCCTTGACAATAGGCCACTTAAATTCGAGCAAACTTTGACCAATTGAAAGATAAAAGTATCAACAAGTACAGATATTATTATTAAGTATTTGCAATGCATTATCGCCATTGGGAATTTTTAGTTTCAATGTAAGATAGTTTAGTTATTTAGCGCAAACATGTTAAACAGACAACTGTGCTTATTATTGTTTACGAGTTTTCTTGGAGTGGCGCTATGTGATAGTAAGTAAATGATTAGTATTACTTTTTTAATCATTGTCAATACTTTGACGTAAATTCCCAGTAAATGGACAAAATCGGTATTAAACAACATAAACAACAAATAATATACATTTTATAATTTTTACAGATTTTCAATCCACCCTTGGCCATATAAAACCAAAGGTTTCTGTGTATGATCAAGAAAATGCTGTTAAACAATTAATAAAAAGAATCATACCAGATAGATATCAAGACTTTATTGTGGAAGTCAACAATGAAATTGGAAATGGAAACGATGCTTTTAACGTAATATATACAGGGTGTTACAGTATACCGTATCAAAAATATTTTTTTAGATTCAAAAAGTAAACGACAAAATAAAAATAACAGCTTCAACAGGAGTGGCAGTTGCAACTGGTTTTAACTATTATTTAAAGTACTTTTGCAATAGCCAAGTAGCATGGCAAGTAACAAGAATAGAAATACCAGAAATATTACCACAAGTCAACCTCACTATTACGTTAAACGACAGGTACCTAATATAAATATAATAATTTTAAATACATTGTTTTTTTCGTAGATTTCGCTATTACCAAAATGTTTGCACAACTGGGTATAGCTTCGTTTGGTGGTCTTGGGAGCAATGGGAAAAACATATCGATTGGATGGCTCTGAATGCGTTTAATTTAGTTCTGGCTTTCAATGGACAAGAAGCTATATGGGACAGAGTCTACAGCAAACTAAATTTGACCCAAGAGGATATTGATGAGCATTTTAGTGGGCCAGCATTCCTGCCTTGGTATTATAGTATTTTAAAGGTGAAATTAGTTTTTAAAAATGTTTTTAGGTTGAGAATGGGTAATATGAGAGGCTGGGGTGGTCCACTGTCAAACGCATGGCACGTGAGATCTTTAATGCTACAAAAGCAAATTCTGGGTAGAATGAGAAGTCTAGGTATAATACCGGTGCTTTCAGCGTTTGCTGGCCATTTACCAAGGGCCTTTAAAAGGTGCAAATACTTTTTTACATTAATTTATTATTTATACTTTTTTTTTAGTTTGTACCCTGACACAAACATGACAAAAATGGAGGTTTGGAATGATTTCAACGATACCTATTGTTGCCCATACTTTTTGGACCCAACTGAAGACTTGTTCAACAAGATTGGTACCATATTTTTAATAGAGGTACTTTTATAATTAAAAAAAATATTGTAGTATAAAAATAAATTTTTCAGCAAATTAACGAATTTGGAACAGACCATGTCTACAACTGTGACAGTTTTAACGAAGTCGACCCCAGCACCAAAGATCTAACGTATCTACAGAATGTTGGAAAAAGTATATACAAAGCTATGACAGATGTCGACCCAAAATCAATATGGTAAGATAATTTACTACAGGGTGTCAAATTTTACGCCAAAAATATTTTTTGTATATTAGGTTAATGCAGGGTTGGCTCTTCGTCCATAGTTTTTTCTATTGGACCAACGAAAGAGCTAAAGCTTTACTAACTTCGATACCATTAGTAAGTTTTATTTTGTTTTATTATACAGGGTGATGCAAGGTTGGCTGTTTCATTCGAGTGCTTTTTGGTATGATACCGAGCGTGTTAGAGCTTTACTAACCAGTATACCTTTGGTATGTTTTTAATACTAACAAAAAGAGGCCTAAAAAAACATGTGTTATTAATATTTTTTAAAGGGAAAAATGATAGTACTAGACCTACAATCAGAGCAATTCCCACAATACGATAGATTGCATCAATATTACGGACAACCGTATATATGGTGTATGTTGCATAACTTTGGAGGAACACTTGGTATATTTGGTTCTACAGATATTATAAACGAGGTATACTTAAATCTGCCCTTCTCTCTATAAAAATGAATTAGTCAGAAATGACTAATTTAATAGTTATTATTTTCACTTGTACCATAGTTAACTATGGGATACCATGGTATCCCAAAATTTAACAGCCAATTCTTATGTAAAATAATTATTGTCTCCTGAATCCGAAAATGTCGTCAAATGTTAAAAAAGTAGAACAGTTTTTGAGATATAGTCAATTTTCCATTTAATATGGAATTGACTATATCTTAAAAACTGCTCCACTTTTATAATTTTTGACGGTATTTTCGGATTCAGGGGACAATTTTACATAATTGGCTGTTAAATTTTGGGATACCATGGTATTCCATGGTTAACCATGGTACAAGTGAAAAAGCAGCCACTAATAACTATTAAATTAGTTATTTTTGACTAATTCATTTTTAGAGAGCTGATAAAGAAAGTGGTTGTGTACATTTTTTATATTATTGAATTCGTCTCAAACAAAAACAGTTTAAAAATGCAAATATTTATAAAAGTAAATTCAACTATTTTGTAGCAATCCTGATCATAACTTTCTATCGTATCTACACGTTTTACAGAATGAAAGACTGGTTAAAACAATGTTTTTCGAAAAAAGAATGTTAGCTAGCATCGGGATTTGAACCTATTTTATACTATATTATTTAATAAAGTAACTATTAATAGTAACTATTATAGTATACTATTTAGACAAAATTAACCTCATATATCAGGTTAATTTTATATGCCGCCACTGTTCTACAGTAGCAGAAACTTTTGTTGTGATTAAGAAAGTGGGTTTTTACAATGTAGATTCTACATCTACACACCAAAAAAAATAATGTACATACCACTTCCTATGGCAATTTGGCGTTATTCAATAAAATATAACTTATACTATTTGGCATTGTTTTAGAGACCCATACAGGCTAGAAACGCTCCAAACAGTACCATGATAGGTATTGGGTTGACCCCAGAAGGTATTAACCAAAACTACGTTGTTTATGATTTTATGATTGAAAATGCTTGGCGTGATAAACCAAGGGATAAAAAAGAATGGGTTGAAGGGTATATTCGAAGAAGATATGGGCAAAGCAACAAAACATTGGTCAAATCATGGAGTATTTTAATGGTAATATTCCCTAAATGTTTTGTAAACATTGTAATATTTTTATTTTTTAGGAAACAATTTATAATTACAAATTACTTTTTAAAATAAGGGGGCATTACGCTATCAGTATAACACCGAAACTAAACTTTGAAACATGGGTAGAACATTTCAAAATTTAAAGTTATGTATATATTTTATAGTACTTTTTAAGGCTTGGTATAAATCCACAGATCTTCACGAAGCCTGGAAAGGCTTTATAGAGTCCGCAGATGATTTTAAAGATAGCCAAGGTTTTTTACACGACTTAGTCGATATAACAAGGCAAAGTCTACAAGTTTATGGAGATTATTACTACGAGAAATTGAAAAAGGACTTTAAAAACAAAGACTTACACTCGTTCAAGTAACAAAGTTTCTTTAAAAGAATGTTTAAACCCTAACAAATATCATTTCAGTGAATCTTCCTCTAAATTTTTAGAGCTATTCCCAGATTTGCAAGATATATTGGCGAGCAACAAAGACTTCCTTTTAGGAAATTGGATAAGGGACGCGAAAGTTTGCGCAAATAACTCACATAACCTGCAGGTAAAATCAAATTAAATTAGTTTACGAAATGAGACAGCAATTTTTTCACAGGATGAAAAATTGTACGAATATAACGCCCGAAACCAGATCACTTTGTGGGGACCTGGGGGAGAAATTTTAGACTATGCTAACAAACAATGGGCAGGTAGGAATATCAAAAAACGTATTGTTACATGTATTTGACAATTTTTTAAGGTGTAATTGATGAGTATTTTGAAAGAAGATGGGTTATGTTCATTGAGTATGCTATGAAAGTATTAAGGGATAACGATCATCTAAATAAAGATTACATCAAAACAAAAATATTTAAAGAAGTTGAAGAAGCATTCACTTTTGATACCAGAGAAGTTCCCACAAAACCAAAAGGTTTTTTTTTTATTTTGCACAAAACTTATTTTTAACAAAACTATTTTACAGGAAACACTATTGAAATAGCGAAACAAATCCACGAGAAATGGAGTGACCTAAAAAACGTTGAAGTTTACTCTAAAAGAAGTGGTAAAAGTTTGGAGGAAAATTTCGTTGGGACGCAAAGTTTTTATGAACCGAGCGTTATATTAAAAAAGTAAACTATGTAATTATTTTTCACACGTAAACATAATTATCTGACCAGCCCTTGACAGAAAAGGGCGCGACTAAATATATTACCTGTTTTTTCATTCTATTATCAAGGCATGATGGATTGTGTATTGATTTTGGTTAATAAATTATATGAGAAAACTTTGTTGTGTCATTTCTATCTCTCTAAAAATGAATTAGTCAAAAATGACTAATTTATTAATAGTTATTAGTGGCTGCTTTTTCACTTGTACCATGGTTAACCATGGAATACACAGACCACCAAAACAAATGGACGGATTTGTTTACGTTAAAAAGCGAGTAAAGCATAGTTTCACATTCTAAACCGTCGAAAGAAACACGGCTTCCAACGTTGTCAGAAGTATAGATTACACGCCTTTTTTGAATAATAAAAAAATTGTAAAAAGGATTTGTTCATCATTTTCTTCAGATATTTTTCTCTATTTAAAGAAAGTAAATCATTCAATAATTATTAAAATTAAATATTAACAACGTTGGTAAATTCGTCATATTTGACAGCATAGAAAAAGGTTGACAGCTTGTTGTTTTGTGGTTTCGTTTGTGTATTTCTATCGTGTTTAAGTTAATTATGGAGTTTAAATACATTATTTTTTACTAAAAATAACAATCCATGGAAATATCGTTTGTAAGTACCTACCTACTTATTATTTTTTTAATCCCAATACGTTACTGGAAGAAAACATAAAATTCTATCGCCAATTTAACGCTTAGACTGTGACCGTTTGTTGACGTCACTGAAAAAAAACATAAAATTCTATCTCCAATTTGACGCTTAGACTGTGACCATTTGTTGACCGCAAACAAAGCATTGTTATTGAATGGCAATGCGCCGTCCATTTGTTTTGGTGGTCTGTGATGGAATACCATGGTATCCCAAAATTTAACAGTCAATTCCTATGTAAAATTGTCCCATGAATCCGAAAATACCGTCAAAAATTATTAAAGTGGAGCAGTTTTTGAGATATAGTCAATTCCATATTAAATGGAAAATTGACTATATCTCAAAAACTGTTCTGCTCTTTTAAATTTGTAAATGGTATTTTCGGATTCAGGGAACAATTTTACCTAAGAATTGGCTGTTAAATTTTGGGATACCATGGTATTCCATGGTTAACCATGGTACAAGTGAAAAAGCAGCGACTAATAACTATTAAATTAGTCATTTTTGACTAATTCATTTTTAGAGAGTGCGGAAATTTTAAAAGCCGAGGTATAACTTTTTGACATGTATGGATTAAAAAAACAAATGACGTCATACTGCCAAAAGGTCACTTTTAAAAATACCCTTTGAAGCTGATATTTCCGATTGTACAGGGTGGAACAAAAATATTGATACCTCACCAAACAAATAAACTTTCCAGTGTAAATAAAATTGGTTTCAAGGTACAAACATAGTAAAATCCAATAAGATAGAGATACTAAAAGCCAGGTGATGTCATAAGTGAAAGAACGAAAAAGAAAGGACCATATAAAAAAAGACAGAGGTACAGTACAACAGTGGTTAAGTTACCTGGCAGCTTTATATGCATCTCGAAAAAGGACCGTTATAATATTTAGGGTCCGCAGCGCACAAAACACATCGAGATTTAATTTTACGATTTTTCTTTCATTGAAACCATTAAGAAACAAGTTGTGTGCAAGTTTTTCGCACCGATTGGAAAAAATGTGGTGCATATGACAAACAAAGAGTTGGATGTGTGGAAGAAAAGAAGAAAATGTGGAGGACGCGCTTCTGATAGGCGCACGTTGGGACAAAAAAAGGAAAAAATTGTTTCTCATGAATTTGTTATAAGGGTCATTATACTATTAAATCTCTGCCATTTCTTATTAAAATATAATAAATTGAGACTGTAATATAGAACTAGATTCATAAATAAGAACTTAAATAAACAAAAATTAATACAACATTTTAAAATTTCAATTCAATTTAAAAATATTTTTAAAGAAAAAAGTAAATTAATTTTTTTTGTAAAATTTGGTCTTCTGCAAAAAAAATTTTAAACTAATATTTTTAATCATCCAAATTTTAAATTTTGGCAGAAATTATTTTGATTTATTCTTTAAATATTTTTTCTAGTCCCACCTTTAAAACGTCCATTATCGTACATGTTTCCATGACACTAAGTGACCTTTCAAATACACATTGACAAGTTGTGGCTTTATGGTGCTTTAGTCACGGGCTGAAGTTAGCAAGAGGTTTTTAGTCACGGGCTGAAGTTAGTTTTAAGTTAGCTGACAGTTGTCAAATGTCAAACAATCGTTAAAATAAAGTGCCTTTCTTGTAAAATAATTCTAAATGTGATTTTTTTCTATTATTTCAATACAAAAATACAAAAGTATTAGATAAAAAAAATTAGAAAAGATTATATGGACGTTTGAACTGACCTTTTAATTTTGCCGTAGTAGTGCAGTTAACTAGATTTTACTGATAAAGCGTTACAAATTTTGCGCCCATAAAACATTATCTTTTCTTTTATCGCTTCTATATCGATCGTTAGTATATTTTCAAGGGATAAATTTTGATTTACACAGAAAAATTTGAGATTTTAACGCCGGAATTCCAATAAATACAACTGTCAATTTTTATACCTTTAACATTTCTTGTGTAAGAATTTTTAATACTTTGTGGATAAAATAATAACGGAAAATGTTAATAGTGAAAATTACATCAAAAATATTTATTAGGATGGTTACTTTATTCTCGTAAAGCTGTTGCTTTATACAAATATTTAATTTAAATCATTTTTTAGATAATATTAAGTATTTGTCGTAGAAAAAGTACTCTCTAAAAATGAATTAGTCAAAAATGACTAATTTAATAGTTATTAGTGGCTGCTTTTTCACTTGTACCATGGTTAACCATGGAATACCATGGTATCCCAAAATTTAACAGCCAATTCTTATGTAAAATTGTCCCCTGAATCCGAAAATACCGTCAAAAATTATGAAAGTGGAGTAGTTTATAAGATATAGCCAATTCCATATTAAATGGAAAATTGACTATATCTCAAAAACTTTTCTACATTTTCGGATGCAGGGGACAATTTTACATAAGCCAAATTTGGCTAATACTTCTCATAAATACTCGTAGAAAAAATAAGTAAACTTAAGGAAGTAACAAGAATATATTTAGACATGTTTCTGATGTGTCCTGTCCATGGGCTTGGAATGGTCGATTAGCACTGGTTTATGAATTTAAATAAATTTATTATTATTATATTATTATTCTAATTGTTTATATTCCATATTTGGGTACTTTTTTGCTACCTACCCACATATTTTGATTTTCGTACCATTTTAATATTAATTTATAATACAAATTTAATACTATGATTGACGACTAACTGTTAATTTTCCCTCAGTATTTTGGGAAAAAATTTTACTAAAATAGTTATTTGTTTTACAAATGTTGAAAAGCGAGTTTTTCATGCGAGTTTTTAAGTTGCCCACGAGGCCGTTAGGCCGAGTGTGCATTAACACGAGCTTGAAGAAAGCTTTTCTCACAAGTATAACACAATGTTTTTTCTGCGACCCTTTTATTTTTTATTATTTTTAAATACAAAACAAAATAACCTAAAAACTTTTTTGACAGCTGAATGTCAAACGATGCTTTCCGGTTCTTTTCACACAGCAACGATGCCATCATGAAAAGTGACTTTTACATAGTGGTCGTAGAAAAATGGTATTTCATATTTGGTCACTTTTCTCCTCAAAAAGGAGAAAAGTGCGGCAACTCCAAAGCATAGCGCCTATAAATAATATTTGGCTTCATGTACCTATGTTATTTTTATCCCTTAATATACAGGATGTCCCAAAATTGGCGGACCAAAGGGTGATGGTAAATTCCTTTTGTTATATTTTTGTGTTTGCAAAAGACGCTGTGAAATCGCAGGCGCCCGATAGAGAAACACTGCGCTTTCATTGGTGGCCTTAAAAATTAAATAACTTCTGCAATTTTGCGAATTCGAAAAAATGGTATGAAAAATTTTGTTTTCGCTAGGAATCGACTCCTTGCGTTTGGTACAGTGATTTTGGGACACCCTGTATTATTTTACCGACAATTATATTATTTAATATATGACATATTATTATTTAATATACAACAGACATTAAAAAGTTTTTTTTCCAAATTTGCTTTGTTTCATTTCTACTTTTTCGAGTACGGTAAAATATTTTTGTCCCAATGTACACCGCAACGCTTCAAAATAACACCAGTTGCTGGCGCAACTTCACGAAATACGGTTCGTTACCAACTACTCTCTATAGTAAATACCGTGTGTTTATTTTTATTTTTTTTAATCGTGTGCTGTGTTAATTATTGTTTTCCCTCTTATTAGATACTGTGTGTTGTGTTGGAATACCCGCAGTGTTTTTTGACTTTCAAAAGGATTTTTCTAGCTCTATCAACGAGTAAGTTTTTTTATCATTTTTACATTGTAGTTTGGTAGGTTTATAAATATTAATGTAAAAGTTATTCAACGAAACCGAACTGGATTTTCGTCGATTTTTATCGATCCGATTCATTTTGTGTGTACATTGTAATGTTGCCTGGAAAAATAACCGAAATGAACGTAAAACGCGCGCCTTAATAGAGTTAACCTAGTTAGCGCGAAAAATCGAATAATAGTGCGCAAATAAATGTTTGCGTGCGGAATTAAACGATATTACACAGGGTGATTGCTCTACCATAACAGAAAAATAATTTGATAAGAAAATAATCTCCATAGAGTTTTAAATTCATGACAGTTTTAAATGTCAATTTATAATATTAGATATATTTTTTGGGTGACATCCTTTATAACTTGATATTGTTTTGAAGCGCCGCGTCGGTTTCTATAAATATTCTGTGACACAACCGCCGAGTCATTTTTTTTTAATTATTGCCTAACCGTTGTGCTTAGAAGCATTTTCGGGGGATTTATCTTATTTTTATCATCGCCATTTATTTCCACATTTTATAGCAACATTTACCACAAATGCACCGTAAATCATTCGTTAACTAGAGCAAGTTGCCAAAACGTATTTATTTTTAATTGACACTTCGAATTTTATATTTTTGATCTAAAAAAAGATAAAGGGTATTTATAAAACTGTATTTTTTTAATGCAATATTTACGACCTGCAACTGTTTACCTTAAGATCGAGAAGTCATACAAAATAGACAAGTTAAGTTTATTTGAACAATTTTTTAAAAAACTTGAAACTTCGATATATCTAAGATAGTATGCATTTTACGAAAAATTGTTTAAAATAAAAATTAAATGATTCGAGGGGGAAATCAATCAGTACTAAAATTGGTCCTCGTACTCTCCTCCTTAAAGGGGGAACAGGGGGTAACTTTAAAATTTCCAATGAAACACCCTATTTTTTCTTGCAGATTCGGATCATTCGACTAAAAATAGGTAGATTTTGTCTAAAATATTTTTTCATATTTGTAATAGATGGCGCTGTAATGAAAAAAAATCAATTTTGTTCGATTTTTCTTCTGTATACGATTCTCCAATAATTTTTTAATTAAATACTTTAAATATTATTTCGTTTTAATATTCTGCTAACACTGCTCTGGGATATTCCCAAATCTCTAGATAATTCTCGTGTGCTTGCATGAGGATTAGCGGCCGTTGCTGCTAATACATTAATTTCATTCTTTTCACCTGTGACTGTTGCTCGACGAACTCTTTTTTTCGGTGGAACACTCCCGTTTTTAGTAAACTGCTTGACCGTACGATGAAATGAAGTACGTGAACGATTCTTTCCGGAAAACGCTGAGCGTAGATATTAACATCATCATCAAGATTCCTGCCTGCTTCTCCATAAATCAAAATCATTTCTATGAATAACTGCTTAACGAAATGATGTCTTTTTGTTTGCAAATTAATCTTCGAACTAAATTGATTAAATAATGCTTAACAATAAATAGTTTCTTTATACCTCAATAATAATTATTATTTATAACTAATTAACATTTTTTTATACCTCAATTAGGATTAAATTAATTAATTGACAAAATAATGTTTTTTTACCTTAAATGAGGAATTTTTATTAAAAATAGTACAATAATCCCTTAAATTAAAGGATTTAATGCTGGCAGGTAAAAAGTAACCATGGTGTGCAATTGATAATTATCACCAAATGAAATAATGTATAAAACTTAAACCAAAGGAAACTTAAATATTAGTTAAAAATAGTGGGTACTTAAAAAATCAGATTTAATTTAATAAGATAATTATTACCAAAAAATGTGATATTTTTATAGAAAAAATATTGCAGAATCGTATAAGAAGAAAAATCGAAAAAAATTGATTTTTTTTCATTACAGCGCTATCTATTACAAATATGAAAAAATGTTTTTGACAAAATCTACCTATTTTTAGTCGAATCATTAAAATCTGCAATAAAAAATAGGGTGTTCCATTGTAAATTCTAAAGTTACCCCTTGTTCCCCCTATAAGGAGGAGAGTATGAGGACCAATTTTAGTACTGATTGATTTCTCCCCTCGAATCATTTAATTTTTATTTTAAACATTTTTTCGTAAAATGCCTACTAACTGAGATATTTCAAAGTTTCAAGTTAACTCACCCTGTATAAACTAATTATAATTATCGATTTCTTGTGAATATTTTTCTCGAAATGGGTCATTTAAAAATATATAAATTATTCATAATTCATGGAAATTGCGGTACATGCGAAAAATCTCTTTTAATTTTAATTAACCTACGTATGTATATGACTCAATTTATTACTAATTAGTAATTACATCCTAGACAGTCAGCAAAATATCTACCCGATAAAAGGATATTTTAAGTAAAACAAAAATAAGAAAAATCAAAAAATAAGTTTTTGAGTTATTAATCATTTAAAGTTCAAAAAACTTGGCAACGCTGGGAATTTCCTATGGCAAAATATCACATACCTAAAAACAAAAAACAAGGCGAGCTAAAGTTAACACGAGTCTTGATAAGACGGTTTGTGTAAAAAAAACATAATAACTTTGTTAGTTAAAAATTTGTAACTTTTTATTTTTTAAACGTCTTAGGAAAATTAATTTCTTTTATTTTATACTTATTTAAGTACGAGGGTGGTTCAAATATAAACCGGAATTTTTGAATAAACGGGCGAAAAATTTAGTGTCGTAAAAGTGGCTGCACTGGATGTTAGACTGGTCTGTTACGAAGCGTAGAGAACAGCCGGGACTCCGTAACCTCGCTTTTCAGTGTAGTTATAGCCATGAGCGAGAAGGATGTACCAGTGTCTGTTGCGCAACGCATCATTATTCGTATTTTGGTCAAAGATAATGTAAAATCTGCGAAAATTTTATCAAAAATTACTTGAGCAGTTCGGGGATGAGTGTCTCTCCAAGACTCAAGTGTATGAATGGTGTTCCGCTTTGCGAAAAGGCCGAGAAGTGGTGGCACTTGCCATATGCGCGGCGCTCCAAAACAAGTGTTACAAATGAGAACGTCAGCGCTGTAGAAAAACTCATTTTGGAAGACCGACGCAGTACTGTACGCGATATGGCTGAAGAATTGGGCATCAGCGTAGGTAGTATTGAGCAAATAATTCATAAACGGCTCGGTTACCGCAAACTTTCAGCCAGATGGGTGCCAAGACTGAATTTTGAGCAGAAATTCACACGCTGGGAAGTTTGATGAAAACATTGAACGAATTGGATTGGGAAACACTGGAACACCCTTCTTATAGTCCCGATTTGTCGCCATGTGACTAGTATTTGTTCGGTCCATTGAAAGAGGCACTTGGCGTACTGCGATTCGAAAGCAATGCGGAGGTAGAATCCTTCGTGCGCGAATGGTTACGTGACAAGCCGAGAGATTTTTACGAACAAGGCATCCGAAAGCTTCCGGAGAGGTGGCAAAAGTGTGTATAGTGTGACGGAGACTATCTAGAAAAATTGTAAAAAATTTCAGCTCTGTAACTTAATAATAAAAAAATTTATAGCAAAATTCCGGTTTATATTTGAACCACCCTCGTATATTAAATTAAATTTTAAAAATTTTATGTTGTAAATTTTAACATAATTTTTTGTAGAAAACCAGGGTTTGTAATTTTTTTAACAAAGGAAAATATTTTGCCGAAAGTTTTTTAAATGATTTTTTAAAGATAACAAATTATTTTGTAAATGTTTAACAAATTATTTCGTTAAAAAAGTACACGTGATTTCATGCCTGCAGGCAACAAGTTCATGAACTAAAATTAGGGGATACAGTGAAGTGGGTTAAAGTTACGAAATACATCAGTGTGTTGTATATTATATTGTACCAAATTTCTTTATAATTAAATTAAATTTAATTAACAGATTCCCTGATAGCAAAATTTGATTTTAAGAATCTTCTAAGAATATATGACCCGGAATAATGGAATATTCTTAGAACCTTCCCTTATTGCTAAGAATGTTCTGAGGGACTTTTAAAACATTCAATAGATACCCTTTTAATGATGTAATTAGATTCTTAAAAGCTTCTTAAAACCTTCCTAAAAAGCATCCTAAGAACATTTTAAGAATGCGTTTTTGGAATGTTCTTAGAAAGTTTCTTATGGAGCTTCTAGGAAGCTTTTGAGAATATTTCCAAATATGTCAGATACCCACGTTCTAATATGTTGTATTCTACATTCGTAAAATTCTTCAGGAGACGACAAATGCGCCTCACTGTCATAATATGATTGTATAAATGTATTTGTCGTCCCCTTAACAAATTTTGCGACATATTAATATATATTTATTTAAAAATATTAAATAAACAATTTGACCTCTAAACCATAAGTTGTATGACATTATTTCATAAAAAGTAAAATTGGAAAATGTTGTGGATAAGTCAGATTAGATTGAACTTCAATCATTGAAGTTGAAGATAGATTATTATACATAAAAATGTTAATTCAGAAATAGAAAGTCGGTATACAAATTAATAAATATTTATTTTTAACATAAAATAAAATACCTATATTAATAGTATATTACACTACAAGGGCAGAAAGTGTGAGATTCCTGCACTGCGCGCCATGATCATGGCGCGCAGTTAAGGGCTCTCACACTTTCTGCCCGTGTAGTGTATACTATTTTTCTTACTACCTCGGCCGAAAATACAACCCGGCCGAAAATACGGGAAAAAATTAAATGTGTATTTATGTACCTATCTCCATTTGAAGAGCTTGATAAATAAATAACAGTAGGCCGTGAATTCAGCGGTGCCAATACAGTAAAAATAAAACGTTGTATTTTAATTAACAAATTACTACTTTATAACAAATAAAAGTACCATTAAACACTTAAAACAACATAAAAAGTAAAAAAGTAAAAACATAAATTGTTTATTTGTTGTTATAATTGCAAAATTATGGTTTAAAACTGTCATATTTTTTGTGTTTCTCATGTTGGCTGTACGAAATTTGAATGTTAAGCACACGACTAAAAAATTTTTACTCCCGCTATTAGAGTGTGCGCGTATAGCTTGACCAATGCATAAAACGTAAACTTTCTGCCGTGAAATCGGGGACGAAACAACGTATTTTGAGTCGAGGTAGTAAGAAAAAAGTATTTTTGTTATCGAATATTGCTTTAATTCGAAAAATAACTATAAAAAATATATATAAAATTGCAATATTTTCTGTCCTGAAACCTCCAAACAAAACATTTTTTAATTGTTAATTAAAATAAACGTGGTATTGCAATTGCAATATTTTTTATCTTTATTATTTTTTTCACCAGTTCATTGTATTTTTTAAAATTACTTTTTTGTGACATGTTGATTCATATAAAAAATCATATCAACATCTTGCAGTTTTAATAAACTTCATAGTGCTTGACTTCATTAGTGTGAACCAGATTCTTTGTTCTATACCTTAGTTCCTGTAAAAATAGCGTGTCAAAATTTAATGTAAAGGTTCCGTGCTCACCCCTGCATAACACACGTTGTGTGACATCATTGAAATCATCAACCAAAATAAACACAGATATTTTGCAATATAAAACATAATTGATTTTGGGTGTTCTATAATTGCCTGCTGTGATCTGAGTTCGATTGGAAAATTGTGCGTTTCAATTATTTGATAATGAAAATGTGGTCTCAATTCAACCAATTTGTTAATTAATGTATTAATTAAATTTGGACTTTTACTCAAAGCGTCTAAGGTCAAACTTGTGAAATCGAAAAACCGTTTTATATTCTATAGATATGTCAAAATCAAGTATATCCTAAATAAAGTGTTTACAGTTTTTATATGAAACTTGAGACATAAAGTGAAGTACAACAAGGGGTGAATAAACTGAGAGGACTGCAATTAGGACCCGTCAATCAATCCTAAACACAAACAATCCGTATTGATTTGTCACATTTCATATAAATCTCGTTTATACTACCCTTTTCACAAAAATAGACTTAAACGTCAAATTTGACAGATAAACTGTCAAAATCAAGTATATCCTAAATAAAGTGTTTACAGTTTTTATATGAAACTTGAGACATAAAGTGAAGTACAACAAGGGGTGAATAAACTGAGAGGACTGCAATTAGGACCCGTCAATCAATCCTAAACACAAACAATCCGTATTGATTTGTCACATTTCATATAAATCTCGTTTATACTACCCTTTTCACAAAAATAGACTTAAACGTCAAATTTGACAGATAAACTGTCGCCAAGTCAAAGCTTTCTGTGATACAAAAATGGACATTAAATTTGACACTTAAACTGTCATCAAATCCAAGCTGGCTGCGTTAAAATTAGACGGTCGTTTTTGGTGTTCTTTTTAAAGAGAGGTGACGTAATTTTTAAAAATTACCTGACCTCAAAAACCAGTTCGTTTCAATGGCACAACGTTCCTCTATCTGCCATTAATAAAAACACGCGGCAACACACTAAATAATTAGTGTAACGGAACAAAAAGGAGCGTCGGCGATTTAACAAGAAATTTCCACATCAAATTAATAGTAGTTGTTAATTTTGGAACCTACTTTTCACAACATTTTTTTGTCAAATTAAGGCAGATTTTTGTATTACATCTCGCCACCGTTTAGTTAATATTTTTAAATATAAGTTGTAATAAAATTATGCATGGGTTAAATTAATATTAAATGCCTTTATTGATTATTAAAACATTCTTTAAAATACTTCGTACCAAAAAGGATAAACTTCTTGATTTCAAAGTAAAAAATCTTCTACAGGAAATGTTTAAATTATAAATAGCAGCACGTACGTTTTATCATTAATTAATACAACAAATTAAATTTGAAAACGTTTATTGTAAATCAAGCCTTACATATCGGTTCGGCTATTTTTTTACATTCTTCCAATGTAACAAAATTGTTCCTCGTTTTGTGGCAACCGCTGTAAAATTGTTTGAGGCATTCTTTTTTGGAGTCATCCCAATGGAAAATACGTTTACGAGCTCTGCACACTACTGGCTGCTGTTCCCATCCCTTAACACAATCTACAAAATACATAAATAGATTTTTTTTTGAAAATTTTACATAATTACCTTCTTTGACAAAATCTCCAGTTTCTTCTTGATACTCGGCCAAAATTTGATAAGATACCAAAATAATGGCAAATATCAACAAATGTCTCAACATGTTTAGAATGTTTTATAAAACTAATTAGTAAATCATTTTCTTTTACTTTTATATGCTAGTCTTAAACGACCTCTGATCCCAATTAGAGCTATCTGCATAATTCAAAAAATATACATACATATAAAATATGTAAAAAGCATAAACATGTTTTGAAAACATATTTTTTATTTAAATGTATGTATGTATATTGTAATAATTATTAATAGGATTTAGTTTTACACCAAATAGTGTTCCTTAATCTCTTTTATGAAAAAAATAGATGTTATGTCATGTCTGCTTTTGAAGAAGAGAACTTTAAAGTGGTAATTTTATACGAAACGTGAAAATCACGAACGTGGCAATCACCACCGCAATTATATAATCAAGTTTTGCCACATTCAAGGTTTGAGAAAAGTTCCGAAAACGTTGCCAAAACTGATATACCCACTTTACTACTACTACCACTTACTAATACTTAAGTTATGTAATTTGGTTACAGTTACTATTCATAATCCACTCTAAAGTTTGGACAGCCTTAAGGTGGTGTCAAAAGTGGTCATAACATTTCAGATACCAGACTAATACACCAAAAAGTTATAAAACTATAAAGTATATTCTGTTGGTGTAAATCACATGATTATAACTATGCTAATATAATATGGAGATATTTTAACTGTATCGTGGTAGATTTATTTATTTAAACGTTATTGCCACTCGTTTGCAATAATCTTTCAAAAGAAATTTTACCACCCATTTTCTTTGCATAATATGTATAAAATGTATATTATAATAGTCTTCAACTGTGAATTTATTGTGTACCGAAATATCAGACGTGACATAATTTCAAAAATAACCGTGGAATGATCTCATCTGATCACGATTATTAATAAGTAAGTAGGTAATAAAAGATCATTTTAAATGCCATGAAGCCCCATTAATCAATGTACACATATAGATTTTAAAACTAATTACACCGAAACAAGACAAATAATAGTAATAATAATATTAAAAGCTAAAGAGACAACATCCCACACAAATAAGGTTCACAAACGTTTAAGTTAGTTAGTCATGTATATAAAATTAACCCACAGCATAATAACGCAACAATTCTAACCAAATACATCTCATTATTACAATATAAATGTTTCATTCTTAAAAGGTTTATTTAAGCCCAGCGCATTCGCCAATTTTGCAACAAAACGTTTGTAATTATGAGTTAATTATTTAAATTATGTTTTATAATACAGTGTATGAGTGAGAATATTTAAAAAACATTTTGTGTGAAAGTTAACGCAATTTACAAAGAAAATTAGGAGATTATATTTTATTGGAATAATGCCGTGAATGTTATTATAATTAACTCCTTATAAAGTTCAAATGCATCAAGGTCAACAAATTGTAATAATAACGTCATATTCCGAGTAGAAATGCTAAAAAATAAAACATTGCAAAAATGGAAAAATTTCGTAGAAAATTAAACTGTTAGTCAGTAAAATGGATAATACCTACCTATATTATTTTATATCATAATATAAATAGTTTAACATTATCATCAGAGCGCTTATATTATAGCCGAGACTGCAGATCTAAGAAAGGCACTTAATATGCTTTCTCCGACTGTTTTATTTTTGTATATATTTTATCTATTTTGCGTTCATAATGACTTCATTATAACACCGCTTTCGGTGCTGTAATGAGATACTTTATCCCACCAAAAATTTTGATTTTATAGGTTGGCTATACTTTAAATAGCATAATATTTTGCATATTAATTATAATATTTTTATGATTTTTCTAGTATTTACAAGACTTTTCTGGCAATAAATTTTGTTTAACACCAAAGAAAATCCTTTTTTTCTTCTTTAACATTAACAGCCGCTAATTGTAAATAAGTAAATTAAGGACGGCATGGCAAATCGATTTTGACATTAACTGTCAAACCAATGACTGTGATACCAACTATCTAAAGAAAAATTCGACCAAATTAAATTTAAGGTATAAAATTATTTTTTTTTATAGAATTTTTGCAAATTAGAAAAAATAGCATAAAGAACTCATGTCATAAGACCTTTTGTCGCAGACGACAAAATGATGTCTTATGACATTAGTTCTTTAATATACTATGTTAGCGTTTAATAATTTTGTACTTACATCGAAATTCTCGATTTGTTGACATTTGACATTAAAGGTCCATTCAAAGCACACTTGTGAGAATACACACTAGTCAAAGGAGTGTTTTTTCACATGTTTAATAATTTAACTATAATAGGGTATGCTACAACATATCAATAGAAAATAATATTCCGGGTCGAATGGTGTGACATTTATGGCCGTTCCATTTGAAATAAGAAATGCCAAACACCCTGTCTTACATTTTGAAATAATATTAATGGCTCCTGATAGGATACTATTTTGTTAATGTGTAATTCAAGAATGAACTTTTTAACATTATAATTGTTGTAACTACAGGCATTAGTCATCTGTCAAAAACTTTGAAAAAATTAAATATCTGAAAAAAAAAATTAAGATAGAAAAGAGTTTAAAGTGCAATAGTTACAGAATTTTACGTGGAATTCAAAAATGCAATAATATTTATAGGGTTCATTTAAAAAACTAAGTCACTTCCGGATAAACCGTGAAATAGATCACGCTGTATATTTATATATACATATTAACTACGTTGAAAATTTTAAAAATTAAAAAAAATCTTCAAAATTTTTAAAGTTTTAATCGCTCACCATATTAATGAATCACCCTGTATATCATTGCAAAATCATCATTTAAAATAATAATATAGAAATTTTCTATTAGAAAATAATTTGGACTCTTGTCAACGAAAACAGTTTGAGACGGAAATAATTCGTTTTAAATTGAAAACGAGACATTTTTATAACTTTTTGTTTTGTGTTTTTTTATATTTTTATAAAGGCCATTCCTTAATGGCTATGTAAATTTTCGTTTCAAGGGTATACTATCGCACGATTACGTAACGACATTTGTAAATTAAATAAATGTGTTGTTACTTTTTAACAAATGTAGAAAATACATGAAATAAACTTATGCTATCATGGTTATTTATAAATATTTGTAAATACAACCTTTATTATTTCTTTAACCCGCGATTTTATTTACTAATGATGTAAATATTTGTTCGATTTTACAGCGTTTTAAGAGCTAAAATGCATTTTTTAAATATCGTCGCCAGAAACAGAATATTTAATTTTTTTAATGGAGACTTCAGTTTTAAATTATTTAGTGTGTATTAGCCAAAAGGAATAAATTCGATACACACTGTATATAGTTAAATTATTGTGACAAAATAATTGGTCATCAAAAAATTGTGGGTAGGTAATTGATAAAAGTTAGAAGTTATTAGTAGGATACTTTTAAAAGCAGTTTTAAGTCGAAAAATAGAACATTTTATTGTTTCCGTTGGGGTCAATTAGCCTTGAGCCAAAAAATTATGTAATAAATCCAACGGGCATTTAGCAATTTAATGGAATTCACAACTCATTATTTCATTGTGAGCTTTTCATAGAAACATCTGCTTAAAATAACGGCGAATAATGAAACAAAATTGTGGGATATGATGTTGCATCATTTATTAATTTGAAAAAAATTGCAATTGTTTATGGTCCCACCGCTTTTACTAGATGACCCAGAAGTTCTAGGCCAGAACTGACAATAAGCTTAACAATATGTACAATAATTTTTTAAAAAATTTAAAATATTTTCATAAATTTTATTGTAATTTTTTTATACAGCTGGGATATAATGTTGCATTACTTATTAATTAAAATAAAATTGTTTATAGTCCCACCTCTTTTACTAGATGACCCAACTGATTATAAACTTAACAATACAATATATATTTTTTTTATTTAAAATATTTTTATTAATTTTATTGTAATATATGAATAAAAACAACACTTTTTTAAAGTTTCACTATTTTAGTTATGTTTTTTTAAAAATTAACAACTTTAGAATCTTAAAGGCACCAATTGGTTTAAACTAAATCTTCTGGAGTCTTCGGAAATTAATAAACTAAAGAAAAAATCGGATATTGTTCTTAATGACCAAATTGAAACCAACAACTCCCCTTTGCTAAATTTATTTTAGAATGTATGTATAACTGTAATACTAAAACAAATATTTATTAATATTTTGAAACTATATTAGATGGGACTTTCCAAATCCATATATGGATTAAATGAATTAGTCAAAAATTTAATAGTTATTAGTGGCTGCTTTTTCACTTGTATCATGGTTAACCATGGAATACCCTGGTATCCCAAAATTTAACAGCCATTTCTTATGTAAAATTGTCCCCTGAATCCGAAAATACCGTCAAAAATTATGAAAGTGGAGCAGTTTTTGAGATATAGTCAATTCCATATTAAATGGAAAATTGACTATATCTCAAAAACTGTTCTAATTTTTTAACTTCTGGTATTTTCGGATTCGGGAGACAATTTTACATAAGAATTGGCTGTTAAATTTTGGGATACCATGGTATTCCATGGTTAACCATGGTATAAGTAAAAAAGCAGCCACTAATAACTATTAAATTAGTCTTTTTTGACTTATTCATTTTTAAAAACTATAGTTTTTTTCAAAATTGTGTAAGTTTAATTAATGCCCTCAGGTGTAATGTTTATACAACACGTATTTTTTTAAATACCTGCATTAGCTAATATAAATTCATCCACATAATAAAAAATTGTATTTATTCTAAAGAACCTACCGTGTAGCGAAACAATTGTTAGTTTCTTTTTGAAAAACATAAATAATATAGTTAAACTTTAAAACAGTGTCATTTTTATTTATATATTAATAATATGGAGTTTCATAAAGTAAAGGTCGAAACAATCAAAAATTTTATCCTAAAAAATGCAAGATATTTAAACCCCATTCAGGATAACAGTTTTCTTTATTTTAATGTATGTGTATTTTTATTTTCAGATGGAAAAGTCGCAATTCAAAAACAGATGACCAAAATCCCCAGCAGAATTACATAAAAAATGTTCAAGATTTTTATTAATCGATAATTATTTGACTGAAATTGACTGACCAAATAAAATAAACAAAATGAAATATTTTAACGAAAACCTCATCACCTTGAAATGTGTTCTGTTCCTATTCTTTGGAGGTAAGAATTGAAAATTATAATAATAATAATTTATAAAACATTTATTTTTTTAGCTTTGGGGGGGTTGCTCCCCTTCCTGCCGCTCCACATGGACGTCGTGGGTTTGTCCAAAGACGAGTCCGTCATAGTATCTGTAGTTGCCCCCCTCATAGCGTTATTAGGCCCCCTGGTGGCCGCCCCTTTGGCCGATAGACTCGCAAGCGGCGGCGGCGGAAATCAAAGAAGCAAAACTGGACGATATTTACGCGTCATGCTCTCTTTATGCTTCATATTGGCCACGATTTTCTACTGGCTGCTCATGCTTATACCCCCGATAGTAAGAAACAGTTTTTTATTGCATGCACAACATTGAATGTGATTATGTCAGGTGATTTAATTTTAATATGTTTGAGCTTTAATTTAATTTATTTCAATTGATTTATATTTAAAGCAATTTTATTGGCTTCATTTATATGTATGTAGAATAATACCGAATTAAGGTTTTTAATAATTCAGTTATTTCAATTAACTGATATTCTTATACGTTATAAAAGTTGCGTAGGTAAAACTAAAAACCTTCTAAAACCAAAAATTGTTACTTTTCCTAAGAATTTGGAAAAAAGTAAGTTTGGTAGGTAGTTGGATTCTTGGATTTGTTTCACATCTGACCGTGTAAAATTTTAATATGGCCTCCATAGAAAAAAACAACAAATTGTGTTAACTCAAAATTGGATAGGTTTAGCTTTTTTATTTTAAGTGTCCCAAAAAATTTAAAAGTGTGTTTATATAGGTACTAAAAAATACTTTTTTTCTACGAATAAAGAAAATTGGAAAATTGATCAGTAGGTATACAGGGAAAAACAAAATGTTTATTTTTTTTCAATGGATCACTATATATGTATTTATTTTTCGATTCCTTGTAAAATGCTAAGCATATTTCATATAACATACCATATAGCTAAATTCAACCGTTTCTGAAATATTTAAATTATTTTTAAGATAATTTAAAATAGTTTGTCTTTCTCTGTCTGAATACGCCATTTTTACTTATTTAACAAGACATATTGACATAATGTCACTATGGTAATTTATTTTCAATAAAAATTTTGGTATAATGAGGCTTCTTGATTTCTAATATTTAGTTTAAAAAAAAATTAATGATAACATTTCGAATGCGAATATTTCAGAAACGGTTGAGTTTAGGTATATGGTTTGTTATATGAATTATGCTCAGAATTTTACAAGGAATCGAAAAATAAATTCATTTATAGGGTGATTCATTGAAAAAAAATAAACTTTTTGTTTTTCCCTGCATATTAATCAATTTTCCATTTTTTTTTATACATACAAAAAAAGAATTTTTTAGTATCTACACTTTTAAATTTTTTGGGACACTTAAAATAAAAAAGTTAAAGGGGGGCGACATTATAGGGGATCACCCTGTACAAATGTAAATAAATGTGTTTCTTGTAAAACGATTTTTGGTTTTGAAAGGTTTTTAGTTTTTTTTAAATATTCTGAAAACTGCTAATTTTTTGTCAATTTTTAAAATTCCATTTTAATAGACTTGTAATTACGCAACTTTTAACCGACCTTGTCTTGGCTCTTTAAATAAAAAAAATAACCATACATAGAAGGAAACTTGCCCTGCCCACATAACACAAAAATATATTTTATCTATATTTTACAACCGAGCGAAAAGTTGCACTTTGCCGAGGAGCAAGCGTTTCTTTACTTTGTCGCTCGCCAAGCGACAAAGTAACCAAAACGGTCGCTTAGTTACCATGGAAACCATAATAACGAAACATCTAGTATACACTGCGATTTTTGACACAAGTCAAATTAAGGCCTATCAATGTGTTATTATTAATTATTACCAAACATTTTTATAAAAACACCGGTTGTGGAAAAAATCTTGTGTGTAATTCGAGCGCAAAGTGACATTGCCGCTCTCGCGAGATAGCTGTCAAACTTTGCGCTCTTAAAATACACTAATAGCTATAAAATATTGACTAAATATTTTTGCTAAATAACCTAAATATTTTAGGAATATTATTCATTATCATGTCATCATTATCATATCAGTTTTAAAATGTTTTTACAACATTTAGATGCCCCACTTTTTATATTTATACAATTTTTTTTCGATATTTTTAAAACATTTTTGGAAATGTTTTAGATACATTACTTTACATCACAGAAATATCTAGAAATATTTTCAAAATATTTACAGTTCAGTGCATATTTATTTTAAAAATGTTGTTGTAAATTTTGATAAAATGTTATATATGGTATATTTATAAAAGCCGTGTGATAATTTTTGTGTACTGAATGTTCTTGTTTTGGAGTACAAAAAGTGTAATATCATAGCTGGAGATCAAATGAAAGAAAATTTAATACAAAATATTTAGAAAAATTCTTTATTTTAAAAATAATTATTAATCGATATAAATAAAAGTGAAATATTTAAAACAAAAATTCTTTAGAGAGTCACAGAAATAAAAGAATATTTTTCTTTCTACAGTCTTGGTTTTTCTTTTTAAGTTACTTTTTTACATCCTTTTTACAAATTTAGCTTGAGCCAGCCATTGTCGTAACTCCGGTAAAATGTTATTTTCCGTAGCAGTTTCGGTTTTTATATTTTTCCGGATGGAGACTAAAAAGAATTTAATTTAAATTAAAGTCTTCGGTTTAATCCCGCACGGGAAATTACATTTTGTTTTAAAAAATTAAAAAACAATAATACCTATTTTGTTTTTTTAAGTGATTTTATTAGGTTTATGTTTGTTCTTTATTAATAAGAAATTTGCCGATAGTACACTGCCATGCATAAATAGCAATAATAATTATAAATGGATTTTATATCTGTTGGACAATAAACGTTATTATTATTATTATTATTATTATAATCTAATCAATAAAAATAAATATTAATACATACCTCTAGCACTTGTAAGTAAAAATGGCCGAACTGACGCTAATTTGTGTATGACTTTAGCGACCTTTTTATCAAGAGGGCGCTTTCATCAGAAAGCTTTTAATGAATTTTTCAAAAAGTTTATAAGTATCGTTAATTAACAATATTTAGGAAATATCTTTTACATAAAATTGCAAAATAAAAGTTGAAAAATACTTACGTGATATTTATGAATGTTTCAGAAATATTTACTCGTAACAGTTATAGAAATATTTTTCCCTGCACTGAAAGAAATATATGTTTGTTTTAGCAATGTTTGTGGTTCATATATGGACTACCACATACATTGCTAAAACAAACATATATTATATTTAGTTTTAACATAATATGTTAAAACTAAATATAAAAATGGTTAAGGTAAATATATTATATGTTTGTTTTAGCAATGTATGTGGTAGTCCATATATGAAACATAAATTTCTTTCAGTGTGAATGTTCGTAAAACATTTCATTAGACCTTCATTTAGGTATAAATATTGTTTTCCAGACGGCCTGGCAACATTTTTAAAACATTTTATGTATGAGTATAATATACTAATACACTCAAAGGCAAAATACTCGCTCCACACAAATTTTCGATGAATTTCAATCGCAAATAACTTTTTTATTTGATTTCGGATTTAAACAAATATTAAAGAATATTGTAGATACATTAATGGAGAATCGCTCACATTTTAAATATTACCAAAAAAATACAAGTACTTTTATAATATACAGGTTTAAACAAAAAGATGTTTTTACCATAAGTTTAAGACACTCTGTAGAGTGGCAAAACCGTATTTTAATTATCAAGTCACATCTATTTTTAACAGTTTTGTTTTTGGTTCACCTTGATATATTTATTTTTGTGGAAAATATGGATTTTTAAAAAAAAAATATTGCAATTTCCAATATTTTTCCTGTATGAAAAACTAAGGTTGCTATGCCATAGCCTATGGAGGATGACAGTGACAGTTTTGTTGAATCATCCCATACTTGGACATGTCATATATAGCTTTCAAAAGATATCAAATTGTTTTTTGTAAATTAATGTGTGAATTTTGAGGTGTCTTCTTACTTTTAAAAATGTCTCCGACTGATGTTGCCCTTTGTACTTTACTTCTTGTGACGATTAAAACACTTGTCACGTAATACTGTGACCGTCCATCCTGGATTAAATGAATGGCTCTGACAACATCAGTCGGAGACATATCCATTTTTTAAAGTAAGAAGACACCTCAAAATTTAAACATTAATTTGCAAAAAACAATTTGATAGCTTTTGAAAGCCGTTTATGACATTTCCAAGTATGGGATGATTCAACAAAACTGTCACTGTCATTCTCCACAGCCTATGTGGATGGACCATAGCAACCTTAGTTCTTCATACAGAAAAATATAAATTGCAATGTTTTTTTAAAAAATCCATATTTTCCACAAAAATAAATATATCGAAGTGAACCAAAAACAAAACTGTTAAGAATAGATGTGACTTGATAAATAAAACTTAATTTAGAACAATATACGATTTTGCCACTCTACAGAGTGTCTTAAACTTATGGTAAAAAACATATTTTTGTTTAAACCTGTATATTATAAAAGTACGTGTATTTTTTGCTAATATTTAAAATGTGAGCGATTCTCCATTAATGTATCTACAATATTCTTTAATATTTGTTTAAATCCTAAATCAAATAAAAAAGTTATTTGCGATTGAAATTCATCGAAAATTTGTGTGGATCGATTATTTTGCCTGTGAGTGTATATTATATATAATATATTAACGTTTGTGGATAGGGCTATAAGAGTTTTAAGTTTATTAATAAATATTATTTTATAGATTAGATCCCCACCCAATGTGACGTTCATGTGTGATCAGCAGGGTGGTTTTGTTTTACAAGATAGATGTGGTGCTGAAAGGACTTGTTATAACTGGGGAAGCTCGGTAATTTAACAAAAATATAGAAATTCTTCTTTCAAATAAATAACACTTTCATTCAAAAACATGCATATTAAAGAGTAAATTTAGCTCTTTCAAGAATCATGTCTATAGAGGGTTTTTATTTGAAAGGAGATGCTCTGGAACCATTGAAGGTAAACAATCTATATTCAAACCATACAATTTGTTTTTAGAAAGGATCGGTTTTGGTGAAAAACTGCATTTTTTCGTGCAATGCTACAACAAATTATTCTGGAGAAGTCACTACAGCATACCCTGATGAAACCGACACTTTTTATGAAAGCGACTATGAAGATCAGTTAAATAACGACGACAACAGTGGTAACGAAGTGAACCCTGACACACTCGATGTAAGAAATCCTTAGCTCACAAAATTGCAACTAAATATTTTTTTTAGCTATCAGACTATTCCTCAAACAGAAACTTTACCGGAATAGTCCCCTTACCGCACATGTGCTATGAAAACGACAAAGGCGAGTCTATATGTGAAGTTTACACTGAATATTCCCAACCCATAGACTTTAAAATCGGATTAACTCCAAATCTGGACAATGCAACTGAATCTGATTTCTGCAAATATCCATTTGGTGCGTCTTCGAACTAACATCTCAAACTCATCATCTAATTTTGATACTTCCAGCTGACAAATTCCACTGCCGCATCACAGACGACGTAGTTGACAACCTAACAAACCACCACACAGAAGAATGCCACCCCATAGTCGTATGCCAAATCCACGACCCATATAACAACTCTCACTCACTACTGAAAAGATCTCAATGTGGTTACGACAACATCAGTTTCTGGCTGTATCTATTCATACGGTCCGTAGCTGATATTTTCCCGGCTGCAGCTGTGGCACTTCTGGGTGCAGCTGTTGTTATAGCAACTAGAGAGACGTCCACAGGGAGAGGTGATGTAGGAAAACAATTCGCAGCTGCTGCATTAGGTTTCGGAATATTCGCAGTGATTATTGGTGGTGCTGGTGATGGCAAATTCTTGAATGCAATGATATGTTTCACAGTTCTGATGTTATTAGCTGTATTAATTCTACTTTTTGATAATAAAATGCCATTAAGTCCCCCTGAATGGTGGTGGCATACACGATGCGGTCTTTTAGCCCTTCCAATGTCTTCTGTGAGGAAATATGGTTTGGAAATAATATCACTCGGTGTGGTACTCTTCTTATTGGGTATTTTCTGGAATTCTATCGATACCTTCCTGCCTTGGTAAGTTTTCCTTATGTTTTAAAACTAATTTATATTGACTACATTTTATTTTGTAGGCATGTAGTGAAAATCCCAGATGGAGAACCTCTACTAATTGGTCTTACTATAGCTGTAGCTGCCATACCTGCCATAGTTTACTTTGTGTATGCTGAAAAAATCGTGGATTACTGCGGACATTCCAATATTCTCATTTATTGCTTCGTTAACTACATCATCCATCACATAGGTCTTATTGTAACTGAAAATGCTAAAGTCTTGTTAATCTTCGAGTTTCTGGAGATATTTTCTTTGCACTTGATGTACGTCACTGCCGTTTTATACTTCAGACACTTGGTCCCGAGAAAATTCACTGCTTGCGGACAAGCTCTTCCCGTCATCACGCATTTCTGCCTCGGTAAGAAAAAACACCATATACACTCACAGGCAAAATAATCGATCCACACAAATTTTCGATGAATTTCAATCGCAAATCACTTTTTTATTTGATTTCGGATTTAAACAAATATTAAAGGATATTATAGATACATTAATGGAGAATCGCTCACATTTTAAAAATTACTAAAAAATACACGTACGTTTATAATATACAGGTTTAAACAAAAATATGTTTTTTACCATAAGTTTAAGACACTCTGTAGAGTGGCAAAACCGTATATTGTTCTAAATTAAGTTTTATTTATCAAGTCACATCTACTTTTAACAGTTTTGTTTTTGGTTCACCTTGATATATTTATTTTTGTAGAAAATATGGATTTTTTAAAAAAACATTGCAATTTCCAATATTTTTCCTGTATGAAGAACTAAGGTTGCTATGGTCTATCCATAGCCTATGGAGGATGACAGTGACAGTTTTGTTGAATCATCCCATACTTGGACATGTCATATACAGCTTTCAAAAGGTATCAAATTGTTTTTTGTAAAATAATGTGTTAATTTTGAGGTGTCTTCTTACTTTTAAAAATATCTCGACTGATGTTGCCCTTTGTACTTTACTTCTTATGACGTTTAAAACACTTGCCACGTAATACTGTGACCGTCCATCCTGGATTAAATTAATGGCTCTGGCAACATCAGTCGGAGACATATCCATTTTTAAAGTAAGAGACACCTCAAAATTTAAACCTTAATTTGCAAAAAACAATTTGATAGCTTTTGAAAGTCGTGTATGACATGTCCAAGTATGGGATGATTCAACAAAACTGTCACTGTCATTCTCCATAGCCTATGGATGGACCATAGCAACCTTAGTTCTTCATACAGAAAAATATTGGAAATTGCAATGTTTTTTTAAAAATCCATATTTTCCACAAAAATAAATATATGGAGTTGATCCAAAAACAAAACTGTTAAGAATAGATGTGACTTAATAAATAAAACTTAATTTAGAACAATATACGGTTTTGCCACTCTACAGAGTGTCTTAAACTTATGGTAAAAAACATATTTTTGTTTAAACCTGTATATTATAAACGTACGTCTATTTTTTAGTAATTTTTTAAAATGTGAGCGATTGTCCATTAATTTATCTACAATATTCTTTAATATTCGTTTAAATCCGACATCAAATAAAAAAGTTATTTGCGCTTGAAATTCATCGAAAATTTGTGTGGATCGATTATTTTGCCTGTGAGTGTTTATAAAATAAGGAAAATACGAATTAACCCATTTTTAGGTCGCTGTATTGGGGCTCTTTTGGGAGGTTTAGCGTACTCCGAATATCCAGACAGAGACAATTTCAACAGCGTCCACAAGTGGTTCACAGTGGCGGCGTGCATAACCGCCATAATCTACTTTTTAGCTTATCATTTCTACTTGAAACCGCAATGCGCAGCTGCAGCACAAGTGCCTCCAGACCCAGCGCCATCCGTTGTTCAAAGTAAGTCTATTAAGTTTTTTATGATTTTTTTTTACAATATTTTTTGTAGATATGAACGGAAATGGCACTTACACCCCGCTTCGGGTATACCACAACGGCAAGGCAAAGAAGGGCCACTTTAGATATTAATTTAAGCAACGCTTTTTGTATAAAAAATACTGGACAGCTTTAACCTCGAGATTTTTTAGTACTCTGAATGTTTAGTAATTTATTTCTCTTTGTATATCGTCGCTTGATAATTGTTTTTTGTTTGTTAAATACAGGGTGTTTCATGACCGGTGAAACAAAATTAAATCTCATATGGAAAATTTAATTTTGAATACAATAAATACAAGCAAAGTACGGGACAAATCACAAAACTGTTTATATATTATTTTCGCCTCAAAATTGTCAAGAACATTCTTTTCTTATTAGGCTTTACATTAAATAAAAGAAACGCAAGAAAATTTGTATATGAAGGTCTCATCCAATTTTTTTTTTAAATTTAAAATTCTAAGCATGAAAATAATGAAAAGTGTTGCTCGATATTATAAAAAAAAATATTCTTAATTTTGTTTAAAAACGAATTTGCACATGAGATTTCAATTTTTATCACTGGGTATGAAACACCCTGTATAATGATAGTTGAAGTTTTTTTATGTAATTTATGTGGCAACACACTGAACTACTTTTTACGATTTTACAATTTACATGAGTTTTGTTACTTTTGAGATGTTTAACGTGAATGTATTTTTAAATAAATATATCAATTTTTTTGAAAACAAGATTTTTATTTTTAAACACAACGATTTTTTAACGATTATTTAACTTAAATTCAATTGGTTCGATTTTCTTTTGTGTCTCAATATTCTCTCGATGCGACAGTCCCTCTTGAGATAAACTTTGGGGGACAAAATATGTCTCAACTCGGAAAAATTTCAGGAGTGTATTTTACGCATAAAAACAATAAAAAATGTTGTTACCCGATTTTTTATTTTTTTCGAAATACAAGGTTTTAAGGTTACTATTCAAGTTTTATATTTACAAAAAAATATTACTATATGCTTTCATCCAAAATTTTACAGGATCAACTTTGGAAGCCGACTAGGTCGCATTTGCCGATTTTCTATTGCCACGCCCGTTATGCGATTCATGACATTATAAAAAGTTGAAACTGAGTTAAATATCAAATTTTTTATACTATTTTTGTATATACCTAAACGTATCTTGAAATATCTGAACAAACACTTTGTTATCATTATGGCGCGGAAGTTTTCCAGTGATTACATAAAAATGATTATATTGTCATATTATAGTTACTTTTTGCACATGTATAAAGCTAGGTGTTTACTTTTTTAACTCTGATTTTTGTAAACATTTTGACGTCTTCGCTGGAAAAGTTCCGCGGTATATTTATCATGAAAAATCGCATTGTCAATGGAAATGCCCTGTTATGCGATTTTTTTACTGTTTTCAACATTTTGAACAAATGTTCTTTACAATATATTGTAATTATACAATTATTACAATATATTGTAATTATAATTTACACAACATTCTAATTATTGTTTTCTTATAATATCGGTGTTAAGCTGACAGGTAATGTAGAAAACGTCAAAAAGCCACATTGCCAGGTTCCAAGTTCTTTTTAATTTTTTAATGAAGGTCTCAACCAATTTTTTTAATTAAATTTTTAACTTGGTTTTAACCCAGTTAAAAAGTGTTGAAGGATATTATAAAAAAACAATAATTAAAATATTGTGTGAATTATTTGTATTGGAAATTTTTTCAAAACCTTGTATCTCGAAAAAAATAAAATATCGGATAACAACATTTTACTTTTTTTCATTGTTTTTATGCGTAGAATACACCCTTGAAATTTTTCACTTTTAAACAGTTTTTTGATTTTTGCCCTTCGCGTGCTTGAAATTGCCCAATATCAAGAATAACGTTTTATGAAATTTCGCTTGGTTTTCAAGTTATTTCAGTTTAAAGAAAATTAAAAAAAATATTCTTAATTTTGTTTAAAAATTAATTTGCCACATGAGATTTTAATTTTTATCACTGGTTATGAACACACACACTGTACTACTTTTTACGATTATACAATTTACTTACATAAGTTTTGTTATTTTTGAGATGTTTAACGAGAATGTATTTTTAAATAAATATTTAAATTTATTGAAAACTAAATTTTTATTTTTAAAAACGTACAACGATTTTTTAACGATTATTTAACTTAAATTCATTTGGTTCGATTTTCTTTTGTGTCTCAATATTCTCTCGATGCGACAGTCCCTCTTGAGATAAACTTTGGGGGACAAAATATGTCTCAACTCGGAAGACGGCTCCCTTAACTCACTTAAACGAAAAGAAGATTTCCTTTTAATTTTTTTACGCACGCCGTGCTCCCTACGTTTTACCATTTGAGGAGTGGGGTCTTCCTGAAGATCGGAAAACGCCCTGACCCTTATGTACCCCATGGCCGGCTGACCGCCTTTCGCATGCAAGGGGGGTTTGTTTTCTTTGGGCAAAATGACGCGAAACTCGTTGAGGCTTTGCGGTTCCGCCACCGGCTCTATGCTCTTTATGCCGGCGACGAATTCGCTGCGCAAGTTCCTCCGCACGTGACTCAAAGCGTTCACCGAGGAACTGAGCAATGTTACTAAATGTTATTTTTGTTAATGAAAGGTTCCTGCAATATTACAGGAACATTGCAATTTAATTAATATGAATTATTATTATAATAATTAATTATAATTATTTATCCGTAAGCTATAGGCCTATTAAATTGTATAAATAACAGACTGTTTCGACCTGTTTGGTCACATCAGTGTCAGGCAGTCGGTCATCTATGGGAGACACGCATCAAGCTCGGCAATGTTCACTTATAAAGATATAAATGACCAAGACAGCGGCGAGATGCATCGGCAAGTCAGTCTGCAAACAACATTGCAAAAATTATCTTAATGCAATATTTCGGATGAAACATAGTCCAAAACTAAAGTTATAATTATAAATGTACATTACGTAATATTATAGTTACAATGTTTCAAAAATCTTGCATATTAAATGTTTATATTGTTTATATAAAGTAACATTGCAAAAATCATCTTAATGTAATATTTCGAATGAAACATTGCCCAAAACCTATCAATGTAATATTATAATTGCAATGTTCTAAAAATCTTGCAAATTAAATGTTTATATTGTTTATATAAAGTAACATTGCAAAAATCATCTTAATGTAATATTTCGAATGAAACATTGCCCAAAACTTATCAATGTAATATTATAATTGCAATGTTTCAAAAATATTCCCAAACATTACAAAATAAATGTTTCTATTGTATATTTAAAGTAAAGTTGCAAACATTTTTCATTTGAAACTTGTGTTAATATTTCAATTGAAACATTGAAAAAAGTTATGTCTGAAATATTATAATTGTAATGTTTAAAAACTTTTATGCAACATTTTATACTAAATGTTACAAATATAACATTGTAAAAACTTTCCATGTGAATCTTTAAATAATGTTTTAAATTTAAGGTTGTTGGAAATTATTATATGCAATATTTCAAATGTAACATTTCATTTATGTTAATGCAAGTAGCACAGGAAATATTTTATTTGTAAAGTCGGCGAACATTGCAGCAATATTTTGTATTGGTTTCTTTCCCAGTGGGACACTGTACTACTTTTTACGATTATACAATTTACTTACATAAGTTTTGTTATTTTTGAGATGTTTAACGAGAATGTATTTTTAAATAAATATTTAAATTTTTTGAAAACTACATTTTTATTTTTAAAAACGTACAACGATTTTTTAACGATTATTTAACTTAAATTCATTTGGTTCGATTTTCTTTTGTGTCTCAATATTCTCTCGATGCGACAGTCCCTCTTGAGATAAACTTTGGGGGACAAAATATGTCTCAACTCGGAAGACGGCTCCCTTAACTCACTTAAACGAAAAGAAGATTTCCTTTTAATTTTTTTACGCACGCCGTGCTCCCTACGTTTTACCATTTGAGGAGTGGGGTCTTCCTGAAGATCGGAAAACGCCCTGACCCTTATGTACCCCATGGCCGGCTGACCGCCTTTCGCAACCACCGGGGGTTTGTTTTCTTTGGGCAAAATGACGCGAAACTCGTTGAGGCTTTGCGGTTCCGCCACCGGCTCTATGCTCTTTATGCCGGCCACGAATTCGCTGCGCAAGTTCCTCCGCACGTGACTCAAAGCGTTCACCGAGGAACTGAGCACCTGCTGCAGCTTGTTGTGCACCGCCGCCAGCGCCTCTATCGGCGCGTTGTGCATCTTCACCTTTTGCAGCTGCGTGAGGGCGTAGGAGAGGTTGGAGGTGACCCTCCCGGTGGAGCGCACCGTCCGCTCGAACCACTCGGGGGGCTTGCTCGAGCTTTTGGGAGGGATAGATGGGGAATGACTCTGGAGAATCAGGGTGGACGAGGAGGCGGGAGTTGGAAAAAATCGTATGTAACCCGTGGGATAATCTAAAGGAAAAAAGTCGTGTTAACAAAATAATTTCTTTGTTTTATTGTTATATCGTTATTATTAAAAAATTAACATAATCAATTTTTGTACAACGCATAAATTAACCATAGAAATGCAGAGCTGCATAACCTAAAATAATAATAATAAAAATCAAAATGTAAAATAGAAAAACACGCACGGTGTTGTCAACGGAACGCTTCACAATTATTCATTCTATTTACACTTATTTTAAAATTCAAATTAGTCTTTAGTCGGACGTGGAACCGTTAGTCTTTGCGGATTCGTCCGTGCACATTTTCTCCAGTTCCTCGGACCTTTTGATGGTGATGCGCGCCGACAAGATGTGCTTTAAATTCGCATCAGGATTCCTTAGTTCATCGGAATTGTACGTCAGTTTCCGTTTCCGCGTCGGATAGGAACCTTTGCTGTCGCTTCCGTTCACCGCCGTCGCCTCTTCCTTCTCTACCGGCTCCTGTTTAATCTCAACTTTTGGCAGATGCTCGAAAAGCTTTTTCGATATTTTTATTTTGATGCCCTTTCTAATCGGTTTGCCGGAATTTTCGGATTTTTCATCACTTTTATCGCTTCTTTCCGAAACTTTGTCTTTGTCCTTGCTTGTTTTTTCCTCCTTGATTATTTTATCCTCCTTGGTTGTTTTATCTTCCTCGGTCGTTTCATCTTCCTTGGTTGTTGTATCTTTGTCGTCTTTTTCAACATCGTCAGATTTTGTTTCTACCGTTTTTTCCTCTTCCTCGTCTTTTTTAGCACCTTTGGGATCTTTATCGTCGTCTTTCGATTCGGCATCATCCTTCTTTTTCTCTGGTTCCACCTTTTCGTCGCTGATGTCCAAGGGGTCCTTTTCCGGCTCGATGACCGGCGTAACGTCGTCCGGATCGTCCGGAATCGTAATGCACTCCGAGGGTACGGTTTGAAGCGCGGAAAAGGATTTAACTCGCAGAAAACCACCGGGCGGTTTTTTCGACGACTTGGGCAGTTTCACGATCGTCGACGACGGTTTCGGTACCTCTTTCGAGGATTTGTTCTCCTTGTTGCCCAAGGACGATAAGGTGATCGCAGAGGGAAGTGTTGCCAACGGAGGCGGCTCCGTCGTCGTGTTGTTAACTATAACCACGTCGTCGTCGGGTATGGTGATGATGGGTTCTTTCGGCGGAAACCGGATATTTTTGATGCCCGAAATGAACTCCGTGCGCAGGTTCTTTCTGATCTGAATCAGCGAGTTAATGGAAGAACTCAGTATCTCCTGCAGCTTGTTGTGGACCACGGCCAAAGCTTCGACGGTGCTCGCTTGCGCCTGCGCCCTGCCCAGCTGCGTCAACGTGTACGACAAGTTCGAGTTCACCTTGGCGGTGGAACGCACCGTTTTCTCGAACCACTCGTGGCGCATCTGTCCGGGTCGCTTGATCGCCGCCCCCGCGGCGGGGGAGGGCGCGGAAGCACGAGGGGCGTTCGTGGGGGTGCGAGGCGACGCTCCCTTGGCCTGGCTCACCCATTGGCCGCGCGCCTGGCCGATTCGCATGGGCGGGCGCTGCCCTCCCATACCACCCGGAACGATTTTCACGAAGCCGTGCGATGCGGCTGAAACAATAAAACACACCGTTCATTTCATTCGTTATTCCTTGATATTGTTAGAATGAAGTGCAATATTGTCGATATGGTTCCTCGTGATCTTGATGATTTTTGATGAAATCATTTCTCTGACTTTCTTCCAATAATCCCGTAATTAAACACGGTAAATTTAAAAAAAAAATCTTAAATTTTGTATTCTTAAGATTTACCACAATAAATTTAAAAAAAAATATGTACATTTTAAAAAACAGCTAAAGTGAAACTTCTTTTGGACAATTAAATTAAATTCGTGTTCTGTTTTTATTTAATTAATAACAATGGTTTACAGCCAAAATGTACATTAGATCCCACTATTTTTTTCGAATGTATTTTGGCCTGCTAAACACAAAAATCAGAATAATGGAAAGGTATCCAAAATTTGATTTTTTATTAAAAAAAAATGTTGACATTCACTTTTTTGCCAAGAACGAATAAAAATCATCGAAACATGGCCATTTTCGAGTTATTTACGAAGAGTCCACTTTTGCGAAGAATACAAGGTATTTACAAAAAAAATCTATAGATAAATGGAAAAGTTACACAGCAAACGGAAAATTATAGAACTGTATAGGATGACTCCGCGTTTGAATATTAAATCTTAAAGTTTTATCAGAACTGTATTGAATCGTGCTTTGTTTTTATATTTTTCGGCTCTATACCTATACACGACTATATTTAAAGTCAAACTCAATGGTGTCTTACAAGATACATTATTTTGATTTTCTATATTCAACAGAGAGGTAGAAACTCGACCCTGTCGAATGGTGCAGTCATTTATGTCTCTAGAAATTATTAAAAAAGGGTTCAGTCCAATGGTGCAGCAACTTCGGATTCCTATTCTCTTCAGAGACATAGAAACTCAAGCTTTTCGAATTTTACTGGCAATGATTTTCGTTAATGTCCCCGAGAATTATACAAAAACAGCGCAATGCAATATCGCATCGGTTTCGACTCTACCAAGTTATAGAAACTGGAGTCTCTCTAATACTGTTCTAGTCAATATTTCTGAGAGAATAAAAAAAAGGGTGTAATATTGCAAGAAGTTTTAATCTTGATGGATGCAAGTAGTTTGAATTTTCTTATTTCTGCATATGATTTTGTTGAAAATAGTTCCTTTCTTTGGTTCCTTTGTCTGATTTTTATTTACCGTAACAACTCAGGTATACCTATATACATATATGTAAAGCACAGAGGATATGATGTTAAGTATATTTATGTATTATATAAAGTACCTATATTTGTATTAAAAATTTCAGAGGTTATGTTGAAAAAATGATCGATATGCTATTAAACTTTAATAATTTAGTAATGAGGTCTGTTGGTAGACCCTGCACTATCTCCACTGGTATATGTTAGTACAGCAATATTTAAATCTGGTTGATGAAAAAGTACACACCAGTGCAGGTTATTGAAGCATTTACGAACAAATGAATTAATGGCCCATTGGCAATTATTCCTTTAGGAAAAATATTCAACACAGCTTAATTAATTAATAAAATGAAAAAAATCACAATAATGTCGTATATAGTTTTTTTTAAGCATAAAATAATTTTTATATTAATACTAGTTCAAAAGTGAAATAACGACCTCTATACTGTGGAGAGTATTGAAACGCTCGACTGACTATTACAAATCTATACCGTGGGGAGATTTAGAAAACTATATTCAAACGTGGCGTCATCCTATACACTTCTATAATTTTCCGTTTGCTGTGTATGACCGTTTAAGTACAAGGCAAAATTCAACTTTGTGTTTATTTTTGGACTTTTACGTTATTCATAATGAATTTACAATCCAATTCGAGGAAGAGTTTTGGTCGTTAATACACTGGGCGTCAAAATTAACGCATAACAAGTAAAAAAAAATCCAACTATAAAACGCCTTTACCAATTTTTATTAACTTTTGTATAAAAATACTTTAACTTGTATCTCAGTTTACGTGTTCAAGGGTTTTTCGAGAAAATATCCTTAAAGCCCTTTTTATTTAATAATAAAAAATGCTGGAAAAAACCTTTATAAGGAAATTTTTTGAAGTAAATAAAAAATATGCTGTATAACCTAAAAATGTTGTACAAATCAAACGAACAGTAACGAAAATCGCTCCAAAGTCGTCAAAAATGATCACTTTTCAGCAAAACACTGTATCTTTGTTACTGTTCGTTTGATTTGTACAAAATTTTCAGGGTATACTAAAAAAAATTATGTATTTAATAGCATATTTTTTATTTAGTTAAAAAAATTCCCTAAATGGCTTTAAAAATATTTTCTTATAAAACCCTAGAACACTTAATCTATATATAAGTTGAAGTATTTTTATACAAAATTTCATAAAGATTGGTAAAGGCGTTTTAGAGTTTTTAAATTATTATGCGTTAATTTTGACGCGCAGTGTAGAATCAGAATTATAAATAACATTTTAATATATTAAATATTTTGATTTGCCTTTAAAAAAACCAATTGCTCATTAAAAGAATCCGAGAGAGCATGTAGTTTTTCTACTTTTTTAACTACTTTTTACGAATATTTTATCAAGTAGTTACAACTGAGTAGTTTTTGAACTACTTACGAATAATTTTTGAAGACCTAAAAAATCGAGTATAACTACTAGGTAAAAAAGTAGTTAAAATACGATTATTTAAAAAAGAAAAGTAGTTAACTACATTTGTAGTCAACTACTGCCCAGCTCTGGTTATATTAGAGTTAGCCTTTATAGGGCCTCTAGTTCATTAAAGGCACGTTTATAAAGGGCCTTTACGGTTGCGTTTGCTGGGATATTAGTCGGAGATTCGATTATGTTAAAATTTGACACCTTGTCCAATCAGATTGGACGTTTCTAACTCGAAATATGACCCAAGCTGCCTTCGAAAAACAAATAAAAATTCATATCTTGAAAACCTTGCCATAATGTGATTTTAGAGTTTAACAGGCCAAAATTCATTAGCAAAAATAGTGGCACTGAATGTACATTTCTTTTCTTTTTTTTGTAAACCAGTATATAATCATTATGTACTTATTTAAAAATTTTGGAAATTTGTTCTACCAATTTTTATAATTAACCTCCAGTATTCTGTGCAAATTTTGTCCAAAATTTTTTAATTTTAAACCAGTGTGCGAATTTTGTTGCCGTTTTCGGTTCATCTTTAGCACCGCAAAGTTGTGTGGTTTACCCGGTCCGCAAAGAAGTTACACTTAAACAAAAAAAAACTCAAAAGATGTACTCACTTTGACCAGGGCCGCGCATCCTGACGTTGGGCCCCATCAGCCTGGGCATCTGCTGTCCCGATTTGTTCATTACGAGCATGGGCTTCATGGAGTTGCCGTCCTTCTTCGTGGGCGGCACCAACGTGATTCCGGGCATGTTGAACTTGGCGGCGAAGGGATTCGGTTGCAGCGGCGGCAGGTTTGCTTTCATGACGGGAGTGTTGGAAGTGGTGGGCTTGATACGAATCAAAATATTATTAATGTCGTAAAATAAAATAAATTGTATTTAATGTATACGCTAAAGAAGTGTCTGGTTTTCGCAACGCGCGCGCCATCTGGTGGACTTCGAATGCATTGCGTGAATTTAATAATTGTCAACAATACATTTAAAGCACAGATTATACATCATTTTTAAATAAATAGGTAGTTTTTTTTTTACCAGAGAGGAAGGCATAAGTCTTACTCGACAAATTTTGTTCAATTGCACAGCTAAATCGCGCACGTTATTTGTGTTTTACGTTGCAAGGAAAAAATTAAAAAACTTTCGATTGATTATTCCTTATATCATTGATTAAGAAACTCAACGCTTTAATGCTTATATAGTTACGTTAGTGTGTGTATTTTATCAAAGGGTTCATGGTGAATTATTGTGTTTTTAATTGTAAATAAAATTCGAGAACTAAATCGTTGCATTTTCATGTTTTGCCAAAGGATCCAATTCAATAAGTACATTTGTTGGTGCAGAATTAACTATTGATAATTTTATTTAATACAATGTATATTTAAGTTTGGACATTTTTAAGAAATTATTAAAAAATAATTTTTGCACAAACATAACCTAAAAATCAACCATTTTTATATTTGAGTTTTCTAAAAAACGCCGACAACTGCATTTTAAACAACAAAATATCCCTACGAATTCATGGCAACATAATATTATACAGTGTGTCCGTAAAGTCCCGGAACATGTGATTATTTTGAAAACGGTATTTTTTTTAAAAATACGCTGAAACACGTCAACTTTGGTATTTTTCTAACAATATTTTAGCATACGTAGTTGTTCCAAAATCTGCCGCGTAGCGGCGCCCCAATCGAAGTAAGGTTTTTTTAAATTACAACCCTTAATTTTTGTTGCATTTTTGGATAGCTACCGTCGTCCTGAGTACATTGATATGCTACATGTGGAGGGTTACATAAGAAAATTTTTGAGAAAAGTAGGTTTTTGCCGCTGATTAAGATTTTAGTTTTGACGAACTTATTCGCTGTTACGGGGCACTATGCATTGCTAGTAAGGGATTATTTAAATCAGGTTTTTCCCAATCGCTGGATAGGTCAAAGGGGTCAAATTGAGTGGCCAGCGCGATCGTCCGATTTGAACCCTTTAGACTTCTTTTTATGGGGACCTCTTAAAAACCGCGTCTATGTAAACAGGCCTTAAAATTTGGACGACCTAAGACACCGCATTCAAGCCGAGATCCAGATGATCACTCCAGCGGTACTGGCAAACGTACAACGCTCGTTTGTAGACAGGCTGTTCCATTTCCAAATAGTTTACGGTGGACACTTTGAGCAACTGCTCTGATTGGCTTTCCAAAAAACATTAAGCAACGCATAGATTGTGTAAGTTTGACAAAATACCAAAATCTCATTCGGCAGCAAAAACCTGATTTTCTCAAAAATTTTCTTATGTAACCCCCCAGATGTGGCACATCAATGTAATCAGGACAACGGTAGCTATCCAAAAATGCAACAAAAATAAAGGGTTGCAATTAAAAAAAAACTGACTTTGATTGTGGCGCCGCCACGCGGCAGAATTTGGAACAACTACATATGCTAAAATATTGCTAGAAAAATATCAAAGTTGGCGTGTTTCAGCGTTTTTAAAAAAAAATTACCGTTTTCAAAATAATCACATGTTCCGGGACTTTACGGACACACTGTATATATTACATAATATAATGGTATTTTACCGTTGAGTGGAGACTTTCTTAATCAACGCTTTTAATAATGCTAAATGCTGTTTAAATTTAGACGACTTATTTGTTTGACGATTTTTACTAAATTGAAATGTTTACACTATTCACGTTAATCATTACTAAAATGTGTATTTATTGTATCTAATAGTTACAATTTATATTTACATTGACTGTATGAAATTTATTTCTTCATTCAGATTAACACTGTTTATTGGAAAACCGGTAAAAACTAAACCCAGGATTTCCTCTCGAAATACACCCAACAACACAACAAATCGAGCCACGGTTTTTTTTTTCGACATTTTTTAACATTTTCCGGCTTTATTCTCATAAACACTCGTTTGTAACATAAGCGTTTGACAGCTGATTATTTAAGTTATACTTATGCTACGATGATAACAGGTGGCGCTACTAGCGATACTTATTTAGCGTATAACTACAGTTCATTTTTTTTTATTTGGACTCGTGTTTTTTTATTAAGTTAGTAGCTTATGCCACTTGATTTAGAATTTTTAGTATTTAAAAAATGTTACTTCTGCTGAAGACCTTAATTAAATGTCAAATGTCAAATGGACAGTAATTAAATATTATTGATAATTTACTTTTTAATTATTATATAATATCGATATAAAAAGATAACTATGTCAAAAATAATATCAGATTCTAAAGTAAAAGAACTTTTAAGGGCAAAACTTCATTTTTATGAAGTTATGCCAAATGGCACAAAAAGTGGACATTTTTGGAGTAAAAAAGTAACTTTTTTGGTTTTACAAATATTAAATCACACATTATTTTCATCCCAGCAATTTTTGAATTTTAAAAAATAAGGGGGAAATAAAAAAACAAAAAATAAAAATTATTTGCTGTAAGGTTCAACATTTTTATAAAAATCTAGTAGTTAATTTTCCTGTCTTTGAAAATAGCATCCATTTGGTTTGAAAAAGATAAGCATTAATCACGAAACTTTTCCTTCTTTCAATTTGCAAGTTACTTATCATTAATAGTCCTGGACAATACATACATTATAATTATTATTAAGTATTAACGTCCAGTGGCTTTAACAAAATACCCATTCGCCATAATGATTGGAGTCCAATGATTGAACAACAAAAAAATATCGATTTGAAATTTTTAATGAGTTTATAATCCAATTAGGCCTATTTTATTATTTTATTATTATTTTATTTTAAATAAAATGCCACTTCTGGTTAGACCGGAAGTGACATCAACTTTGTTATTTTAAATAGAACACCCCATATATTTTTACATTTTTAAATTCTACATAAAATTTTGAGTAAAATTACTGTACCATGTCCTATACCTAAAGTGAATAGTTTTCGAGAAAAATAGCCTATAACTTTCTTGCTATTAGGTTTCTGGAAATGGGGGTGAAATTTTTGGAATCTTAAAACATTGTTTAAGAGACTCCATGTATGTAAATTCCTTAACATACCGGGTGTTAGATTTAAAGTAAAAAGTTATTAACGTTTCAAGTTAGCCCAATTTGCCCTGGGTTTTCTCGGGTAATTTGTTATAAAATGTTAAAGAATTGACATGGAATTTTTTAAACAATGTTTTAAGATTCCAAACATTTAACCCCCATATCCGTAAACCTAATAGCAAACATCTAGAAAACTATTCACTTTAGGTATGGTAATTTTACTCAGAATTTTATGTAGAATTTAAAAATGTAAAAATATATGGAGTGTTCTATTTGAAATAACAAAGATTAAAATATTTAAACAAAAATAGACTTAATAGATTATAAACGCTTTTAATTTTCAAATCGATATTTTTTCCGTTCCCAAGAACCTTCCAATGGACCACAAATATGAGACAATATCAAGTGGTGTTTTTAGGTTGTGATACCACTATAGATTCGAAAGAAATGTATAATTGTCAAACTAAAAGATTAAGATTTGTTTTTACATATTTTTAATATAAGATAAATATGTTGTTTTATTAAAAAAAATCTAAAATTAAAGCCAGAAATATTTTTACTTAAAAAAATAAAATTGATATTTTTGTATTATGTAAAAACATAAAATATTTGAAGAAAAAAATGATTTATAACAAAATAGAGAATTAAAAATCTGTTTAGGTTAAAATAATAAGAATGCATTCTGCCATGGCTGTGTACAAAATTTAAATGACGTGATTCGTGAAACGGTGATACACGGGTACGTTTTTGTAACCTTTATTTTAAAAATCTGTTAAAATTTTTCATGGGAGGAAAGTTGTGTTGTACTGTGTAAATATTATTGTCAATTTGACAGTGTCAGAGTAATTAATTAAGGTCTTCAGCAGAAGTATCATTTTTTAAATACTAAAAATACTAAAACAAACTGGCATAAGCTACCAACTTAATAAAAAAACAGACCAAATAAAAAAATGAACTGTTGATAAAAAACAAACACTCTTCAGAAATAAGCTACTGTGTTAGCGAAACAATTGTCAAATTAAATAAAAATAAATACGTGAAACTCAGAAAACGGTGTTTGTTTTTTATCTAGTTCTACATTAGTGACATGGAGTTTCATCAAGTAATTTAAGGTCGAAACAATAAAATTAATGTACAGTTGTATTCATTAAAAAAGCGTACAAGAATTAGAATGAGAGAAAACTGTCAACATTATTGCGTAAAACCGGTTTTCCACTGACTTAAGTCACTATAACTGACAGTAGAAAATAAAAATGCCTCGTCAGTTAAAAAGGCTCAAATAGTATCAAGAATCGAAGAAGAATGGTGAATTCGTACTGTGGTATAATAGAAATAAAAAATCTATATTAAAAATTAAGCAACGCTGGGAACAGGAAGATTTACTAAACCAAAAAGTTGGTTCAGGTCGTCCCAAAATGTCCACCCCTGAACAGGATGATGCTTTTTTGAGATATCTGAGGATTTATGGGAAACTATACAACTATACTATACCTACTATACTGCTGGTAAGATATTAATCCAAATATTGTATTAAATTTAATTCAGTTCATCCCAAATAGATTGGCTCAAGTAATAGAAAAACAGGAATGCATGACTAAATATTAAATTTTTTTTAATGTTTGTTTTTTCATAATAATAGAGTAATTGCATCAAAAATGAAAATCCCTAAAAACCTTTTTATTGTAATCTAGAGGTAAAAACACATTGCGAAAATATTTTTTTATATTCCAAAAGTTCAACCCGGGCCCAAAATATCAAATTGAAAAAAAGGTACTTTTCAAACGTTCCGAACTCCCGCCATATTGCATGACGTCATAAGCTACAACTGTCAGAAATCAAGATGTCAACAAATAATAAACACCGATAAAGTTTATGTTTAACATGGAAAACGCGAAACCAAAAATTGGTTGTAAATATTGTTTTGTGCCTTGTACAAATACAACCTGGAAAACTCCTGGGAAAAGGTTTATCACCGTGCCAAAAGGGAAAATAAGGATAAAGTGGATTAAAATAGCTCGGCGCGACATCAAAACATCGTCACCGCAGTCAACATTTTATTGATCATTTTAAGGATCATTTTAATGTAAGTAAAATAAAATGTCGTTTACTAGGTATATGGTTTGAATAGGTATGTTAAATATTAATAAACCCAAGAAAATACGGCTGAGCCGTAACTACTCTCAGTGTAGGGTCATAAACAAATACAGATAGGAAGTAAAGAAGATGACGAAGAATTAACAAATCATTCATCAGGAAAAAGCAAAAAAATATGGCTGTTTCTAAGTAAATTAAATGAGTCGGTTACAGAAGAAATAATAAAAAATTATGTCTCCAAACACGCAAAAACAAAAGTAGAAGATGTTGATGCAAAAGAATGCGTTGCCAAAAATCAGAAATCTAAATCAAAAAGATTTATGGTAGGTGTACATATAGATTTAAAAGATATAGTTTATGATTCCCAATTCTGGCCTAAAGGGCTTACCTTTGAAAGATTTAACTTTACTCTAGGTAGGAATTTTTTAGACAAAACAACAGCACAGGATTAAACACAAAAGAAAAAATCAAACAAAAACAACTGGTCATAAATAATCAAAATTATATACTATGCAATGTTAATATACAATGCATAAAAAACAAAATGGATCAACTTAAAATTTGATTACTAAAGGAAAATATTGATATATTAACCTTAACTGAACATTGGGTAAAAGCAGATGACATTATGGATAAAATAGTATTCCAAGGATATAAAATAGCAGACAGTTACTTAAGGAAAAGGTTTATACATGGTGGATCAATGATCTTATGTAAAAATAGCATTAAGTTTTCGATACTTAAGGAGGTCAAAGATTTTTCTGAGGATATTGATATTGAAATGGCCGCTATACTACTTGAAATAACAAACACTGCTATAATTGCTATATATAGGTCACCCAATGGAGACTTTAATATTTTTCTTAACAACTTATATGAAGCCTTAAATCTAATAATAATAATAATAGTAAGTGGTGATTTTAATGTAAATTTTTTAGAAACTTCAAGGGAAAAAGATTTACTACTTAATGTATTTATTAGCTATAACATGAAATATATTATATATGAACCCAGTAGAGTAACAGCACAATCGACCACATGTATAGATAACATATTTTGCAACTTTAATGTATCAAGGGCCCAAGTAAAAACTCAAAATCTTCACCTTGGCGACCATTATGCACAATTTATAAAATTAGAGGCAAAAAAAGAAACATATAATAATGAAATACAATTTGGTAGAAATATATCAGTTGAGAGTACTAACCATATAAAAAAAACCTTAAATTCAATAGACTGGCCAACTTTATTCTATAATAAAACATGTGAGGAATCATTTAAAATATTTTTTAATAATCTTACATTAATGTTAAATAAATTTGCACCTGTAAAAAGGAAAGTAATAAACAAAAAACCCAATAAATTAAACTGGTTTTCACAGGAATTACATGAAATGGAAAACATTCTTAATGCACTACACACAATATTTAAAGTACAAAAGACACAAGAAGCGTTTAATGCCTACAAACAATACAAACATATTTATATTAACAGAATTAATCAAATTAGAAGGGAAAAAAATGAAAACCTTATATTAGACTCAGAAAATAAAACAAAAATGATATGGAAAATAATCAACAATGAAACAAAACACCTAAGTAAAGTCAAACCAGAATCCATGATAAGTGCCAATACTTTTAATGTGTTCTTCTCAAATGTTGGAGAAAACATAATAAAAAATATGCCAAAAGACACAAATCAAGCATTAATCCAATTAAAGAAATCTACCCATAGATGCCCCCATACGTGTTTTTTCGAACCAGTAACCTACAAAGAAGTCTCAAGTATAACCAAAACAATAAAAACAACACATACAAAAGATATTTATGACATGACAACCTTTTTTATAAAAAACTTATCAGACGAGGTGGCTATTCCACTTACCGAAATATTAAACAAAAGCTTAATGGAAGGACATTTTCCAGAACTTCTAAAAGAGGCCAAAGTTATACCAGTTTTTAAAAAAGGTGATAAAAATGAGCCAACAAATTATAGACCTATATCAATACTACCGGCATTTTCAAAAATTTTTGAAAATGTTATAAAGGCCAGATTGGTAAGCTTTATGGAAAAATATTATATTCTTGGACATCAACAATATGGCTTCAGAAAGAAAAGAAGTACGATTTCAGCTATAATTGATATGTTACAGGAGCTATACCAAGCGGATGATGAAAACAAAAAAATTGAGTTAATATCATGCGATCTATCTAAGGCTTTTGACTCAGTTAATCATGAAATCTTACTTGATAAACTGGAGTATTATGGAATTAGAGGAAACCAATTAAAACTAATAAAAAGTTATCTTGAAAATCGAAATCAACTCGTATATTGGAATAATAAAACATCAAATAAACTTACATTAAAACATGGAGTCCCACAAGGTTCAATACTTGGTCCAATCCTATTTATAATCTACATTAACGATTTACTATTTAAAGATGAAAATGTTAGTACTTACCTATACGCAGACGATACCACCTATCTGATTCGCAATACTACTTATGCTGACCTAAAAGACAATGAACACAATATACTTAATAAAAGTACAAACTGGTTTACCTCAAACAAACTTCAAATTAACAAAGATAAAACCCAAATACTTAGTATTGGAGAAAATGTAAATGATAACCTTAAATTCTTAGGCATAGTAATAGACAATAAACTTAACTGGACTGCACATATAGAAATGATAGAAAAAAAGTCTCCAAAGCAATATTTACAATACACATGATGAGAAAAATTGGTACATCACAAATAGCAAAAGCAGCTTACTACGCAAATTGTCATAGCATCCTGTCCTATGGTATTTTGTTATGGGGCCAATCATCAGCAGCTACCAACCTATTTAAATTACAGAAAAGAGCTCTTAGGGCTCTATGCAACCTTAAACAAACCGAAAGCTGTAAAGAATACTTTAAGAAAGAAAATATTCTTACCTTACCGTCACTCTATATTTTTGAATGTGTAAAGTATGTAAAAAATAATATGCAAATATTTGCACAAGTTGGCCAACACCAAATAAACACCAGAAACAAAAATAAATTACAAATACCACTTCATTTAAAAAAGAGAACCCAGCAAGGCGTGGACTACTGGGGAGCGAAACTATTTAACCATTTACCAATTTCCTGGAGCCAGCAGCCAGAAAGAAGACTTCTTACACTATTGAAAACATATTTATTAAACAATTCATTTTATTCAATTACAGAATTTTTAGAATTACCTATTTGTACAAAATGTTAGTTTCTTATTTATTTATTTTTTACATATTTATTTATATTTATTATTGTCGTATATTAAATTTTATATTTGTATTAAATTTAAACTTCTTGTTTTGTGTGACATTTCATGTAACTTTTGATTGATGAAATAAATATTCTATTCTATTCTATTCTAAACTTTGCTTTTGATAATTGAAGGGACAACTTTCCCAGGAGTTTTCCAGGTTGTATTTGTACAACAAGGCACAAAACAATATTTACAACCAATTTTTGGTTTCGCGTTTTCCATGTTAAACATAAACTTTATCGGTGTTTATTATTTGTTGACATCTTGATTTCTGACAGTTGTAGCTTATGACGTCATGCAATATGGCGGGAGTTCGGAACGTTTGAAAAGTACCTTTTTTTTAATTTGATATTTTGGGCCCGGGTTGAACTTTTGGAATATAAAAAAATATTTTTGCAATGTGTTTTTACCTCTAGATTACATTAAAAATGTTTTTAGGGATTTTCATTTTTGATGCAATTACTCTATTTTTGTAATATTATTTAATTAACCTACGACGTCAATGCTCTTTATAACCTATAATAATTATTTTAATGACTTATGTCAGTGATAAGCCGGTTTTAAGCAATAATATTATTTTGACAGTTTTCTCTCATTCTAATTCTTGTACGCTTTTTTATTAATACAACTGTACTTACCTTAGGTAAATCGATGGTGTCATCAATCGGAGCGTAATCGGGATCGTCGTTGCTATTTCTGCGCCTCTTTCTCGACGGCGTTTTCCCTGGCGTTTTCTCGCCTTCCACCAGTGCCGCCACCCCCTTGTTGACCTCCGACTTTTTCCTACCGCAGCACTGCGAGTGGTCCGTCGTCAAAAACGACGGCTCGTTTAACGTAGCTGCGCGCCTACAAAGAACCAATATTTAAGACAAAAACGTATTTTTTCGTCGTTGAAAACTTACGATGTTTCGTTACGAACGTATTCGAATAATTCAAAAGCGTGGGCTCGCAATGGTGCCAACTGAGCGGGATCGCAACGAAAACATTCCCATTCGTCGCTCCTATTTACTTCCATCATTTTTTTGCGCCCGAAGTTGTTCCGAACACATTTCTACAATAAGGCAATGTTAAAATTTAACATTCTCTATACGGCGCTTTTACATAACTTAAGTCTATTCAAATCCAAGCTGGACTAAATGTAAACACAATCCTCCGAATCGACCAATAAGAACTCACAATCCGAGTCACACCATCAGAATCGACCAATAAGAACGAGTTATCATGCGTCCGGGCGTTTTTGTTTAGTCCAGCTTGGATTTGAATACACTTTAGGGTTTTAAAGTGTAGGAAAAAAAAACGGAAAAATAGGGGGAAAAACCAGGCCTTGAAAAAAATGGCTTTTTTGGGAAATTTTGACGTTTTTTTGGAAAATTATTTTAATTTAAAAAAAAATATCCTTACAATAAAAAAATAAAACCAAGCATTAAATTAAATTAAATTGATTTAAGAAAATAAACATAAACATTAAATATACTGTCGGTTGGGTCTTTTTACAAAAAGGAATGAATTGAAAATATCCAATAACAAAATAATGAATGATTTATAAATTTAAATTGTAATTTTATAAATCAAAGTGTACACTTGTCAAATAAACCGAAAGTTATGTTAATACAGCATCGTCGATGATGTAACCGATACAGTTTTTTCAGTATCTAGGTACCGATACAGATACTCTCTGGTAGATGTATCTGGGTACAGATACCGATACATTTTCCCAAAAGTATCTGGGTACAGACACAGATACATTCAAAAAGTATCCAAGTTACTTCCAGATACTATGTTAAAAAAAAAATTTTTGGACCTTATAAACAAGCGTGTTAACTATAAAATAAAAGTGTTTTGATAAAATTGACGAAATATCCATGAAAAACGGAAATAAATTTTATATTTACGCGCCATATGAAAGCTTACTACAAAATTTGTAGTACAAATTCAAAATTATCAGAACGAAGAAAAATGCCTTCAAAGCCAACTATAGGTAACCTACAGCGCTTTTGTTTAACTTTACTCACTAGTGCCTAAGAGTTACTTTATGCACTTCGCACTCCAAAGTGGGTTGAAGGGAAAAAGAAATAAAATATCTTTTTATTATTTGTATTGTTCATCTCTTACGGGAGATATCAAGAATATCCAATGTAGGTATATATCCTGGATATCCATAGAGTATATCCATTGGATGTTCATTTTCCGTGTGGCCCACACGGTGTGGAGTTGCAATCAGGTTGGGTAAAATAAAATGTATCTTGTATCTAAGGATCTAGATACTTTCAAAAGGATCTAGATACTAAAGTAGATCCTGATTTTTTTAAGTATCTCGATACGTATCTAGGTACATAAAATGTATCTAGATCCAGTATCTAGATACATGTATCTCGATACATTACATCACTGAGCATCGAATATGTTTTTTTTGCGACCCGGTAGAATATTCTAATAATAAAAGGAATAATTATTATAATCATAATATTATGAATATATTCAGCGTCGAAAATTCACTTTTTCTCAAGATTAGTCCCATTTGCCTAATTTTTTATGTTTCCAGTCCAGTTCATGGACTAAAATTAGCCACTAAATGACATTTAGTAAATGTAAATACAGTCTCGCGCTATACACGCGCCACCACCCCCGAATTGACCAATAAGGGCCGCGATTGTTTTGATTTGGTCCTAAAAAACGTAACCACCTACAATATTTTTGATTCAGCGCTTGATTTTTCAAAAAGCTACCAAAAGCACTTTTTTCATGATTTTTCAAATTCATGTAGAGTATGGAAATTTTTTTTTTTAAAGAAACAATAGCAAATTCTTGTAGAATATTTATTCATTTGTGGTTAAATCAGAACATTTCGTGGACCAAAAAAGAAAGCCAAAGAAATTTCGAATTTTTTTATTCATTAGGATTGAGCGTTGCACGTTTTTCATCTAAAAATCTCAAAACTAGAAACTTTAAGCTTCAAATTGCTTTTATTATGTCTCCAATACGACCATTTTTAACGAAGATACAGCTATCCGAAAAATCGCAAAAAAAAATTTTTATCCTTTAATTTTTTTTATTAGTGTAGAAGTTTTACATTGCTGTTGGTTTCTTATGTGGAAACTACCAAATAATAAGAAATCAGATTTTTTAGTCTTGGTCAAAATTTTCAATAATGAAAAATGTAATATACCTATTCCACATTTCACTTTATTATAATAATCTTAAAAAAATGAATTTTTGAGTAAAATGTATATTAATATATAATTAGCGGATTTGAAAAAAAACAAAAAAAACCCCACGCACGAAGTTATAGTTGCAGTACTCGCCTTCCTAGATTCAACTAACACCAGGCTGTAAAACCCCCTGCTCTCATTTGCTCTGACCTACCCGCTTTGCATGGCTACGCCTTACATATAAAACCTAATACCCAAATTCCTTTTTACCAGCACGTTAACAGCCAACATACTACCCCGGATAACGCCTAAGAATCCAGACCACTGGCTGATATGGTTTACACAGACCAAGGCCAATAAATAAAAAAGAAGAAGAAGAAGAAGAACAAAAAAAACCGTTTTTTTTCAAGCGGCCATGATATACAATCCATAGGTGACTCAATAGACGTCAAATAATAAAATTAATTTAGCATTTCATACAAAGCATTCACGATGTATTAATTATATTAATTATAATCGCACGGAATATTTAGTGATTATTTATTAAATTTTAATTGAACGAAATAAAGAACAACTAGTTTATTAGTATAATATAATGATGATAGACGAGTCGCCAATGTCGGAACTCCAAACAAATGTCAGTACGTCAAAATTAATTCAAGCGCAGCATTTTGACAGAGCAGTGTTTATTTTTAGTTTAGGATATTTATCGGCATTGTAAGTAAGGGTTATAAGTTTTTTTACTTTTTATCAATAATTTGTAATGCTTTTAGCCAAAATTTTATACCACATGAGTTATAAGTAAATAAAATAATTCTATTGCTTATCCTATTTATATTACGCCATTGAAAAAAAAATTGTATATGTTATTTGGAGTAGAAGCTCTTTTTGTGCTTCGTACAGTTGCCTGCCTCAGCTACGCTTCAGCCGTCAATCTCTGTACTCACCACAAAAAGAGCCACTTCTACTCCTTATGACATAATCTACTATTTTTTCTAGTTTTTTTTTTATGTTTTTTTTTCACATCTGAAAAAAAACCGTTTTTTTACATCTCTAAATATGGGTCACAATAAAGGCTACAAAATTATAGAAATCCCTTTTGAAAATATACATTCAACTTTTCGATTCTTCTTTCTTACCTTGCAAAAGACGTACTCGCAGCGGGAGCAGCAAAACACTTGGCCGCCCTGGCCGCACCATCTGCAGTAGAGCTCGCTGCCGTCCTCGTCCTTTTCGAACTCGCCGCTGCAATAGAAATGGTAGCATTCCTTGCAGACCAACACCTTGAGCAGCGGATGGATAAATCGGTTTTTCTGCGAGTCTAGGGCCGAACCCAAGTGAACGTTGCACGCGGTGCAGTGCACCTTCGTTAACTCTATTGGGTTGTCTAAAAAGAGAAAATTTCGAAACTAGAAATAGAGTTTGGAGTTTTTGATTCCGAACATAATCGACTAAAACCCTTTTGCCCATTGAAAGAAAAACTCATTGCTAAAATAAATAAAATAAAAGGAAACGAAAAGAATATGAGGAACTTTTTAAGTAACTGAATCATCTTTAAAAGTAAATAAACACAATAATTACGCAATGCGTTAAGCCGAATGTTACTATGATGAGTTGTAAACACCAAAAATGAAAATACGGTATATATATATATACCGTAAATTAGTATATACTGTATACAGTATATACTAATTTAAGCCTACAAATAAATTGTGGTTTGCATGGATACAACACAAGGACCAACCAATATTACTATGTTCTTCCAAGTGCCAGGACCATAGGAACAAACAGAATAGCCCATTAAGCTGGGAAATGGTTTAATGAACTACCAGATTATGTAAAACTTGTAAATAACCTTGATTTGTATTGTAGACTACAGAAAAAGTATAATAATATACTATTACATGACTACAATTTGTAGTCATGTAATAGTATATTATTATACTTTTTCTACTTCTATATATTTCTACTTCTGTATATTTTTGTCATTATTTGGGGTTTTCTGTAAATACTGGTAACCAATATAACCGCCCGGCCTAACAACGGGAATAATGAACCCATTATTCACGTTGTTAGCCATGAGAGATTGGCTGATTTCAATATCACTGTTATTTGAATCAATAGGGTTTAAATTGGGAAAAAGTAAGGTTAACAGATGTCAGATTTGTTTATATAAACGAGAGTCGACTATAATGACTTTTAAAATCGGTAAAAAGTGAGGTTATAATAAATTTTGTTTTCAATGAAAATTACTTCAATTGAGTAGAAAAAGCATAGTATTTTACACTCGAAATAATGCGCATTATTTACACAGATGATTTACGTCCCTCGCCTGACGGCTCGAGACGCAAACCTCATCCTTGTGAATAGTAGCCTGCATTATCTCTGGTATAATAATATTTTAGTATCTACTCCAATAAGTAGACAAATCATTTTCAAAAAAAATCCGACATCTGTCAAATAGTTAACCTTACTTTTTAAACACAGTAAATATTGAAATCTGACAATCACTGAATCAATTATAATTAGTCAAAGAATGTGATCTTCTGTACATGGTTCGAAAATATCATGATATTTATATAAATATCAAAATATCGGATATATACAGGGTGTTTTAAAAAAACATGTGCCAATGCTCAGCTAGGGGATTTGTCATACAAGTCATATTGAAATATTACATTGTTGGTGGCCCTTATAAAAACAAAAGATGGTAGAGAAGAAATTATTAAAATAATTTGATGCAAATTAATGTGTATATATTTTTACATGTGAAACTTACTTTTTTTTCCAGAAATAACGATTTTTGGTATTGAAAGATTTGTTTTTTTGAAATATTTTAAAAACCGCTGGCTTTTTTCCCATTTATAAATTTCATTTTAATAGGCTTGTAATTAAACAACTTTTGTCTAATTTAACCAATCTTGTAGTTCTTCAAATAAAAAGTATATGTAGGTACCCAAAGGAGTATACACACAGGATACTTGGTGCACACTGTATATTGGTAGAACGCAAATTTTGTAAAAACTATTAATTCCTGTAAATGTTTAGTGTTTATATAATTTTTAAAAAAATCAGTGCCAAATAATATTATTTGTCCAAAATTAATTTTTGGTGATGGTTCACTTAACCATTTTAACAAGCTTTTTTATGCGCGAGCGAAGCTAACGTAGCAAGAATGTTTAGATTCGACCATTCTGTTTCTAACAAAAGATTTTTTTTCAAAACTATATAAACAATAAAAACATTTTCTAAAAATGGGTTGTAAGCACAAAATTAAAAGAATTTTATTAGCATAATGTTTCTCTATATTATTTAGGAGTACGGCTTTAAAACTAGCAAACTTGATTACTTACTTGGTCCATAGGTGTCATTTCTTAACTTCTGCTCTTCTACAGTCAAATTAAAGGAAACTAAAATAAAAAATATGTTACAAACATGAAAAAATATTATTCATTAATAATTACTTTCTGCACCAGTCATCTCATCAACCAAAGTGGAAAATATCGGTTCATACAGCAAAGGACTTGTGGATCCATCATTTGGTACTGCATCTAAAATAAATAAAGTATTTAATAAACAGAATTTTAGTTATTATTTCTGTAATTACCACTGTTAGTATTAACAGCACCCTCTTCAATATCCATGGATACTTCAGGACACAGAAGAGATGTATCAAAATCATCGTCCATGTAATTATCATCATAGTTTTCAGATGTCGTTAAAGTATCCTTTAGAATAGAATCTGTGTTATTATCAGTCTCATCTGTATTTCCTGGTTTTTCCTTTTCTGCATTCTCCTTTCTTATATTCACCGATTCAACTTTATCATCCAATTTGTTGGATTCTTCTTTATTTTCTTTACTTTTTTCCTCAGAATTATTTTTCTGATCACTTACATCCATTTTCTCACCTTCTTTTAATACTTTATCAGTGCTTTTATCAACATTATCTACTTCCATTTTTTCTTCTTCTTCCACAACAGATTCATCTTTATTTTTTTCACATTCTTCAACTGAATCATCTTTTAGCTCCTCACTTTTGTCACAGTCAGTTTCTTTAATAGAATCATCATTTTTGTTGGTTTCAGGCGAATCCTCATCAACAAGTTCATTCTCTTCAGGTTTTTTTAATTCTTCACTTCTCTTACATTCTATTTTATCATCAGAATCATCCTTTTCGTCAGTATCATCAAGTTTATTTTCACTCTCTAAATTGCTTTTATTTTCTGGGTTTGAGTCACCATTCGTACTTGTGGTCTCTATGCTATCATCTAATAAAATATTTATTATTAAAGTCTGCACAATATGGATGTCTTAATGTTTATTACCTTTAGTGGGTTCCACACCTGTATCCTGACTATCAGACTCTAAAATAACGAAAAATACAATATAAACGTGATAATTAGTTGTTATTTTTTGTTTACCTTTCGATTTTTCCTCATTGGAATGATCCAAACCGCTTTTACTCAAACTGTCATCTAAAAATATTCATTAAGACAACATCACTTATAAAAACCTGTATAACTCACCATCTAAATTCGCTGTTTCGCCAAAATCGTTGCTCGCGGTGCCCTCGTACGTGCTTAATAAATCTAAAACTTGAAAATTCACGAAAAGCGTTCAATTACTAAAGAAAAAGTGTACCTGTTTGCAGTTCTTCCATTTTGAGGTTAAAGGCATCAAACTTAAATCAACCGCTTTAAAAATTACGAAAGCAAAACGTCAAAAATGTCATGTCCCAGCGAAATAAAACAAAATAAATCCCTAGGATTCAAATTTGCCGACACACCAACTATGATGAGCACTGCGTGTTTATTAAAAAACTCGATTTATTAGCTGAATTTAACGAAAAACTCATACACAGGTTCGTAACGATGAAATTTAGACAAAGTTAATCACGAAACTCCGTCGAATGGCGGGACAACGCCGGAAAGCAGTTTCGGTAATTTCACATACAAAATGCTAACATAAAGGAGGACGTGTGTCGGTGCTTGCGACGGAAAATCACCGGTACGGTGCATTTCGACCACGCACGAAGCAACACGAACGATTCAAGGTTAAGTAACGCGGTCAATAACTTTCGCTTTAGAATCGAAATGTGTCAAATTTTTGATTTTTTTAGTGTGACGTTGTAACCGCGGAAAATGCGCTGTTTTATGTTTAGTTAAATATTTAATTTCTTACCTGAGAAATCATAGTTGTTATTTGACATTTTAGAGCTTTTGACAGTTTAACATTTTGACAGTTGACAGTTTGTTTTTTATGTTTGTTGCACGAAGACTAGACTATAGTCTTCGTGATTTGTTGTTATGGTTATTACGTTTAAACGTAAATTTATTTCAATTTTTTTATCTACCTAATATTGAGGAGCTGTGACTTTATGGCATTTTAGTAACGGGCTGAAGTTGGCAATAGTGGCTTTTGGACATTTTAGTCACGGGCTGAAGTTGATTTAAATCCCTTGACATTTGACATGACAAATGAAATTGGCTTTAAATTCTTCTTTGTGTTCGTCGTTCTATAGATATTATATATAAACTTCTCTATAGACACCCGTTTATATTAAATACTCGCTTGCAAGCTTCGCTCGTGCCTAATAAAACTCGTAGGTAACTAAAATGGCATTTATAAAACTTGATACATAATATACTATTTTATCATAGACCATTAATATGCATTTCCATTTCCATTATTTTATTTTCATGGATCGCTTTTTTAATTTAAACTCTCTTAATCTAGTAGGCAGGCGCGTAGACAGAAAAAAAATTGGGGGGGGGGGCGTAACATAGAGATCACATTGAATTTCTAAAAAAAATTAAATCTTAGCTAAGATTTAATTTTTAATTTTTGTTCTAGAACACCATTTTTTTTTAACTCCTAGAACACAACGGTTTTCCACATTCCGAGGGGGTTCGAATCCTGCCTACGACCCAGCTAGTAAGGCTCTGTAAGTATTAAGCACTCAAGATCTATAGTTAATTACTTATCTATCGCTATTTTTTACAAAATTGGCTTTTTTATATAACATTAATATAATATATTACATTAAGTTTAAATAAAAAATCTCTGTATACAGGGCGTTTTAATTAACACCATCCAACAAATCATTTTTAACATTTGACGTACGTCAAATGTTAAAAATCTCAACCGATATCCGATCGAATTCCGTTCAAACACGTTTATTTTGTAGGCGACACAAAAGCGCGCTGCAATCAAAGACGTACGCGCAAAAATCTGCCTGTTGCCAAGCTGAGTGCTTGTGCGGAAGAAAGTATAGAGCACCGCCTTTCCCCGGTCAACGCTGCCAATAAAATCTACTACGCACGAAACAAACGCCGACGGCGACATAACCTGCAAAGCGCACGCGCATACGGCCCCTCCCACCGCCACGTAGCAACTTTTGTCATGGAAACGCGACGATTCGTCGCAGACGATATTGTTTACGCTAAGGTGACTTAGCAATTAAACAACTTTTTGAGGTTATGTTTTTATTTATTCTTCTTTAATTAACGCCATTTGTAAAAGTGGTATGACTGATATGCTGGATAGGTCGGCTAGAACAGCTTCCACGCCTTGGAGGTTGTGTACCCTCAATAAATTTTCTTTTCGGAAAATTACTATGCTCACAGCTAATAGGGGTATTATTTCTAAAGAATCGTAGGCCAGAACTAAATCCCACAGGTTCAGTAACTGCTCTAGGGGAAGGTGTCCACTGAAAGCCCTCATTATCCATTTGATGACCACCCTCAAACTGAAAAAAAAAATTTGGGTTTAACGTTCTCAATGTTTAAATTAAACTCTTACGGGTGTATGTGACAGGATTTAAAATGATGCCACAGAATCGGCTCATAGCACTGTAACATCCTTTCGTATTGTAAGCATAGGGAAACTATGCCCTGGGGGCTGGTGCACAACCTATGAAGACGATGCCAATACCTCAAATAAAACTGCCGAAAACTGAAATATAGTTCCACTGGGTTTTCAAAGAGGTAACAAAAAGGTGCAGCTGAAATTCAACCTTATTAAAACATGATGTTTTTAATGGGTGGTCTTTCCATACCATACATGGTGAACCCATGGAACGGTATGACACCTGACGGTGGAAAAACCATGTTATTATCCACGGTATTTTTATTTCCCTTTAATAAAACCTGCATAAAAGCTGGCTGGCCCGGCATCATTTTCAAAATCTCACTGTCTCTAGAAAAACATAACATCATCTAAAAAGCAATATAACTCAAAATATAACAAAAGTAATATCATACTTGATATAAATCATCCTCAAAAACAAAATATTGGTCATCATTCGAAGCTGTCAAAGTGATATCCTTTATTATAAGCTTATCAATCATCAAATCAAACTGTAAAACATGTTCTTTTAATTGCCTAAAATATTCAACATTCTAAAAAAAACACGCAACAATAAAAGATAACAATTTTTTAAAATTAATTCCATACGTGTTGTTTATTTTCTGAGCCCAATATAAGAGCCCAAATTTTAGCCCTCATACATCTAGGGCACCCTTTTTTTAAGTACTCTTGTGCTATGGGTGCGTAATTTTTTTGCAAAACCTTTTCAGCCAAAGCTATTCTTTCAGCTTCAAGGCTCAAATAAGCCTGGGGGTTGGAAGCTGATAAATGAATACCTAGGATTTTATCGCCACGGGTTAACTCTGTGTAGATGTTGCGCTAAAAAATAATGGGTAGGTATGTTAAGAAAAATATTATTGTTGTTTCTGTTTTGGGTACCAAATCTGAAACGTTTTTGACTCTTAAAGGTATATGTATAAATTCCCATTCTTGTTTTTCACTAAAATAATAAAAAAAATTGTTAATTTTGTTTTTATTTTATAATTTACTGGACTAACCAGTTTGTTTTCGTAACGGGGCCTTTTAAATTCAAAAGAACTTCCAGAAAATCCTTAGGGGCATAAACCGGTCTGTATTTATGTATATCAACCTTAAAATCACAAAAATATATATTTATATGTGTTTTTTTTATTTTGCCCAGAAACTAACTTCAAAATTGCTCAATTCGTTCCATTTCGTCATAATTTCTTCTTTTTCCTGGGTATTTCTCAACTTAGCCAGGGTAATCCCGAGCTCGTTGCACATAGAATTCAGTGATTTATGAATTCTTCGATCCCAGTTTACCTGGGCTTTTCGGAAAAAGGCGTCGAACTGATTTTGCTCTTTTTTCTTAGTTTTCACCCATCTATAAATGTCGTTTTTTAAGTTTGCTTGCAGTCCGCTCTCCTCCATGGCTTTCAGCAATGTTTCTTTGAAATTTTCCGAACGAACATTACGGGAAACTACTAATTTCTAAAATTTAAAAAATGACAATTTTACAATTTATACAGGACGTCTCAAAATTATTTTAAGTGTACCTGAATGTCTTCATATAATTGTTTGTAAGACACGGAAGTCTTAAAATCTTCGATTATTTTTAAAGTTAAATGATGGATACTTTTTTCTTTATTACTTTCCATTTTTAACTGGTAGGTAATTATTGTTTGCGATATCCTAGCAACAACATCGATTTTAAATAAAAAATTCAAAACGTTGTAGCATAAAGGTATTCTAAAATCTTATTTTTAAAGCAGGTTTTTTAACAATTTAAATCTGATTTATATAAATAATTTGAAAGAAAATCCGCATAATTTAAATTCTCACCTGGCGTTAAAATACAGAAACTCTATTCTAAAATTACAGAAACCTGTAGTAAATGCTCATACTTACTTAGTTTAATTATAGGTGTCGCGCAGAACATTTAAACAAATTGGTGTTCATTTGAACTACAGAAATTCTAACCTCAATCAAACGTCACTGTTGTATTCGCAATTTTTGCCGTGAAAATCAACAAAAACAAACAAGTCATGGACGAAACGCCCAGCGTGGTTATAGTAAGCTGCAGCAACACAAAACCGTCGTCAATCATAAAATTGATAACAAAAGAGAAAAATTTAGACCCTGATCCGGAGACAGGGTTAATTAAACTACCATGGACGCTGGATACGAAATACTACAACGTAACGATTAATTTGATCGGGATCGACGAAATGTACAAACGAACAAAAGAGTTTAACGAAAATGTGGAAGCCGTTATAATTCATATGGACAGTAATAAGGAATCAGGTTTGATCGATTTAAATTTGTGGGATGAACTTATTAAAGATAGCGAACCAGAAATAAAAATACTTATAACGAATTATTGCACGAATGATACGAAAATATCTAAAACAAATGCTTTGCGATGGTGTTTAAAACAAGATTTTGAGTTGATTGAATTGTACCCCACCATTGACAAAAGTGAGCAGGAGGAGGAAATAATTAAGGAAAAATTTGGTGTGGACCGCATCAAAGAAGCCCTAGAAACCCATGTGTGGCCTAACTTAAAACTAAAAAAATCTGATAAAGTCGTAACTAGAAACACCAATAAAAATGTAAAAGTTATAACAAATGATGAAATGTTGGAATCCGAAGGTATGGACGATTTTTCCGACCTATTCTCTCAATTACACATGATGAAAGATAGTTTTCAATCCATACCAGGAAATCAACGGAAAAAATGCGCCGAGGAGATGGTTACAGCTTTTTGGAAAGCTATTGGTGGGGAGGAAGAGGAATTACTTGATATTTAAGTTCTAAAAATTTAAAAAATCCATGTTAAACAGTATATTATAACACTTTTTAAAAGGGTTATTCTAAATAGAATGAGGAAAAAGGACTAATTTGCAAAAAGTTTACATTATATTTATACCCCTAGGGCTCCCCACTATTCTAACATTTAATTTAAATTAGAACATTTTACACCTGTTATTTACAGGCTGTAAACACAATTAATTTAATTTAATGTGATATTGATTACTATGTATAATAATAATAAAATAATCTCTAGTATTACCGAAATAAATCATATCGATTTGACATGCGTTTTATTTATTGCGAAATTTTTATACAATTTTGGTAATTCAGCACTTCTCTGTCCTTTAAAATTTAAAGGGACACATCAGCTGATACCGTATTAAACGCAATGTTGCCGGATGCTCCGCAAATAACTTAACTGTCAAATTAGAAGTCTTTGTAAATTGAAAATTAAGGGATTTTATGAATAAACAACAGCAATTCTAATATTTAAACCACATTTCTATCATTCTGTTATAATATTGATATACATTTTACTAAAAATGTAGAATGTTTCCGTTAATTAACTATGGCTTGTATTCAGACGTGGCAACATCGCGGCTTAGCAGGAGACTTGTTGACATAAAACTTGTCTAGTCGCGGGAATAAGGCATAATTTAGCGCTAAAATAGTTGTAATCAGTGAGTAAAAAGAGCGATAAACAATCCATTTTAACCACATATTGTTTGCGTGCAGTTTTAATACACAAAAAGTGCCCGATTTAATTGGGGTTGTAACGGTCATTTTTTACCGTTATTAACCCTCGTTCCGCAATGGAGTTCGTTTTGCTTCTCGACGAGCATCTTCAGGAAAGGAGGCGTAGAAGGCCTAGAGAACAAACGAGGTTAGTTTTAACTGAGGTGAATGAAACAGTGGCGGAACAGGAAACTCCAAATAAGGAGAGCAGCCCTGATGAGATGCTCATAATGCAAAGAGGGCCTAGACGGAAGCCCATCACTTGGTCGCCAGTCGACTACGATAAATTCGTGGTTTTTGGTGGGTCCAGGGGAGAAAAAACACCAGAGCCTGTGGTGGTCAGCCCAGCAAGACCAGATATGAACCCCAAGATACGAAGGAGGCTCATTATGACCCCTGAGAAGACGTCAAGTGATTTGGGGGAGGTTATCGCGAAGAAATTGCGATCTTTGCAGGGTTTTGGAGACAGCTCTCAGTAATAATTAAAATGATTTTATATTTAGCAGGTAAATACCTAATAAGTTTGTAAAAGTACAAAATAATTCCATTTGGTCATATGATTGCTTTATTTAATATAAATTTTAGAATGATATTATTGATATAATAAGGCAAAATTCAGGATATTTTAGTTAAGTTTATAAATAGACTATATTTATTATTAATAGATAATCTTTTTATTTTGTATTTTTAAAGTTTTGTGCAAGTTGATTTACATTTTTATCAATGTAACTAGTTTTAACTTATATATTAAGTTTTAATATTTTGCAATGCATTTTTTAATTTTAATCTAAACTTTTTTCATTAGTTTTGCATTTGCCCAAATATATTGGATTTAGTGATAAAGACCTATATTTTATTAAATATTTTTGAATTTAAGGCTTATAAAAATAAATATAAAGACTGGTTTAGTGATAGTGCACTTGCTATTTTTATATAGGTATTATAAGTATTTTAAAGTGCCTTATGTATATTGAGATATTTTAATAAATTAAAAAATAAAACAAAAAGTTTATATCACTGTATTTTAAACTCAAAACATTGTAATAGTACGTTTAATAAAATTATCTTAAAATTATACATTGCATCAATTTTGTTACCCTAACATTTAAATAAAGAATAAATTATTGTTCATAATAAACCCTATAGTATAAGGTTTTGGATCTCCACAACGAATAGGAATTATCAAACTTAAGTAAATATACACCTTTGCCAGGGTACTGGTGAGATCCTGCGTACACCTCCACCTGACAATCCCGCCTGTACACAGGTACAATTTCACTTAAGAGAGGTTTACTGATGCCACCCACCGTTACCGAGCCAGATTCCAAGTCGCTGGTTTGAATTGCTTCTTCATTATAAATTTCGTCTTCTTCAAGTTCGTCTACGTCTTCATCGTCGCTTTCAGACACGTGAACGGACACTTGGTCGCTCACAGGGGTACCAAACTCAAAGAAAACACCAAAACCTTTGGGAAAATTTGAATTTAGACAATTTATTTACATAAAGCACAATCCACACAGGTCAGACTTGAACGGCGGCCATTTTTATGTTTTTAACAATTCTTGTGCTTTGGGTTTGTGCTGTTTATACAGATTAGAAATCGTTTTAAACGTTGTGTTTCTTACAGAGGCACTTGTAAGCCTCAAACAAGGCCTTAAAGTGCTAAGAACAACCATTTTATCCCTTTTTGTAAAAAAATAACCCTTTTTCTATCAGGGCTGTCATAAAACTGTCAAATTTCAATTTGTAGGTTATGGTAAATTAACCTTAAAATTGACATTTGACAGTTTGATGGAATATAGATTATTTTTTACCAAAGGATAATAAAATGGTTCTTCTTAGCACTTTAAAGTCTCATTTAAGGCTTACAAGTGCCTCTGTAAGAAACAACGTTTAAAACAATTTTAATATGTATAAACAGCACAAACCCAAAGCACATGAATTGCAAACAACATAAAAATGGCCGCCGTTAGATTCTGTGCAGTGTTGCAGTTATTTTTAGTATGCGTGAAAGTTTGTGTTTTTTATTCAGAATTTGACACATTTAATTATGTTGGTACTGTGTGTCAATAAACTTTTGTATTTTTAATATTGGTACTCCTGTATTTATAAACACTTTGACATTAAATTGTCAGAATTATTATAAATAATGCCAAATAACAGAATCATAGATAAATCTTGGAACAGAATATTCTAAACAAAACAGCATTTTGATGAAATAATGCCACAGAGGAGGAAAAGATTAACTGGCTAAAAGATATTTTTGGAGTAGTAGGTAAAATCATTATTAACAAGCTACAAGTATTAACATTTTGTGAAGGACACATTCATAATTGAACAAAATTTAAGTATTTACAAAAACCTTTAAAGTGCCTAAAATTACCTATATTTCATCAGGTAAGGTAAATTTTTTTTTTTTAATATTTATATTTGACATTTCAAAATTTATAAACATATAACATAACCACAATTATATTTTCCACTAAATTATTTTGTTTTACTATAGCCAATTATAAATTTAGGGTCCCTAGTATTTCATTTGCCAACTAAACCTGTTAAATTCTAAAAAAAAAACTGTACCTATATCAAAGTGATCTGTGGCAAATTCCCAGAATAACCTAGTACCATGGGGATGGGTGGGTACCCTGACTGTCACAGTCTCCCCATGCCCCACCCTTACCACCCCCTCTCCATCAGCTTGTGACACTGCATGTTTAAATACTTCCATGTCGGGTCTGGTCCACATACTTGGGGCCATTAGAGCCACCTCCTCATTTTCACTGTTTGCATTCTCATCTGTTGCTATTTTTGACTGAACTTTATCCTAAAAATACATAAGAATGTAAACAAACAGTTGGCCAATTAATAGCATTTAATTACCCATTTTTCTGAAGGTTCAATACTTTTAATCTCTCTTTGAGCAGCATGCAACTGTTGCATGTACTGAATATAGTGCTGTTCTTGCAACTGCCTAATCAAAGCCCCTTGCTTCTCAGGATCCCCAGGATACTGCTGATCAGCGTATTTTCTAAACTGATCGTAGGTTTGCTGATTTAAAGCTTGTTGTATTTGCCTTTTGATAACCTCCTCCCTATCAAGCTGTTCTTGCATCAATTTCTGCTCCTGATCTTTTTTAATGGATTCCTGTTGCTCTAAAAGTCTTTTCTCCTCTTCCTGTTTACTAAAATTAGAGATATATACCACATAACATAACTAGAAACCTAAATTTACTTACAGGCGTTTCTCTTTTTCTCTCATTTCTGTTCTGTGAGCTTCAACATATGCTACAAAAAGTGGGCACAGTCTACTCAATAAATCCACGAATCCAGCTCTAGCCTCTTCACTAGGTAACTGGCCTAATTTTTGCCAGGCATCCCTACGATCCTTTCCCACAACATCAAGTGTTCCTAACGTGGGTAATTTATGTATAGCTTCTGATAAAGGCCCATGCAACACTTGCTGCGCAAATGCCACTAACTGTAACTTATCCTCGTAGCTAAAATGTACCGCTTTCCCTTCTTTCTCTGAAAACGTTGGATTATTGGCTTAAACTCAATACAAACAATGATGTAGTAATTACCTTTGTAAAAATTGTAGGCGAGTCGATACACCTCTTTAATTGGAAGACCATACTTTGTGCTGTCGATAGGTTTGTTAATTTCCGCTAAACTTTCACCATTTTGCGTATTTATTGATAAGTTACTGAAAGATTCGGGCAATTTTGAGCTGTCAGTATCGGTCGCCATATCTGAGTGACGTTTACAATAACATTGAAAACCTAACCGCCAGAAAATCACTAAGAAAACGATAACAAATTAGGGTGTTTTGCAGTCTTTAGGTTTACGCAGTTTGTCAGCTGTCAGTTGGTTAACCCAACTTTTTGTTTAAAAATATAACCTTAAAAATTTCGGGTTGTTTTTGTGGTTTTAATACTTTTTAAAGGACACAATGGTAAGTTTTTATAAAGATATGATTTACCTAAAAATGAATATGGGTTTCGGCCTACAACCTAACTAAAAAACACATTCTTTTGCTAACGTTTAAACCTTATTTTGTATTTGCAGGGTAAACATAAAAAGGATAAGAAACACAAGAAGGACAAAAAACACAAGAAAAAGCAACGAAAATCGTCATCGTCAAGCTGCGAGGATGAATGGGTGGAAAAACCCAGTGCATATGATTCTTCATCAGATGAAGAAAGAATAACTAAAAAACGAAGCAAAAGAAGCCCATCTGAATCTTCGAGTAGCGATGAAGATAGGAAAAAACGACGTAAACAAAAAAAAAGTGTTAAACATAAGGAGTACAGCAGCTCTGAGAGCTCAGAGGAAAATGAGAGGGTTATGAAGAAACCTACCATGTCAGACGATGAAGAAAAACCAGCAAAATCAAGAGATTCTTGGATGAACTTGCATTCTTCTTTCATGACAGTTTCAAATGATGAACGACGGAAAACTAGGGAGGAAGAAAAACGCTTGGAAAGGGAGAAGCAACAGTATAATCCCAGGGAATGTACTAGGGAGTTAAATCCTTACTGGAAGGATGGTGGGGATGGTTTACCTGCATTTAAAAAACCTTCTGAGGATGATGGTGAATATAAAAAAGAGTATAAGTCCAGTAGAAGTGGTTCAAATTGGAGGAAAAAAAGAAATGAAGATGACAGAAGTGAAGATAAACATTATAAATCCAGTAGAAGTTCAAGTTGGAGGAAAAAAGAGGGTGATGAAGAAAAAGATTATAAATCCAGTAGGAGGCAACAGAATGATGAAAAAGATAGACATTATGAAGAAAAGTCTGATATTGTCTACACCAATGAGCCAGAAGAAGAAACTGAAGAAGTTTTATCAGAAAAAGAGTTAAATATTTTAGCTGCCAAATTAGTAAAAGCAGAAATTATGGGCAACACAGACCTGGCAAAGCAACTAAAGGAAAAATTGGAAAATGCTAGAAAACTGAGAAGTGAAAATCCTAAACAAGATGGAGAAGAAGTAATTTTGACTCATACAGACGCCCAAGGCCGTTCTCAGCCAATCAGAATGCAATCAGAGTATGATGAACCATCGGGTAGCAGGAAACAAAAGAAGAAAGCGATCCAAACTCATCAAGACGGCGAAAGGGTTCGTTATTTCGCCGATGACGATAAATATTCCTTAAAACAAATGTTCGAGAATGAAAAGTTCAACACAGTGGAAGATCAAAATAGTGAATTCCTAAAAATGGCTAATAAAGTCAGGAAGAATGATGATTTAGACGACATCTTCACTGATAACATACGGAAAAAAGAGTCTAGCTCTAAGGTTGACTCAAAGAATAGGGATAGAGCTATACAGGAACACCAAAAAGTATCTAAAAGTCTTGACAACTGTAACCACTGCATACAATCTGAGAATATGTTGAAACACCTCATGGTTTCAATGGGTGAGACGGTTTATTTAGGTTTACCACCATTTGAACCTCTCACAGAGGGCCACTGCATGATTATGCCCATAAGACATGTACCATGCTCAACCCAACTGGATGAAAATGAATGGTCCGAAATCTCGGATTTTCGCAGATCCCTTGTGAACCTCTACAAGTCCAAAGATGAAGACGTAATTTTCTTTGAAACAGCCTCATATTTGTTTAAATTTCCCCACATGGAAATCCACTGTGTTCCACTGCCTAAAGAAGATGGAGATATGGCCCCAATTTACTTCAAAAAAGCCATTGATGAGTCGGAAACCGAATGGGCGCAAAATAAAAAATTGGTCTCTCTTAAAGGAAGAGACGTACGCAAAGCCATTCCAAAAGGTTTACCCTACTTCTTTGTCTCCTTTGGCATGGACGAGGGTTATGCTCATGTTATAGAAGATGAACAAATGTTCCCCAACAATTTCGCCCAGGAAATTATCGGGGGCATGTTGGATTTACACCACAGCAAATGGAGAAAGCCCAAACGACAAAGTTTTGATGAACAAAGCAAAAGGGTTCAGGAGTTTAATGGCGAGTGGAATAAATTTGATTGTACTACAAATAAGTAATACATTTTATATAAATTATTTATTATCCAAGACTTAAAGCTAATAAAATTAATGAAATTAAACAATCATTTCAAGTTCCTTTGCGTAATCAACTGCTTGTTTGGCCAATTCGGCTGAAGGAATTGGTTCATGGGTTTTCTTTTCTTCTGAGGTAAAGTGAAAGAAGTTATCCTTGCCAAGTTTCCAATTTTTGTTCTTAAATACACAAATTTTATTTTTGTATTTATTACACAATATATATTTTTACCTTTGTTACAAATTGTTGGAAAGCCTCATTTTGTAAATACAACATTCTAGCAGCATCTTTGGGTGAAATTTTTTCATATGCTTTCTCCAGACACACTGCAATTTCACCTCTAATGGTGTTTAATAAAATATCCATGAAAAAGTTGTAGTTTTTAGCTGGGACATTTCCTTTTGCTAAAAATATCTACAAAAAATTAATAAGAGTAAATAAATACCTTCATTTAATCCAAAACTAACCTTGTTGTAGCTTCCTTCCATTAAATACTGCTCAATTGACAAGGGATGCCTAATATATACATCATTTTGCAAATGATCGGCTGGCAAGAGTTCCAATTCAGTGTGAAACTCTGCAACTCTGTTCTGTGACAATAAAAACAGCAAATTTAAACCCAAAATTTGATATTTAAACGCAGATTCAGGAAGAAGGTTCTGATAATCGAAGTAATAACACTTCAATTGAGCAATGTATCTTTCGAAAGCTGGAATATTATTTGCAGCTATACTCCATTGCACTCCAATTTCTAGAACATCCCTGGCCAATAATAGTTCTTGTTTGGTGGCTGTGGTGCTTGATGTAGGCAGAAAGATCAAATGTGTCAACTCCAACTACGAAATATCAATGATATTACAATAATTCGTTTTATAACCTAAAATCCCAACTTACCTTCAAATCGGACAGTAATTTCTCACATTTACTTAAATTTGGCGAAGACTGACCCCATTCGGCTTTTAACTGTTTGTATAAAGCCGCTACTTCGTTTATTTTACTCATTTTTATCGAATTTAAGGAAAAACTATTGTGTTAAGATGAGTTGTATAAATTTTAGATTTTTGACAGATGACAAATGTTTTGTTTTAATTTGGCTGCGTTGTCGAAGCTAACAACAAGAACCCACTTTAAAAATGATTTATATTTAAATATACAATACAAATTAATTGGTATCATACATTTGATATTTTTAATGCTAAAGGGCCTTAGTTTTTCAACAATGTTAAAATATTGGAGATTTTATAAGATAATATAACAATAATAAAAAAGAAAACTGACAACTACGCAAGTTCTACTAGAGACATCTAGCATGAAACTATTAAACTTGCATAAAAAGAGCCATCTATTTGCGCGGTTTTACACCATTTAAAATTCACATGATTTTTACATGAATTTCCGGATTATTCGGGATGTAATTGTAATATGCGCATATATCTATTTAAAAACCGCAATGCGCGTTAATTTGATGTTGTTATTGTGCGTAGTAAAGGAAAAACGTGTGTTTGTTAGTTGATTTGTTGATATTGGAGGCGCTGGCGTCGAAAACTATTGAATGCAAAGGCGTGTTACCCCCACCGCTTACTACCGGCCAATCCAGTGAGAAATAGTAAACCGCTACGTGACAAAACTGTTTTCGTGTTGAAGAAAAAGCACATTTGAAAGCTAACGTGAAAGAGTGACAGTTGTCATTGATTTCGATTTGTCAAACAAGTGTTTACAAGTGCAAAACTGGAAAAATGGCTTTTATGATGCCGGTAGTGAAGAACGATTGGGACATCTACAAGTCCAATCGTTCTAGAAGGGTGTCCGAGTGCTCGAACACGTCCAATTGCCGATCGAGGAAAGTGTCGGAATGCAGAAGCGAAGGGCCGAGTCTGTCGACATCGCCGGGTTCAGATTTCATCACATCGCCGACACACAATCGCAGTGTGCCAGCCAATATGTCATCAAAACAATACTCCAGAGCCAACTCGAGGACGAGTTCAAACAGTTTGCAGAGCCCGATTAAAAGCGAGTCTTGCTCGCCACCGAAGAACGAGTCGTCGACAAGTCTCAACAAGTTCCACAACAGATTGCTGGACAAGTTGAAGAAGAGCTTGAAGCACAAGGACAGTGACGAGAAGACGAGTTCATGAGAAAAGGACGCCAAGGAGAAGGAACTCCACCTCCGGTAGTTAAGGTCATTGACTGTTGTGTGTTGGCCGGCTTAACTTAACAAAAATATATACATAAACTGCAATTTTTTGATATACTTATTGCCCTGTGATATGAAGGTTGATTACATTTTGTCTTGTGTTTATTAATAGCTCGGTCAATCTAAAAATCCAAAAGTGTGCTATGAAAGTGAGGGACTGACTTCTTGTTTGATATTTTTCATAAAAATACTGCAAGTAAGTTTTTTTGAAATTATTGGTATTAGAGCCAAAAAAATTGAAATTTTTGTGTATTCAGTATTAAAGCAATTTTGTTGAGATTCTGTTTCCTCGCTTTAAGATGTCAACACGGAAATAGGTGACTGCACAACATAACATACTGGAGTAAATAGAAAGTACCTACTATAATTTCACTTATTTCCGTTGTTTGAACTCTACTTAAAAAATTAAGACTGGTAATTGGAGGATTTAAGGAGTAAAGTAAAGTTAACAAATAAATAAGTATATTGCTTGTTATATTCATAGATTTTAATAGAATGTACCTATGTTAATCTTAAATATTTATAGAGGGTTAGGTATTTGATACACGTTTTTTTAAGCCAATTCAGGTAAAAAGAAAAAGACTTAATTATTTACTCTAGATTCGATAGCTCCTATTGATTGAAAGGTTCACCTTTAAATTAAGTACGAGGTTTGATATTTTACCTGGGTCGAGTTAATACTGGGGCATCTGTAGGGAACACAACAATTTTATTTTTAACATACTCTAGGCAATTGTATAATAGAATAGAATTTGTATTTATTTTTTTTCATTATTTCCCTAAATGTGTCCCCAGTAAAGTGTTATATTGTATGAGACCATTTTAGAGTTGGTACTACTCCAATATATCACTGCCCTCAGTTTTTTTACAAAACATTCCGTAGACGAATATTCTAACGAACTTAAGAACAATAAATAAGTTAAACTTAATTAAAATTTGACAAAAAAAATAATTTTTAGACATATTTTGTCGAAACCTATTTGTATTGAATATTGATTATTGCTCTGATGTTTTTGTGAACTGATTTGTAAAAATTAATAAAAAGCCTTTTAAATGCATTCAACTGTTTTATTTCAATCACATTTATAAACAAACAAAAATGTTATATTTTCAGCGTCGATACGTCACCACAAAAATTATTTTTTCACGTCCAAAATTAATTTATCGTACCTATCTCATTTAAAATGATTCATTTCAGATTTTCAGACACTTTCTTATTAAATTATTGCTGTATTTTTTGTTGTCACCGTCGGTTATTTTAATTTTTGTCGGCTCGATTCCAAACATTCTGGTCCAGATTATTTGGCCCGAATCCAAAAACAATTTGTTTTATCTAAATTGCATTCGCATTTTAAATATTTATAATTTTGTTGTAATATTTTGCTAAAATAAATGTACCATATTTTAATACAAACACGTGTGAATTTGTTTTCATTTGGAGATTATAATTAATTATATGAGCACTTTTAATTAATATCATATTTTAAAATACGACATTCTAAAGTAACTATATTACGAGGATTGCATAGCATATACAGGGTGTACTACTTATTCTTTTATGTGTATGGGTCATTTCACGTCAAATTTTCAGTCAACATTTTAATTTTCTTGGAATATTTTTTGGAAATCCATCTTTATAAAAGCGTTTGTAAATAAAAAGATTCAAAAAACTCCTAATATTTGTCGGCAAAATCAGAGATTAGTTCTTGTTTTAAATAAAAAATATTAATTAGGAAAGTTTTAATTTTTTATGCCAAATTTATAATCGAATACATTTTTTTGAATTCAAGAATATTTTTTTCAAGTTAAATATTCCATGAAATAATAATTATTGTTGAAGATGGCGCTCATGATTCGAAATTAAAAATAAGGATGGGTGAACTATATATAAAAAAATGTACGCTCTACACGTCTGGATTTTTTTGGGTTGCCGAGAAAAAAAAATATGCGTTTTACGAAAAATCATTCTTCATGAAAACTCTTAAAAACAAACATTTTTAAAAATTAATAAAAATAGATTTTTACTAAAACAATATTGAACTTTAAATTAAGATATCAGATTATGAAAAAAATAAATTAACGATTTTGACAAGCTTGTCTTAAAAAAATCAAAATGAGGCATCACTCCCATTAAAAATGTTGGTGGTAACTATCACCTACGCTTAGGGGTTGAAAATATAAACATAAATTGTCCCCCTAAATCACCTGAGAAAACCAGTATAAAAACAATTCATTTGCCTACTTTGTATTTCGTATATCATTGTAGAAAATAAAAGTAAAGTAGAGTTTACTAACGAGGCAGTGGAAATTTACTGGCATAGTACGTGCCACGATGCATCATCATCATGTCCGCGAATACTTTGTTAGTATGTATTTTATAGAGTCCGGAATATAAAGCATCGAAAACATGTGCATTAAAAAAATATAACATAAAATATACTTTAAAATGACGACTAAACTAACCATTTTATTTACAATTTTCCGGTACTTGTGGGACAGAAGGTATGCATATTAATCCGGTCTCTGCATACCTAATACATGATATACAGAGTCATACGTATCACATATGTAAATGCTATATATCGAGTGTGTACATACATACCTACATACGTATGTAGATTGTGATTGTCGAAAACTCATCGTGACTAAAAATAGACAAAAGAAGCGACGGCGCGGCGCGACCCGGCCTCCTATTTATCCGACACGCAATTGCATTCGCATGCATTTGTTCTACTTGTAGGTAATCTATACTAGGTACTTTTTAATTGCAAATGCGACATGAATTGAAAATTTTAAACTAATCATATGTTGGTTCTATATGTATTTAGTAACAACGATTTTTATTAATTTATTATAATTACCGGCACCTTGAGGCCCCTATCTACTAATAATTAGAAATTTTAAGATTTTTGCATAAATACCTATAATAATTATAAGTATACCTAGTTCAATTTTATTTCAATGTTTTTTTTCATGGATACCTAACTAATAGAATAAATTTTTGTAGTTATTGTGCATTTTTCTACTTAACATTTTTTAATAAAATATAGTATAGGGTCGTTTTGAGGGGTGGTGAATCCAATGCCGTGCTTAGTTTTTTTTAATCGCTAATTTTAATTCTTTATAACTGATATAGTATGCCTTATATTTTGTACAATTATGGCGGTTTTTGCTCCAAAAATACAGTTTATCAAGATCAACACTTTAAAACAAATCCGGTTGAAGTCGCACAATAAATTAAGATTTTACAGGGGTGAGTCGCAAACAAATGGGTATGTAAATGTCGCTTTCTAAAAATATTTAATTTAAATCATTTTTTAGATATTTGTCGCTCGTGCCTAAATTAAATTCGTGACTAAAATGGCATTTATGATAAATGATTTATCAAACTTGATACATAATATGTATATATACGTATATATACATATTATGTATACTATAATAGCTATAATAACCTAGGTTCATTAAAACGATCTTGGTTTTTAAGTTACCTTATAAGATAAATTAAAGTTCTTAAAGGCTATAGCCTAGTATACTAATTCTTAGGCAAATTATTTATTGTAGGTTCTCTTTAAATTAAAATAAAAAATTGTTTGCTATAACTGCCCTATTGATTTTATACTGGTTTTATAATATCCTCGACATTGGCTAATTTAAAAACTAATTTGCATTTTTAAAAGGTAAAATAGCAAGTTAGTTTTAAAACAATCCATTTTGGAACAAATAATTTTAATGTGGATTTATGAAATACCCTCATCAAGGGTCCCTTGATGTACTCATTAAAATACAATAAGAAAACTATTTTTTCTACGCCCACCTTTAAACCGCCCTTTATCGTACATGTTTCCATGACACTAAATGAACTTTTAAATACACATTGACAAGTTGTGGCTTTATTGCGCTTTAGTCACCGGCTGAAGTTAGCAACAGGTTTTTAGTCACGGGCTGAAGTTAGTTTTAAGTTAGTTGACAGTTGTCAAATGTCATACAATCGTTAAAATAAATTGCCATTCTTGTAAAATAATACTAAATGTGAAAATTATTTTATTATCTCAATACAAAAATACAAAAGTATTAAATAGTTTCTCAACGCCAATATTTGAAAAGTTTATATGAACATTGTACTGACCTTTTAATTTCGCCGGCAGTAAACTAACTTAAATTCGGGCACGGACTCCACTCTAAAGTGCTCATAAACCATTTTCTTTACTTTCACTGTGAAAAACTGTCAATTTTCAAGAAATACATTTCGATTTATAACCTTTATAATTGTGTTTATAAAATGTAAAAATTTGACATTTGACGGTGACACACAGATTCCCCTATTGTTTCATAGATGGCGCTCTATACAAATTTTTGATTTAAATCATTTTAAAATAATAATAAGTATATATCGTAGAAAAAGTATAGTATGCACCTCGTTAATAAACTCTTCTATACACTCATTAATTTAAATTAAATTCGTGTATAAAATGGAGTTTATCAAACTTGATACATAATATACTATAATCTTATAAAATATATAGGTAGGTATGCTTAATAAAATTCCAGTTTAAATCAAAAAACATAATTTTTACGTTTTAAGGAGTAGGTAGGTACATTAAGAATATTTTAAATCTCAAAGTTTTTAATTTAGTCAATTTAGTTAAAAGAAATGCCTGTTCGATTTTTGACCACTTTATTAAAATTAATTCTACCCCCTCCACATTCGGATAAACCAAAAAAAATTAGAACACATATTTAAAATGAAAAATATTACAATAAGTATTTTAAATTTAAACGAAGTGGTAATTAAAAAAACGGAACAATTTGTAAGGTTAGAATTAAATTCGCGCGACAGACCACTTTAAATCAATAAGGCCATGAGTTCGAACAAAAAGCAAGTCAATTTTAAAATGAATATTAAATAGACGTTTCCGAGAGTAATTGTATACTTTAAGTGATAAATGGAACGCTGTAAGATTTAAAATTTTCTATAAACTTGCTATCAGTTAATTTAAATCGCGCAATTTTTTATATAAAATACAGAATTCGCCATGATGGATATTTTTAATAGCCAAGGAAAAAATCGTATTATTGAAAAATATGTGGCTTATCCTCCTAATTAACTAAAGAACGGTGTGTCCAAACATGCAATTTAATACAGAAAAGCATTTAGAAATTTTGCATCTAATGTTTAAAATCTAAACTTTAGATGCAAAATAAAATTTGACGATATTTTTTAAATAATAAAAAAAAGCATTAAATTAATGGAGCTGGAGTTATGTAGAAGTACCTACTATATTATATTTTCCAGAAAAGTGCCACCCGTTGTTAAATTTTTACCAGAATAGTTTGCATTTGAATATTTTTTATGGTCTGCCATTAACTTTTTCACACAAAAGTTGTCCCACTTTAGTAAACAAAATAAAACCCTTTTGGGATTAATTATATTGATTCTTAAGGTAATTTAGTCTGCTGCAAGAATATTTTAAATGCAAATAAGTTTTTACATAAATTTAAAGTTGCCTTGAAGAACTTTTTGTTGGTGTAGAATTAATTAATAATAAATTTACCTAATATAAGTTTCATAACCTTCCCTATTAAAAATGCTCTATAGAACCCATATTGATCCAGATAAGGAAACTAATATGGATTTATATGGTTCTATATATCCTATATGGAACGCCCTGGTTTACACTTTGGAATCTATATGGTTTAATATGGAATTTCATTTTAAAATGTACAACTTGGTTTCTGTATATGTTCTGTCAACCCAGGATTTCCTATTGAAAAACACCCAACAACACAACAAATCGTGCCACGTTTTTTCTGATATTTTTAACATTTTCCGGCTTTATTCTCAAAAGCACTCGTTTGTAACATACGCGTTTGAAAGCTGCTTATTAAAAGCTGAATTCTGGTTATGATAATAACGGCCACGTGTTGGCGCTACTAGCGATGATTTTTTAGCGTCTAGTAAAGATTTGGCAAACATTCTAAATCATAAAGAAACATGCAACAATTTTAATAAAACTTCGTTTACATAACTATATTTAAAAGCAAATAAACTCTGAG